TGTATGGGGTCCAAGGCAGACCTTTGAAAATAAGATGGGTGGGCAGGTTTTAAGTGGGAACTACTGATCTAGAACATACAGTCAGTTTAAAAATACGTTCTATACATTTCATAGAATTATCTAAAATTTTGTCTTTAAATTAATATTCTATCTACTGAAAGCCATTTTGTCAGAATAATGACTGTTTATTTTAATTTACGCCACAATTGTTTAATTATTGTATTAACTTTTTTATTTAAAAATGACTGCCTACTATTGCAGATAGGCTAAAGGTTCTGCAAGCAAACTCATATCTCAGAGTAGCAGCAGACAAGAAGCACCTCTTGCATGAAGCCCTATTTAGAACTAAGGGTCACAGACTGAGAAGAGGAAGGTCTTGGATTGTGCAGGCTGAAGACACAATTAGACACCCCCGTGTGGGTTCCGGGGCCCCATTGTGGGGAAAACAAGAATAGACCCACTGCCTCCCCAAAAGCATGTTGTAAGAGTCGACTAATTGGGGAGCTTCCTTTGAAGTCGGAGTGCATCTGCCGGAGAGGCAAGGAACCAACAGTCTGTATTCAAGAGAATGAGATCTGTAAAACTGATGCACACGCAACACTCAGGTTCTGGAGCAGGACTGCAGTTCAGTAGTGGACGAGCAACCAGAACTTTCCGCCAGAGTGTACAGCTGGTGAACGCGAAGAAGAAGAAGAAGAAGAAGAAGAAGAAGAAGATAAATTTGGGTGAGAAAAGAAGGGGGTCAAAGCTTTCGAACAAGAATCAGATTTGTGTAGGGTTCTAATCACTTTAGGTTAGGTCATGAGTGCAGGGACTGGCCAGCTGGTGCTGCAGAATCAGAAGTTCAACAAATGATTCATGACTATTTCCCCCCTCTCCCCCCACCCCACCCCACCCCCACTCTCAGGAGATGTGATTATCTATACAGCTGGCAGATGAAGTGCATGGTGGTTCATAGCAAAAGCGAATGGACATCGCTTAGTGGAGCAAAGCCTGGCATATGAAAGCACAACTTCTAGTTTGACAGTGGAGCTGGAGGCAGTCACTGCTGCCTTCCTCTGGCTTGAGAATCAGCTGTAAACACATGTCATAATTATAACTGACTCACAGAGCATGTTTAGAAAGGTGGATAGAGGCATACATGCAGAGTGGCAAGCTTCACTTCAGAAATCCCAAGTAGTTAGCATCCTTTGGATATTTTCTTTAGGTAATGTCGATGTGTCTGGGAGTGAGCAGGCAGATAGACTGGCTGGTTCTGCACCAGTTGGTAGTGAATTGATGTAAGACAAGCTAGATGATGTGAAGGCCCTTTGGGAGTGAGTGAACAGTGCAGAGGCACAAATAGATCATTACAGTCTGAGGAGTTACCAGTGTTCAACACTCAAGGAAAAGGCAAGACGGATATACAGTCAAACTCCCCCTGCATTCAATGTTTACTGTTATGTTATATGACTCTGTTATCTCCTTGTGTCTCATCCAAATGTTACATGAATCAGCTCTGTCCCAGTTGTTATATTATTATGTTCTTCTCAGCAGAGCTATTTCTTAGCTCCTTTAGACACACATATGTGGGGATCGTCACCAGAGCTATGGAGTTTGTGCTCTGTGTGGCGCTCTTGGCAGGTGGCTAGCCATTCTGTGGAGAGAGAGACCAAGCCATATGAGATAAAACCCGGTGCAATTAATTTGATCCTTTTAACTTTAACGCATGTTATTAGTTTAGAGTTACAGTTGCTTCAGATACAGTGAGTTAAAGTAAAACTATCTTGTAATGGAAGAGTTAAATAACAAATAATAACCCCAGTCCAGTTAAATAGACTTGGAGAAATGCATAGTATAATTGTTATGACATGTTGTGAATGTTTTTCTTTAACAATTGTTTGAAAAGAAGAATAAAATATATGTGAAAATACTCTACTGTTTTTCAGGAATTTGGCAGGAAATCGTTGGTTATGTGACTGCAGGCTGACTTGGCTGAAGCCGCTCATGGATTCTATATTATTATCAGGGGGAGCAATTCTAAACAAAGATGTTACATACTGCAACACAGGGGTTAGCTTAATGGTCAACTTAACAGAACTTGCTGCTTCCCCATTTTGTAAGTTCCACATATCTGAAATTTTGTTTCCTAGTGTATCAGATGTATTGTGTGTATAGATGTTATCAGATTATATGCCAAGCAACTCACCATATGTGCATTAATTACATCATACATTATATCATGTTTGCAAACTGTTTTCAGTCAAATCTTTCAGTAAAGTATATATTATTTAGTTGTGAGATGCAATTTTTCATTATTTTGAAGCCCCACCCTGGCTCTAGCCAGGGGCCGCAATATAGCCCTTCCATAAATGTGGCCTAATGGTTGAACACGGTTTCTGGAACATCTCCATGGGTGATCCTCATCCATATGGTGGCACTTTGTGTCAGCGGGTGTTAATCGCTTGTGTGATGTCCTAGTGGGGTGAGAGTACTACTACTACTAGTAAACAATACCTTTAAATGTTTAATTTTGCATTCAGAGACAAAAAAGGGGGAAGGGGGTGTAATCTGTAATCCTCAACCAATTGTCAAGATGCCACATCAGCCTTATGTTACTGAGAGGTTTTTATTAAGTCTTAGTTCAATGTATGTGTAGTGCCATCTTCACATTGAAAAATTACTAATATGACTCCAAAATTGCTTTTTTAAAATTAAATCTTTAAACTGCACTCATTTAGGCATCTTGATTTCATCCTTTGAAGTTTTTTCCTTCATTACAACTTTACTTGTGTCTCTTTTCTTAGGTAATTATCTTACATTGATCTTATTGATAAATGTTTTCTTTGATCCAAGTTTTTGTTCAACTTCTATGTTTGTTTGCTTGCCTTTTGCTGTCATTTATCTGTATAAGCATATGTTATTAGTTTGAATTTCATGACTCAGTTTGTTATTCAATGTTTGTGTCTCTGGACCATACACTAATGAAGAAAATCTATAACATTCCATCAATGTTAATTTTAACAGAGAACTTATTTAGGAATGAGATACTATATATATTTATGAATATTATTGTTTTTATTTCCATTTTCATTCTTTCTGGGTTTTTTTAAATATCTGATGATCAGCTACATAATAATATTATTACATTATGTTAGTGTGCTCTTTAAAAACAAATTCCCTTTTTTTTTCTCTCCCAGGTGCCAAAATAGCAGCTTCCTGTGTTTACGATTTCCCTAGCCAAAATTACTCCATTGTCCAGTTCTCTGGACAAATAAATGGCATAATATCCAACTATACTTGTAGAGACATGTGTCTAGAGAGCAATAATAGCTACTTTTCTTATGTCCAAGGCAGCACCAGTTGTATGTGTGGTGATATTATTAACAAAGCTAGTTGCCAAAACTGTAATAGCTCATTATTGGTTTCATGTAATAACACTTATAGTTACATAGATACTGCTGTTAGTGTAATGTATGATCTTACTGTGAGATTTTCACCATTGACCCCTCAAGTCATGTCAGTTGTAAATTTTACACTTAATGGAGCATCTTCCTTGTATGATACATTTATCTGGAATTTTGGTGACGGTACAATCAGATCAGTATTAAATGACAAGACTTCATCGCATACATTCATTTACCCTGCCCATTTTGAGGTGTCAGTCAGTTTAGCCAGCAGTTCCTTACCACACATTCTTCCAGTCAAAGACACAATCCAGTTGACTGTTGTGTCTACATCTGATGTAGGCCAGATAGTGTGTCCATCTTCTGTGATCAAAACATCAGATTTCTTAAATGTGAGTGCTGTATTTACATCAGCGTGGAATCAGCGAGTGAGATGGATAAGAAATTACCAAAAACTTGATGGTGAAGCTGATGGTACTGAATTTGAAAGTGAGTACAGTGTTCTGTTTCATTGAGGTTTGGTTTAACTGTACACATTGAGAGTCAGGTTTCACTTCTCTTCAACCCAGTGCCAGTGAGTCTATAAAAATATGGGGTTAGGCTTAAGCAGAAAAATGATAGCAAACAGTCTGAAAGAAAATGATCAGCATTATTTGTCCATTAATTTACAATACATTTATTAAATATTTTTTGGAAGAGTTCTATTTTCTCTCAAGTCATTAAATATTTAAGGAGTCATTGCAAGTTTCTCGTAAAGCTACTTTGACTTATTTTTAGCTTTTTAAATGTTTTTTGATACAACCGTCAAAATACAATAAGAAATAAATATTTCAGGAAAATAACCGATATATCTAAAAAGACAGAAACTTCTCTTCTGCAAAGCATAGGAAAATCCCATAACATTTAGAGTCAAAGTATTTCTTACATGGAAGAATTAGATTTGTTAATTTTAAAAATTAAGTTCCCAACCATTTGAGACTTTTCTCATTCTCAAATGATGCTTGCTCTTCTCATTTAATGCCAGCCACCTTTAATATGATCTTTTACTCTTTACATTCATTCAGAGTTTACTAAAGCAGTCTGGCCTCCCAGCTGACTTCTCTGAATGTGTATTTAGCCTCTTTAAAAATTGTACACAATGATTTCTCATAGTGATTATTTCCTCAAATTGGCATTTTTTTTTTTGGCTAAAATTTCATGAACTGAAATTCATTCATATATTAATTGTCCTTTTATGCTATTACATGTCACATAGGGCATATCTTTTTGTCTCTAGTGTTACATCTGCTTGATCTGTTATTGGTGTCTTCAATATATATGTGTATTTTCATAAAACTTATTTGAAGTCCAGCTATTGATGCTATTTTTGCTAAATATTTTCTTTGCATATCATTTCTGTTTTTACTTAGCAGAACAGTATCACCTGTAACACTGAAGGGCCTTTTTAATTAAATGAAAAAAAAACTGCAAAACTTTTAAAATGTAACTAATATTTTGATAGTAAATAATGTTTATATATTTTTGTTAATTTTTTTGAGGTTAACAACTTCCATAGTATTATCACATATCAGCATGTTTTTGTCACCAAACTTTACTGAGGCCATGCATTCACAGAAGAATGTCAGCCACAATGGACATCATTCAGAAATCGTTGCCTGAAGGTTTTCATGTCTGCTAGCACATACGCAGCAGCTCATTCAGCCTGCAACGTAGAAGGTGCAAGGCTCTTAAGATTGTACTCCAATGAAGAAATTTCTGATTTGAAAAACGATTCCACCATCTTTGAAAATGGTGCTGGTGAGTTATTCATGTTGTTTTTTTTTTTCCATGTGATGTGACCAATAGTTGAGTTTTGGAACCCTGGTGGCATGTTGACTAGCACATTTGACTGCCAGTCTTCTTGGTGTAAGTTCAGATCCTCAATGGAGACACATTTTTAAGTGACATGTGACAGCCAGAAATTGTCATAGAGAATAAAGCTGGCCAGCATGATTAAAACTTTCTACTGAGCTCTAATTGATCTATTCAAATATGGAAAAAGCATCATATACAAATCGCCTAAAGTCAAGAAAACAAGGCTTACTTTAACTCAAATTAGCAATCAAGTTTGTATCAATAGTTAACACCAGTGTTCATTTAAGGTTTGGCAATGTATCAAGATTGACATCAGATAGAGTACAACAGAGAGCAATCTTATACAGATACAATGGTAACAGAGCCAGAGGATGACCATGCACAATATGAACTGTAGACATATCAGAGAAACTGAAAAGTGCTTTATATAAAGCAAACAAAAGGACCCATTCCAGAGATCTCTTCCTCCCTGACGCAGTGAGGCATTCCAAGAGTAGAGCAAAGAAGAAGAAGATCGTTCAGTGTGAGACTGCTAATCGAAAAAAATTATTTAAAAAATTTAAAAATTTAATTAGTGTTAATAACACATCCAGTTTCAGCAGACCCTTTATTAGCTACTTTTTACAGTATGCTTGAAGGGCAGTGGTTTTTGTTTTTTCACTCAAAATGGAATAAAAACCCACATGGGAGAACTGTTTCACTATGCTGAAATTTCTAAATAGCAATAGGGTGTGTAATTTTTTCTTTTTCTTTGAAAATTCTTGGAGTGATCAGTTTGTAAATCCAGTATAAAATCTGTAAAATAGAAGTGCTTGGTATCTCCCAGCAGAACTCAAAAGATATGAATGTTAATTGTCCCAGTTTTGTTTTTTCAACTAATTTAGCTGTGAGGCTAGTTTGCATGTTAAATGGTTGTTCTCACTATAAATTTAAATGAATTTTTATTAGATATTCGAATTATTATTTTTTTTTTTAAATAACTAAAACAGATCATCCACTCCATCAGAGTGGCTTTTGTTGCCAGCTTTAAAAAAAAAAAAGTAGAATGAGTACATTTTGTACTCTGTAGACTGCATGAGAACAACAAGAGAGGATTATAGACTGCTTTCTGTTATGGCATAGAAAGAAGTCAGCTTACACATTGAAACATGCTGTCAAGAACCACTGAAATTAAACAGTTATGATGGAAATTGCAAAATGTTGTGAAGCCTGATTGCTGAATCCATTCAGTAAGGCACCTTTTAAAAAAATCGCTGTTGAAGATACCGTAACAAAGTAAACCTATGGTGGTGATTAAAAAGTTGCTCGTCTTACTATAGATGTAGCTGATATTCAGAATATTCGAAAATATATACCGTTTCTGGTATTGTTTTATTTAAATTTAAATGGTTTTTAAAAAAAACTATATCCCGTTTGTGACATTTACTACATAAGTATCTTATTTCATTAGTTAGTTAGTTAGTTAGTTAGTTAGTTATTCCTCTTGTGCCAAAGATGGCGCATAGGGCAGAGGTCATAACTTTCCACGTCTGTCGGTTCGTTGCCACTTGATGTAGGTCTTGAGTGCGACTGAGACCTATGGTTGAGCTCTCCCTTGTGATGGTTCTACGGAGAGTTTCTTTTGGTCTTCCCTGTTTTCTTTTACCCTCTGGTGACCATATGAAGGCTTGGTGGGGAAGTCTCTGTATGTCCATTCTGAGTACGTGACCGATGTAATTCCAGCGACGCATTCTAATAAAATCAGACACATATTTTTGTTTTGTTTCCTGTCTTATAGATGTATTGGACCTAAAGTCCGACCAGTGAACATTCAATAGCTTTCGGAGGCATCTATTCTCGAAAGCGACTAGTTTCTTATCGATTGATACTGATGATTTCCAACTCTCACAACCATAAGTTAGCACTGGGATCACACAGGAATTGAAGACCTTAAGTTTCGTGTTGTTGCTGAGTGATCTTGACTTCCAAATGTTTGACAGTTTGTTAAAGGCACTTGATGCTAACGCGATTCGAGTCGTTATTTCTGATGTTGTATCTCCCGCAGAGGTTATCTTGCTCCCTAAGTATGTGAAGCTGGTGATTTTTTCAAGAACAATATCCTTTAGTTTGATGTCTTTCGACTCGTTGGTAAGATCGATGATTTTCGTTTTGGCTGCGTTGACCTGAAGGCCGATTTGGCTTGAAATATTCTGGAGGCGGTCCATTTTTTCCTGAGCTTCTAGATTTGTTGTGCTCAGGAGTGCTAGGTCGTCAGCAAAGTCAAGATCTTCGAGAACTTTGTCGACCCATTTGATGCCTAGATGTGTGTCCTGTGTGCATTTGCGCATGACCCAATCGAGTGCTATTCCGAAAAGCATCGGTGACAAGACACATCCTTGTTTCACGCCTGTTTCTACTGGGAACCAATCAGAGTTACCAGATTCCGTTCTAACAAGGCAGCGGGAATCGGTGTAGAAGGCCTTTATAATATTGACATATTTATCTTGGAAACCATAGATTGTGAGTAGCTTCCAGAGTGTAGGGCGGTGTATGCTGTCAAAAGCCTTCTGAAAATCAACAAAGTTGATGATGAGTTGGGATTGAAACTCTACTGACTCTTCTACGATGGTCCTGAGTGTGAATATATGGTCGATGCATGACCGATTCGGTCTGAATCCTGCTTGTTCTTCTCGGAGTCTTGCATCTATTGGCTTTTTTCAGTCTCTGCATTAGCATGCTGCAGAACAGTTTTCCTGGTACGGAGAGTAGGGTGATACCACGCCAGTTGTTGCAGTCTGCTAAATCACCTTTTTTGGGCAGTTTGAATATAACACCTTCTTTCCACTGTTGCGGTGGGGATTCATTTAGCCAAACATCATTGAACAGCTGTAGCAAATATTGTAAGGTGTTTTCGTCTGCTGCCTTTAACATTTCAGCTGAGATTTCATCTGCGCCAGTAGCCTTGTTCTTCTTTAGTTTTTTTATTGCTGATTTAAGTTCTAACATTGTGAATGGTTCACAGGTAGCATCTAGAGGTGGCATAGCTTCTTCTTCGTCTATATTGGGAACAGTGTCGAGTTGTGGCCTATTTAATATTTCTCTGAAATGTTCTGCCCATCGTTGCTTTTGTTGTTCTTCAGATAATAATAATTTACCCTGTTTGTCTTTGATGGGTGCGTTTGCTGTAGGTGTATGGTTGCACAGCTGTTTCATGATGTGGAATACAGCTTTATTGTTCCCAGTTCTGGCAGACGTTTCAGCATCGCAAGCTAGGTTGTGTATGAAATCTTGTTTATCTTTCCGTGCACTATGTTTCACTTCTTTATCTAACAAGGTGTACCTTTGTTTGACTTTTTCATATACAGATGTGTCTTTTGTAGATAAAAGGGATAATTTGGCCTGTTTTCTTTCCTGAATTTTTATCCAAGTGTTTTCACTCAGCCATTGTTTCTTCTTTCTTTGCATGTAACCAACTGTGTTGACTGCGGCTTCCTTGAAGGTGTCTCTAAAGAAGCTCCATTTTTGTTCTATGCTGTATTCAACATTATTTTTGTTAGTTAAGGTTTGTACGTAGTTGTTTTGTATCCCAGAGTTAAATGTGATTTGATGTTGGTTTGACAACAGAGACTGTGAATCTATTTTCTTGCTTGTAAATGTTTTATGTAGTTTCTTGAGCTTCATCTTTAGTTTGGCTATGCAGAGGTTGTGATCGCTGCCAACGTCTGCTCCTCGATATGCTCTGACATCCCGAACTGACGAGCGGAATTTGGTACTTATGCAAAAGTGGTCTATCTGATTTTTAGTGTGATTGTCAGGGGAAATCCAGGTGGATTTATGAATATCTTTATGTGGGAAGGTGGTATTTGCTATTAACAGATTAGCAATTTCACATAACTCGAGTAGTCTTTCGCCATTCTGGTTCATGCTCCCTATACCATGCGCTCCCATGTATCTTTCAACACCGCTGTTGTCATCTCCAACCTTGGCGTTGAAATCGCCCATCACAACAGTGATGTCGTGTTTTGGTGTTTTGTTGATGGTGTCAGTTAATACGTTATAGAAGGTGTCTTTGTTGAAGTCAGTATCATCATTTGTAGGTGCATAGCATTGTATGACTGATAGTTTGAAATACCTGGATTGGAAGCGTGCTGCTATAATTCTTTCATTGACCGGTTCCCAGCTGACGAGTGATCTTTCTGTTCTAGGTGACATAATAATCGCGACACCGCCTGAATGTTGGTTATCAGTTCTCCCCGAATAAACTATGTGTTTTTGTTCATTAGTAAGGAACGTTTTACCCGAGTTGGTCCATCTACATTCGCTAACACCAAGGATATCCAGATTGAAATCATTCATAACACTACACACTTGTGCTGTTTTCCCTGTCTGGTACATAGTTCTAACGTTCCAATATCCAATTTTAAAAACATCGGTGGCATTCAACAAATTAGAACGAAACGACATGACGTTTAAAGCTAGAAATCTGTTTCTGTAACAGTGGATGTTTTACGATGGCGGCTTGTTAGGCTACCGATCAACGGACTGGAGACAAGCTTGAAGGAAAACATCCCTCCATCTTGAAACCGGAACCGGAGCCGTTCATTTATTATTTCATTACTATGTATTTTTCTGTATTTACTTTACCGTGCACACGAATAACTTGTGAAAAGGGTAATAATGAGTACTGTCTTTTTATTTGTAGATAAGTATTATTACACAGGAGCTGAGTGGTTCCCTTCTCTAGAAGCCTATGTATGGAGCAACACAACTATTAAAGCACCTGTGTTTAAGGAAACCTTGCCATATGCAACAAAAGATGGCTGTGTTACTCTTACGTATACAGGTCTACAGGGAGTTGTATGCAGTGACTCATTACTTTTTATTTGTGAAAAAGGTTGGTATTGGCTGGACAGATATAGTCATTAGTTATGTATTTTTCAAGTTATTTAAATTATTTCATTGTTAATTATTTGCATAATGCAGTTATTGGGGGCTAAAGTAGCTTAGAGGTTAGTCATCCACCTGTAGCTTCTAACTTGTTGATTTCGGATTCTTAAAACACATAACAGACTTTTCTCCATGAAATCCTAATAACACAGTAAGGACTTTTCTCCATGAAATCCTAATAAGAAGGAAAGGTCTTTTCTCCATGATATCTTAATAACACAGTAAGTACTTTTCTCCATGATATCCTAATTACAGGGTAAGGATTTCTCTCCATGATAGCTCAATAACACAGTAAGGACTTTTCTCTACGATATCTTATTAACACAGAAAGGACTTTTCTCCATGATATCTTGGTAACACAGTTAGGACTTTTCTCCATGATATCTTAGTAACACAGTAGGGACTTTTATTTATATCTTAGTAACACAGTAAGGACTTTTCTCCATGATATCCTTATAACATAGTAAAGACTATTTTCCATGATGTCATAAATTTTTGGTATATTATACTAGCTTGTACAAGACAGAAGGTTGTTGATAGACTTGACTACCAGCGCCACATGACATGGACTTTAAGAAGAAGTACTAGCTCAGTGTCTGTGGCTTAGGCATTACGATCGTGCTTCGTAATGCCAGGATGCCGGGTTCAATTCCTGCTGCGGACAATTTGTCATGTGCTGGTTTCACCAATGGTACCAAGAGCTGGGTGTTCAGAGGCAGTGGCAAACTACTGAATTTAAGATTTGCCTATAAAAACCACAACAGCCAGTACATGCTGGGGTTGGTTCTGCAATGTCCTGTAAAGGATACGCAACTAACTTTTAACTAGCTCTATTTTTTTAAACCAGTCGATGGATGATAATAACATGCCAAAAGGTTTAGATGTAGCTGAAGATAGCTTTCAGAGGAGCCTGATGATGTCATTCCCACCCCATTATCTCAGGCTGGTTGATTGGATATTTGGTCTTCTCGGATATCTCGGTCTTCTGTTTTTCTACTTAACTCATCAAAGTTTTGGGGGAAATTTAAGAATCTTCCATGAGCTCTTTCTGTTGCGTTATATAAGGTTTTACTTATTTCTTCTTGCTGTCATTCCATTCTTAGTGTCCTTCCTCTTGCTTGTGTTCACTATATTGTTAGTGTGGTATTCTCCTTGCTGTGAGTTCATTCCATTTTTAGTGTGATCTTCCCCTTGCTCTGTGTTTATTCCATTTTAAGTGTGATCTCCCCTTTGCTCCTGTTCATTCCATTTTTAGTGTGCTTCCCCCTTGCTCTGTGTTTATTCCATTTTAAGTGTGCTTCCCCCTTGCTCTGTGTTTATTCCATTTTAAGTGTGCTTCCCCCTTGCTCTGTGTTTATTCCATTTTAAGTGTGCTTCCCCCTTGCTCTGTGTTTATTCCATTTTAAGTGTGCTTCCCCCTTGCTCTGTGTTCATTACATTTTTAGTATGGTCTTACCCTTGCTCTGTGTTTATTACATTTTTTAGTGTGGTCTTCCCTTTGCTCTGTGTTCATTACATTTTTAGTGTGCTTCCCCCTTGCTCTGTGTTTATTACATTTTTTAGTGTGGTCTTCCCTTTGCTCTGTGTTCATTACATTTTTAGTATGGTCTTACCCTTGCTCTGTGTTTATTACATTTTTTAGTGTGGTCTTACCCTTGCTCTGTGTTCATTACATTTTTAGTGTGGTCTTACCCTTGCTCTGTGTTTATTACATTTTTTAGTGTGGTCTTCCCTTTGCTCTGTGTTCATTACATTTTTAGTGTGCTTCCCCCTTGCTCTGTGTTTATTACATTTTTTAGTGTGGTCTTCCCTTTGCTCTGTGTTCATTACATTTTTAGTGTGCTTCCCCCTTGCTCTGTGTTTATTACATTTTTTAGTGTGGTCTTCCCTTTGCTCTGTGTTCATTATATTTTTAGTGTGCTTCCCCCTTGCTCTGTGTTTATTACATTTTTTAGTGTGGTCTTCCCTTTGCTCTGTGTTCATTACATTTCCTCAGCTCTTCTTGTTGGAATTGAAAAATAGTTGTTCCTATGTGCACATTGTGTATGTTAAACATCTCTCACCTTTACTTTTACTATTGCTGACAAAATGTAGAATTATTACAAGATTTTTGCATCATAATACTTCCAGCATGTGTTGATTGGGGTACATGAAAAGGTTTGAGCTGTATTAAGTTTTAAATTTTTAGTTAATATATATCACTGGGTGTGGAATGCCACATAAAATTTCTAGATTAGTGAAAAGGAAAGAAATAATAAACAGTTTTATTGTGTTGATTGATCCTACAAATTCTGAGCTTGTAAAGAGCACTTAACATATTCCAGTGAATCAGGAAGTGATTAAAAGATACTGGCTTTTGGTAGGACACACAATGAGAAAGCTTGATAATAACAGAGCTTATTTTCCAATACGATATAGACACAGAAGGATAAACAAGATTCATAAGATATAGTAGACAGGACAAGAAGAGGAGGAGAAGAATAAAATAAGGAGGAGAAAGAGAAGAAGTGAAGAAGAAGGAAGAAAAAGAAGAAGAAGAAGCAGAAGGAGGAGGAGAAGTGGAAAAAGAAAAAGAAGAAAGGAAGTGGAAGATGAAAATGATTGTGATACTTCTGTGATAACAGCCTATAAGTTTATAAATACTGTTCATTAATAAAAACTTTGATACATTAACTAATATCTTTTTGTGTCTTTTTCCTTATCGAGTTTGTTCATTAGATTTCTTTTAAATATTCTATTGTGAATTACTTTTCTCACTGCAATTTTTAGATATGTTATTATTATAATGGTAATTTTCTATGTGTACGGTATGTGCATTTATTTATAGCTGGGAATATTCAATTAACCTTGATAGTGATGTGTCACTTCCAGATCCAGTAACCTGTATAGGCAATTGGCATTCAGACAGCCAGACTTGTTACGTCATAGTCAATCAACTTGCTACTTGGCAGCAGGCGCATCTGTCATGTCTATCAACATTCACAAATGGCAGACTGGCTTCTATTGTTAGTTCATCTCAGAATTCTTATGTGTCCAGTTTGTTGGCCAGGTGAGAGAAACATTTGTTTTGTGTGAGGAATAGTTATAACTGTGTGTGGGTTATGGGGCTCCATTTCTGTAGAAACAGTTAAACAAATGATTCATGAAAATTGCTGCCAAGGTTATGTGATTATCTATACAGATGGTTCTGTGTTGAGAGGTAGACGAAGTGCATGGGGTTCATAGCAAAAGTGAATGGATGTCGCTTAGTGCAACAAAGCCTGGTATATGATATCACAATGACTAGTTTGAGAATAGAGATGGAGGCAGTCATTGGTGCCTTCCACTGGATTGAGAAATTAGCTGTACACACATATAATAATTATAACTGATGCACAGAGTGTGTTGAGAAAGGTAGAGACATGCATGCTGTGTGCAGAGTAGCAAGCATCGCTTCAGAAGTCCTGGGTAGTTAGTGTTCTTTGGATATTTTCTCCAGGTCATGGTGGTATGTTGGGATATGAGCAGGCAGATAGGCTGGCTGGTTCTCCACCACTTGGTGGTGAATTAATATACAACAAGCTATTTGTAGTGATTGTCTTTGGGAGTGAGTGAACAGTGCAGAGACACAGATAGATCATTAAGGTCTAAGGGGAATGGCGCTGTGGGGAGTTACCAGAGAATCTGCCCGACACTCAACACTCAAAGGAGAGGTTAGACAGATGTACAGTCAGACAGTTACTGTTACCATCGGAATTGGAACTGTTCACCTGCTGCTGAAGATGGGGATGAAGCACTTATGGGAGTGTCCAGAGTGCTAAGATGTTGATTATTAATTCAGCGTTTAACATATTTTGTAGAAAAAGAGAAGACACTCACTGCCCCCATGGTGTAATAAGGGACTAATTAGAGGTTATTCCAGAGAAATTTGACTAAAAAGCTCAACAAAATAGGGAAGCAGAAAAACGTGAACAAATCGGCACGTTTTTTTTTTTCATCAAGTTTTTTTCTGCTTCCCCATTTTGTTGAGCTTTATAGTCAAATTTCTCTGGAATTCCTTGTATAAGCTTGACTGCAGTCACTCCCATATTTTCACCATAATTAGAGGTTAGCTGAAATTGGATATCATGAGCTGAAAGATGTCACAGCCTAGCTGTAAACCACAATACAGTGTGTCAGTTGTCATGTTAAGGATGAATGCAGAAAAAGAAGAAGAAGAAGAGTTCTATTTGTTTTTCATGATCGAGTGAAGAACTACAGATCAGATTTTTAACATTCACTGTACTGCAATTGCTAGATGCTTACCTTCCAACCCTAACATGTTGGGTTCAAAATATCGGGACATCACATCAAGACAGATATTGTGTAAATGACCTGGACTCTTCAATACCGTAAAAACTCAAGGTAGCCAGTATAATGTTGATTGCATTACCAAACAACAGCCAGGTGGTCTGTAAACATATCAGTCTAGCACAATGGCTCTTCACCTTCCTAATGCTGCGACCCTTTAACACAGATCCTCATGTTGTGGCAACCCCCAGCAATACAATAATTTTTTTTTGCTGCTTCATAACTTCAGTAAATATTTTTTTTTTTTTTTAAATCGTCTTAGGCTACCCCTGTGAATGTTCATTCAACCTCCAAAAAGGTAACGACCCACAGGTTGAGAACCGCTGGTCTAGCACCATATGCCTAGTGCACCATTGGCGTGGGAAGGGTCTCTGTTTTCTTTTTCCAACTTTATATGTGTCCTTCTCTTTTGATTGGTACAACCATTAAAACACGACACATTGTTTGAAACTGAAAGTGTTAATTAATGAAAACCTCTACAAAACACACAAGCATATGACAAGATTACTTCTGGATTACTTAACTATCCTAGACAAAGTTAGAAATGAAATTATCAGCCAGACTGTCGGAACAGCAACTTGCAGCAAATCCACTGGGAAACAGAAGATCAAATGGTTTGGTCATCTATTAAGAATGCAGTCAGAACCAACACAGGTGCTACACTTGAAAAGATTTGATGTGAAATCAAGAGGTTGTCCTAGCAGAAGATGAATTCATCATCATCATCTATTTTCACTTCTGATGATAAGCATTGTAGGGAGAAACAGTTTGCAATCCACTGCTTTATGGGCAGCAATATCTATTGTCATTCCCTGTTGATGTGAAAGCTCTTCAGTGTCATCAGTCCATCTTCTGATGATGATGATAATATAATGATGCAGTATTTGCTGCTTCGTTTTATGTACATTTTGGCCCGTATTAAGTATCTACTTTTATACATTCGCCGGGGTGCCAGGTTTGACTCCAGCTGCGGGCCTTGAGCCTTTCTCTGGTTTCTACAGTGGTATCCCAAAGCCCACCCTCCAGAAAGCAATAGCAAACTACTGGACGTGAATTTGCCGAGAAAAACCACAACAGCCAAAACATTCTGGGGTTGCTTCTGCAATGTCCTGTAAAGGATACACAACTAATTTTTAAACTGTTTATACATTCATATGTAGGCATATGTTTACATAGACATTTAATCTCTTGATTCTTTTCTTTAACAGCCAGGCATGGATTGGACTTAGAGCATGGACGGCACAGGGCTACTATACTTGGCAAGATGGTCAGACATTAGGTGGATATTCCAACTGGGTAAACAGAGCTGGAGGAGAGCCTTGTGTATCAATCAACACTTCAGGCTTATGGCAGACGGAGATGTGTACTAAACAGAATAGTTACATATGTGAATACTTTGTTGGAGGTTAGTACTCCACTCAGATTGACTTCATCCGTTAACTTTTGCCTCCTTTTTTTTGTTGTTGCCTGACCTTCTCACTAATCCATACTCTAGTTTTTCCTTCTTTTTTCCTTATTTCTTATGAAAAGAAAATTGATTGTATTGTGCTGGTTTGCACCAAGCTACATAATTTATATCTTTGTAGCATAGATATGCAGAAATGGGAGCCCAAAAAAATTGCTGTAGCCAGACACTTTTATTTTGGCCAGGAGGTCTTGAGTTTGTATCCATTTTGAGGTTGATTTTGAGTTTTAGGCTTACAGGTCTGTCCTCTTCAAAAATATTTACCAAGAAGCACCATGGAAAATTTAGGCAGATAACACGATGTTGATGAACAAAATTAAGATCTATCACTATAATACTGATGTGCCACTGGCATCAAAATGCTCCTTAACTACTTTAAAAAAAAAAGAAAGTAAAGTTCCCTTTTCACGCCTTTCGGCGCATTGGGCATATGGGTAATGTGGTCAACATTACGCCGGCTGTCTTTACTTTCCCAGGACAGCCCATCCTGGTACCCAATTTAGGCTGGGTAGACCTGCGACGTCCCATACCACTTAACTACTTTTACTAAATTATAAGTGAAATTTTTCTTTCAGTTGAGAAAGTCTTTACCTTTTTATCATATAAACTCCGAAAAATTGACCTTTTTTTAAAATTTTGTTAAACAGAAATGCATTATTATAATTCTCTGAAACACTACCCTAAGAAACTAATGTAAAAAAGAGGAAGCAGATAAAATTTGGAGTTCTGGTCAGTTTTTTTTTAAATCTAGAGGTTGAAACCTATGCCCATTGAGCAGACAGGCAAGCTGCTAGCTGTTACATAATCACATCTCCCAAGTCACTAAAAGATGGATTTGTCATATAAAGAGTCATTACTTTGCCTTATTTTTTTTTTTTTTAAAGAAAGGAGATAATCACTAAATGCAGCTGCAGAAAGAAGTAACTGCTTTGCTTCACTTTGACCTAGAAAACAGTGTTAAAACAGCCACATAGAGGATAATGACGTCATTGTTATTGTGTTATTACATCAAAATGGCAAAAAGAAATTGATTTTTTAACTATTCAGTGTTCAATAATAGAGTCGACAGGAATATGTTGTGGGAATGTATGGGGAAAAAAGGAATCAGCAATCATCTCATTAATATTTGCAAAAGCCTGTACACACGTAGTGAATGCTGCATAAGATCAAAGGCAGGGTTGTCTAGAACTTTTATAGTGAACTCTGGTGTGCGTCAGGGCTGTGTACTATCGCCGCTTCTTTTCATAACATACATGGACGCCATATGTAGCGAAACAGACTTTAATCAGGGAGAAGATATAACAGAATTACTTTTCGCCGACGACCAGGTACTCATAGCAGAAAATATGGAATGCCTACAGAACCACCTAAATCAAATTAGTAACAAAGGGGAGGAATATAATATGAAAATAAACACTACGAAAACAGAGACAATGATGATAGGAAGACATAAAGACAATTTAGAAATTAAATTAAAAAACAACACCCTGAGACAAACAGAGGAATTTAAGTATTTGGGAGCAATTTTTACTTCAGACGGAAAACTGGACAGAGAAATTAGTTCCAGATGTGCCAAGTAATGGGTCAACTATCTCCCCTGTTGACACACAAGCAGATACCTCGGAGTACTAAAGTGAATCTTATCAGAACTATTTTTTGGCCAACACTATGCTATCAATGCCAAACGTGGACACTTACATCCTCCAATGAACGTAAAATTGTGACAACAGAGATGAAATGTCTTAGAAGAGCTGCAGGAGTTTCAAGGAAAGACAGAATACAAAATCATGAAATCAGACGAATGCTAGGAATAAAGCCAGTCTTACAGGTTTTCAAAGAACAACAAATGAAATGGTTTGGACACCTTACAAGAATGCCCTGGTACTATCTGCCACAGCGAGCCACACTAAAACGTTACAACGGGTGTAAAGCGAGTGGAAGACCTCGGGAAATATGGAGTGATGGCATTAAGAACAGCCTTACAGAAATGAGCATCAGTCTTAATAGTGCTCTTGACAGAGCTCATCAACGAACATTACATCTCCCCCCGACACTTCGATGAGGTACAAGGTGGAAGAGAAGAAGAAGAAGAAGAAGAAGTGTTCAATAATTTTTTTGTTTTTATGTAATCATAGCTGTATACACATAATATAGTTGAAATCCCTACCAAAGCTGTTATACAGACAAAATGGCCACTGTCTGGAGATTTCATGTGATTTTTTAAAAAACCATTGAAAGTAGGAAACATCAGCTGACACGGGGTAAACAAGGTTAAACAGTATCATGATATTATTGATGTTTCATTATATTTATTTACAGACAAAGTGAAAACTTCCTGGCTTGTGGCAGGCTTTGTACCAGTCATGAGCAATGTTTCGTCACCTGTAGCAGCTTCAGTGATGGCGCCACCTCAATCTGTGATATCTTCTTTTGTCACTTTATTGTTAGGTTTGTCAGTGTCTGTGGCTTAGGTATTGCGAACATGCTTTATAATTCTGTGATGCCAGGTTCAATCCCAGCTGCAAGTGAGTAGGCAGCAGATCACCTTGCATCTGTTTCAACAGTAGTTTCATTCCCGTCATCATAATGTCAGTGACTCTAGCTGTCCACAGGATGCATACCATTCTGTACTCATCATATCTGTTGTGTATTTGACTTGTTGAAATCTTGTTTAATGTTTTACCTAATATTTGTAGGAATGAATATACATCGATATATGTCTACTTTCTAATATGTCCAACTTGGTAAACATCCCGTTCAGGGGCAATACATTTAGCTTTAAATGTGATCTTTGTTTGGAATATGACTCATGGGCTAGAACTTTTGAGTCTTACCCAGGTCCAATTAGGGAAAAGAGGCAGAAAGAAAAGAAAGGACAAAACCAGAATTTGAGATCATCATCATCATGTAGCAGGTCCTTTGCAGAACGTCGCTCTCATCACAGTCTGCCTGAAAGAAACTCTGTCTCTCGCCAGTTCTCCCGCCTCATGCACTTTCACACTCAAGGAGTCACTTATATCCTGTGCCCATCTTCATGTCGGTCGGCTCCTGCCTTCCGACCATGTCTTCTGCTATAATTTTTTCCAATCCTTCTTGGTGCTTCATATGACCAAAATATTTCAGCTTCCAAGACAGGATGCTGTTTATTAGCCAATCTTCCTTGATGTTCAGATCTTTCAGGATGTCAGTATTTCTCCTCTTCTTTGTCCAAGATATTTTCATTTTTGGCTTCCATTATAAGTTTCTTGGGATAGTATTGTGGTAGTTTCCCGTTGCTTTCCACATCCACATGGCTTTAGCAGCCTTTTGGTTTGCTAGGGCATGTGAGTGCCTGCTCTGTGATGCTTCTGCTAACAGCAGAGAGCACCCCAGAGGTGTCCACTTGTCCCGGCGGATATTCGGTCCCCATAGCTGCGTTGGCCACACTGCAGTATGTTTACCATCCTCTACCGCGTGGATACCTTAAGTTTTATTGGAAGGGGACTTTTCCTTCCAAATAATAACATCTCCTCCTCCACCCTTCTTGCTACCATCAGAGTAGGCCTTAGACATTTCTCAGCAAGGTAAAGTGAGGTTAGATTTTCATTTGTTCCATCTAATTGCTTTTGTATTTATGAATTGTAATAATAAGCAGTGCAACATTTTTTTATACAACTCCCATCAATGTATAATATGCCATTAATGGTTCTTTTTACATTTTCCGCACCAGAAAGAGAGTGACTTTCCTTCCTTTCATGCCTCATCATGTCGCAGGGCCTGTCCTTTGTGGAGATGTCACGATTTTACTCGTTCTTGTCAGCGGCCGGCAATATCAAGTTTTCTATATTCCACGATGCGAGCGCTTTAAGCGGCCCAAAAACATGTAGAACTGGCCCTCACCCCAACCCCCCTACCCGAAAGCCTCAGCCTACGTCCCATAAGAGAGTACAACCTACGTCCTACGAGAGAGTGTAGCCTAGGTCTTACGACTTTATGCAGGGTATATTATAGGCTGTATGCATCATGGGATGTAGGCTGCACTCTCTCATGAGATATAGAGGGCACACTCTCGTGGGATGTAGGCTGAGACTGTGGAGTGGGGGGGGGGGGGGGTGTGTTTGGGTTAGGGCTAGTTCTACATATTTTAGAGTCTCTAAAAGCCCTCTCATCATTGAATATAGAACATGCGATATCGCTGGCAGCTGACAACAACCAGTAAAATACTGTTTGTTGCTAGGCGGCCACCAAGCATGACACCCCACGCAACATAGGATGGCCTTTACGACACGACAAGGCATGAATGGGAAGGGAAGTTGCTCTCTTTCTGCGGAGGAAAGCGTAAAAAGAACCCAATTAAAGATAGGATTTGCTTCAAGGAAACATATTATTCATACTCCCTTTATTTCTTATGGGAACGTTTGTTTGTTATGCTTCCTTTTTTGTATAAGTCCAAGTATCTGGAATAAATTAAAGAAGTATACTGAGGTACAACTGTAAGTTCTTTTTTGTGTGAGTATGATTTCTCTTGTATTATTCCTCAACATCTTGTGATATCTCTCCAGTGTTAAAACTATGCACCTCTCACCAGTGTATCCTTTCAGTGTTTTCCCATTATGAATTTAAAAAATGAGGACGCAAACAAAAGGATCATATGGTGAATCTAAAACTTAGCTGTATAGTATGTAACAGACAGTCTGATTTGTGTATGCGATTTAAGAGAATTCACATCTACTTCATTGTAAATTGATATAAACTCTGTAGTAACACACACACCTGATGAGATACAGCAAAATATGCCAGGCAGTAAATTGTGCAATGCATCGCTTGTGTCCTCACTGTGTAAAATTAGTTTATCTATAGCCCTTTTGTGTGTGTGTATGTGCATGCATGCGTGTGTGTATGTGTTTGTATACTGTGTCTGTGTATGTGGGCGTTGTGGCTGTATGAATGCTTTATATGTGAGTGTTGTGTCTGTGTATTGTTGATGTGAGTATGTGGTGTGTGTAAAAAAAATTGTGTATATGTGCCTGTCAGTGTTGTGTCTTAGAGTGTATGTGTGTCTGTATGTTGCGTCTGTGAGTGTTGTGTTTTGTGCGTGTGAGTGTTGTTTCTATGTGTATGTGTTATGTATATTTGTGCTGTTTTGGGGAACTAGGTGCTTGTTTTGAGTCTGTATTTGTGTACTGTGTTTGTGTCTATTGGTTGTGTCTATGTGAATGTGTTGTGTCTGTGAGAGTACTATGCATGTGTATGTTATGTAGGTGTGTGTTGTTTCTAAGTATGTCATTTCTGAGTGTATATATTGTGACTGTGAGTTTTTTGTGTGTGTATGTGTATTGTGTTTGTGTATGTGTTCTATCTGTGATTGTATGTATACCTTTTTGTGTTGTGTACACCTCTGAGTGTGTGCGGGTTATATGTGTGTGTGCTTGTGTGTTTCTGTGATGAGTTAGTATTTTTGCATATATATTTGAAGATATGCATTTGTCATCCCTGTTTTTGTATTTGTAATTGACATTTATACAATGAATTTTTATGTTTGAACATAATATGCTTGATTTATAAAATGCAACTAGCAAATGAAAGATGACTGCTTGGTAGGGCCGAATGTAAGAGGGATCTGCATGCTCAATTTGTAACCCTTTGGAAATAAAGTTTGATCTTCATGTATTTTTTATATTCTATTGACAAATTATTCATATTATAAAGCAATATCTTCTTTCATCTGAGGTTGTACAGTAGATCAAATCTGTTTTCAGGCTCCTGGTTCTATACTTCTGGTTATGTCCTACGATGGAACTTTCAAGTGCAGAGTCTAAATGTGGAAACCAAACTAGCCTTACAGATCTGGAGACCTGTTTGCGTTGACATAAATTTTGTTTGGCCAGGTAATTTGACAATAAGTTATACACACAATTCAAAATTTTATATTAGTAATTTCCTGCTTGGCTTGCCGGCAACATTATGGGCAATTCAAGAATAGATCTACTGCCTCCCCAACAAGCATGTCATATAAGTTGACTAACTGGGGACTTCCTTTAAAGTCTGTGTATTTACCTGAGAGGCAAGGAACTAATAGTTTGCATACAAATAAGTCAGATCTTTAAAACAGATGTGCACATAACACTCAAGTTCTGAAAAAAAGACTAAAGTCTAGAAGTGGACCAATAACTTGAACTTTCTGCCTGTTTTACAGCTAGCGAACATGAAGAAGAAGAAGATATTAGTAGTTTTCTCTCCATTTTTTTCTAAATAATCTTCAGATGTTAAATTACATGTTGTGACTCAAAATTATCAATTTGTGTGTCTCCATAAGTGTTCCAGGCCCTCATTTGGGTGGGAAAAGGGTGCCGGGAGAACCCACTGCTCCTTAACAAGCATGTCGTACAAAGCAACAATTGAGGATTTGTTAAAATCAGAAGTGTTTGGCCAAACACACAGATATTATAGCCTAGCTGTAAATCACAACACAAAGTTCCAACCACTCTTTTAAGAAAAGAAGACGAAGCATTGTTGTATACATCATCTTAGCTACCATACAATTTTAATTTAGCTGTTGCTAGTGTTTTTCCACCTGTGATTTGTATTACTCCTTGCATATATATGGTTTATAATCGTGTGAAATGATGCTGGTTCACATCTCTGACTTTACCTTTTTTTGTTTCAACTCCTTGCATATAGAAGAATCAGAGTTATTTGTCAATCAGCTGATTTTTTTTTTTCCATTCTTTAATTTCATTTGTTTGTCAATTACTTAATTTTCCATCCATCATTTCAATTGTTTGTCATGTAATTTCCCATTCTTTAATTCAGTTATTTGTCAGTTATTTAATAGTTTTCATTAATTTCATCAGTGTTTATGGGCAGGATTGTTGGCATGAATTGATTGCTTTCCATTTATTTCTCCATTTCTCCTCAAGATTGTGGGAGCAGCACAAGTTCCCAGCATGCCAGTGCTGGTACACAAGCTATCAGTCTTTGTAAGGATGGGGAGTACCTGTGTAGACCCACCAACACTTGTCTGCCAGTAGCCAAACCATGCATGTGTTCTGCTTCTTTCTTAAACAGTCAGAACTGTCTAAATCAATTTAATAACTCCACATACTTCAAGCTTCAGCTTGTGTATATAACAACTATAAAAGTGCCTTTGAAAACAACTCAATTGCAGTTCGAGTTGAAGACAGAAGTATTAGTACAGGAAGGAGATGTTATAGGGTTTCAATCGGAGAACAAAGATGTTGTGATATGTGAAGAATCCACATCTTCAGAGTGGAGAAATTCTGTCCTGTCAGCCAAAATTGACTACTGGATGGCTAGTGGGGATGTTGTTGATCCGCAGGTTTACCAGGTGAAGTCAGGTGTTGTGTGCAGAATCAATGCTGTCTATACCACAAACAAAATTTCATTGTCACCAGGCAACTTGAACTTTGTTACCGGTCCAGGAATTTATAATTTCACTTTTGTGACTAGCTCTGCCAGCTCACAGACTTGCTCAGTAACTGCTATGGAAGATGTGGGGGAGCTACTGTGGGTTTATCCGGAAGCCAGAGTTCAAGTCATTTCAGGTCAAGGCCCTCCAGTTTTAAATATTCATGTAGAGGCAGGGAGACCACATGATCTGACAGTGAAGCTGCTAGAAGGCACACAGCCTTCAGTGACCTGGTATGTGAATAATGGAAGTGGTGTAACAACCTCCTTAGTTTCTACTTGCCCACCATCAGTGGCAAATTTAACAGAAATGTGTCAGTTTCACAGCAGCCTCCTCAAATCCCCATACTCCAGTTTATCTTATGTGTTTCCTGCAGGTTCTTTACTGAATAATATTGTTGTCAATGTGACAAACATCATTAGCTGGAAGGCCTTATATGTAAACATTACAACATATGCTGCTATTACTGAAGTAGACTTTTATCACGACAATTGTACAGATCACACATCTTGTAATGTAACAGTTGAAACTGGCAAGATACAAGTATTTCACATATATGTGAAATCTGGAGACATGACAGACGCTGTATTTTATGAAGATGGTAATATTATCAGCCCTGCAGCTCCCAATATTTTAGAACTTTCAAGAATGTTTAACAAGTCTGCTACTTATGTTCTCTCTGTCAATGTCTCCAACCCTTTCTCATGGAAGATGGCCAGCCTGAGAGTTAACACTCAAATCAAAGCCAACTTGCAGAATTTGAAGTTCAACAATGTTTTTGATAAAGTTGCTGTTGGAAGTGTTGAAAATATTTCTGCATCTGTTGAAGGGACCCCCAGTGCCTACATTATGGTCAGCTGGATGTTCAATGAAGAAAGCATCCAGTCCAGTGATCAATTTGTCACACCAGTCCTGTATCTTTCACACATGCACAGCTTCATTTCAACAGGAAATGTAACAATTACCCTGTCCTTATCTGATATGTTTGGAGACAGGTTGTTGAGTACATTTGTTGTAGAAGTTTACAATAGTATTGATGTTCCTCTGAACCTCACTACGTCCAGCAGATATGTGCCAACAAACCAGGAGTTTAACTTGACCATCAGTGTGAGCAGCGATTCCTTTTCTGGCTCAAAGAGTTACGGCATTCTAGTCTACACTGTAGACTGGAACGATGGCAGCAAAGTCATAACATGGAGTAGTGCCGAAATCACACAAGATTTACTTCACAGCTACGAGACACTAGGCAGTTTTATGATAGTAGTCACTGTACTATCAGTTTATAACAGCAGCCACATCCAGACTGGAACTATCATCATCACAGCTCAGGATATCATACATGGTTTGAACCTCACCTATGATGGACCAAAACATTTTAGTGAGAATGTAACTTTTACAGCTGCATTACAATCTGGTTCTGATGTTGAGTACATGTTAGATTTTGGGGACAATATTACTGTTTCATCTTTCCAAACACAACCAGTTTTTATATATAAGTATTCCATTGCTGATGTTTACTGGGCTGTAGTTACAGCAAAGAATGCAGTCAGTGAGAAAACATATATGCTCACATTGTATGTCTATGATACAAATTTGCTGCGCATTATTGGAATCAATGTGAAGTGCTGTGTCCCTGTGGGAAAGCAGGTTGATGTTAGAGGTAATGTTGCTGCAGAAGCCCCAGACAAGTTGTTTTATAACTGGAGTTTTGGGAATGGTGCTTTCGAAGCAGGACGTTCTATGAAACATGTTACAACATACTATGACTTTATTGGTGTTTATACAATTTCTGTGAAGGTCACAAAAGACATTTCTGGAACTATACAAGATAATTACAAGGTGGACATTTTTGTTGAAGAAGAAATTGCAGGCTTGGTCACTGAGTATGAAACACCGCTTGCCCTAAAACAGCCAGGAGCTTTGGTGTCTGCTAAATTTAACGCATCAGTACAAGTGGGTTCAAACTTAACTTACACTTGGATAGTTAACAATGTCAGGAACATTGTTCAGGATAGCACACTAAGTCTGACAGTGACTGAAGCTAAAGTTTACAATGTCACTGTAAAAGTAGAGAATAAAGTGAACTATCAGGTACAGACAGTAGAACTTACAGCCATAGAAATCATCTTAGGATTACAAATACAGTGCCAGTCATGTTCTGCACTTTGTTTTACTAGAACACAGTCTAATACAACACTGAAAGCATCTATGCTGTATGGAACTTTAGTAAACTTTACTTGGAATATTAATAACTCTGTTGTTTCTAGGAAAGATGAATCCATGCAATACAACTTTCTCTTACCTGGTGTTTATTTAGTGAAACTAGCAGCAAATAATTCTGTGAGTAATGAATCTAAAGCTATTAGTATTATTGCACAAGACGAAGTTAGTGGTGTTCATATAAATACAAGCCTATCTATTGTAGAGATTAACACAAATGTCACATTTCAAGCAACATTCACATCTGGGACCAGTGTTAGCATTTTATGGAAGTGTGATGCCATGATCATCAAAGGGAATAATTCAACATCATTGACTTATGGTTTCACATCTCCTGGTTATCATCAGTGCTCTGTAATCGTGTTTAATGATGTCTCGTCAGTGAATGAATCAGCTCAAATAGCTGTGCTAGATCACATCAAAGATTTATCAATAAATCAAAGCCTCAAGACCAAACCAGGGTCAGTAATTTTATATGCAGCAGTGGAGAAAGAGTACACATTTGTACCTCAGACAAACTCACAACTGCTGGTTCAGTTTGAATGGGAATTAGTGATGACAGGAATTTCCTCTGTGATATCAAATGACAGTATTTTAAAATACACCTTTAAGACAAATGGGACTTATACACTTATCCTCACAGCAAGAAATGCCATCAGCATCAGTAATGTTTCTATCAAAATAGAGGCACAGGAGAAAATAGCAAATGTACACATTACAGCAAATAAGACATTACCTGCACAGATCTTTGCAGGTGAAAGTGTGTTGTTTCAGGTAGCAGGTGCTACTGGGTCAAATCTGAGATATGTATGGTCTTCTGGGGGATTGACTCTGGCCAGTCAATATGATTCTGTAGTTTTACCGTTTCACCTTGCTGGTAACTTCACTGTGGGGGTTTCAGTCATGAATGACATTGATACACTGACAGACACAGTTCTTGTGTATGTTTATGTCCGGGTATCAAATGTAGCCATCAGGATAAAACAATCTTTGAGTTTACCATTTGTACCACAGGGCATGGTTGTGGATCTGTACTGCCAAAATGTTTCTGGATCTGCTGTAGAGTACACCTGGACAATCACCCATGTTCTCAGTGGTAGGCAGTTTATGTCCAGTCTGATGAGCATCTCTTTCAGTTGTAATCTAACAGGCATCTACCAAGTTCATCTGATGGTAAGGAATTCTCTGAGTTCTGAGGAGGATCAGTTGAATTTGATGGTTCAAGGTGCAATAACAGAACTTAAGGTTACTATCCAAGACTCTGTAATTGCAACAGGATCAAGTCTGACTTTCACAGGGGATGCCAATCTTGAAGCTACTGATGTGACATTTGTATGGGAAATAGATAAAGAGATGAAAACTACTGTATCATTTGTTAGGCTGTTCCCAGTGGCTGGAGTCTTCAGATTATTTGTTACTGCTGCAAACAATGTCTCATCAATGAGCAAAGAGAAAGTAATCCGAGTTCTGGATCCTGTTTCTGACCTCCAGATTGCAGACTGTCAAAAGGTCAGGATGGCGAATGTTACAACCTTCTTGCAAGCCACACTTAAAACTGGCACCAACATCACATTTACTTGGTTTATTGAGATGAACAAACAGAATACAACATATGCAGGCCAGAATATAAGCATAAACTTCCCAGCTGAAGGATTTTACAGTGTTGTCCTCAAAGCTCAAAATGATGTTGATACAAGAACAGTTATGTGTCAGTTACAGTTACAACATCCAATAACTCATGCCAGTTTGTCTGTGACTGACCCAAGTCCAGACTATATCTTTCAGGATCAAAATGTTACATTTACAGCAACTGGCAACAATTTATTTTCTGCAGTCTTTGAATGGAAAATTGCAAATTCAAGTTCAATCATCTCCAAGTCTAACAAGTATGTTACATCAATAGCTAGCCCAGGAAATTATGTTGCAGCACTCGTTATTTCTAATGGAGTTAGTCAGGTTGAAGTTTTTCTAGGGTTTACTGTTAAGGCATTTCTTTGTCAGCTTCCTGAAGTGTCTAGAGTTGGTGCCATGAGCCGCTCTCTATTGCGGTCTCAGCGACTGGAACTTGAGGTAGCTGTTGATGCAAAAGGTTGTACTTCTTACCTGGCTGTTCATAAGTGGACTGTTGTCAAGACTACTGAATGTGATGCGACTGTGGATGCCAATCAAAAGGTGAGGAAAGCACTTTATCGTATGATGGACTTGTGAGTTACTTGTTACTTGTTTTCCAGATCAACATCCTAGCTCATTGGTCCAACCAATTTGTGCTTATTGTTTTGATGCAGCAGCTTCTCAGTGTCTCCATGCTCAGTGTATCTAGCAGGAGTTGCCCCACAACTGATTTCTACACCTTTGTCTGTTTACTACCCATTTCCAACAAGCAGTTCCTCATTGTCTACTCTTTTGGCTCAACATCTCTGGAACTTAGCACATTCAGTATGTTTGTCCTTGTTGCTGACCCCAAGTGAATGTACACTTATGTAGTGAGTGTGTGGGTTTGAATCCTGACACTGCACACCCAGGTGAGAAACTGGACAAATATCTGAGCTATGTTGATCCCAGGCACAGTCCTGGATAACCAAGAAAATTGCAAAAGTGGCTCGTACAATAAAATGAAAGTAGCTGTACTTGTATCCATGGGGGTAGGACAAGGGATAGTTAGATATCAAGATGAATCCAATAAGATAATATCATGATACACAGTTAACCCCTCTGACTTTCTCTTCTCCTTGTATTATCTTTTATTAAAAGCTCCCATCAAGTGATTTACATATAAATGAGCTGAGGTAAAGTAGTATGCACAAAGACACTTGAACAATTTACCCAACTATTTTATCATAACATGAACAAGATTTTATTAATAGTCTAAACAAAATAAATTAAATGATATTGATCTTGCTGTCATAAAAAAATAACAGCTCAGTGATGGTAATGATGACTTATTTAATTCAATTAATTCAAGTGCATATGCTAGTAAAGGCTTGAATGTAAACTGTTAGAACATAAGAAATAATGGTTAGAATTCACACAACATGCATTGCTTTAGATTGAAAAAGTAACTTTTTCAGGCAGGCATTATTTTAACTTCTTAAATCCTAAACATTTGTTACTTTAAGTGAGACTTTCCATAATAGTAATGACTTTAAGTAATAAAACAATAGCATCAAATTAATTACTTGGTGTCAGAGCGAGTTAGAATGGGTTAATCTTCGGTATGGTTGTGAACTAAGGAGTTAAGAAAAAGCGTATTATGTCATGAATAACCATTTGTGCATAGTGAGTTGCTTGGTACTGAGATCGTTAAATGTTTTTGTTTAAAGAAGGACAGTGCTGACTTTGGTAATTGACCATTTGCACCAGCAGTGAGCTGCAATTCTTGTGTAGGTCCGTCAGTGTTGTTACATCTGACAGCTGTTTTATGCATCTTTACTTTTCTTTACTTTGCATGTGCAAGCTTCAAGATTTTACTAGGACTGAACAGTTTTTCAGTAGTTTTCTGATTAGACCATTGTGTGACTTCTTTTTGCATGGGAAAGGACCAGCTATGGAGCAGCCTGTCTGCAGTAATGTTTGAATCTAAACTAATGACTAACATTTGAAGAAGTTACACAAGATTCACTATGGGACAGAAGAAGGTAGACTAACAATTAGAAAAGTGTGGGTTTATTTAAAAACAAATATTAGTTTTAGGAGGAAACAAGAAATGTATGTTGTCTTTGAAATGACCAAGAAATTTGTTGTACCCAAAGAGTATATTCTGTTTCTTTTGCATATCATTTTAAAAAATGTGATCAGGTTTGATCATGGCATCACTTATGATAATTGTACCTTGAAGACAAACGAGGACATAAAGTTATCTAAAGTTTAATTTATTTTATTGAAACTGAATAGGTCACAGTTTTTCGATAAATGCATTAGACATTGAGAATAATTAAGAATTAATTTTTTTTTTAATCTTTATTGTAGGTTGACATTGGAGACACTGTCACTTCAGCACCTTCTCTAGTTATCAATCCACGTGTTTTAGATGTAGGAGTTTACTGCATGCACTTTACTACAGGATACCAGTATACAAGTGTTTCACTGTCTGTCTACTACACAGTCAATATAACAACATCGAAACTTAAAGCAGTGATAAGAGGAGGCAACAAAAGGTCTGAACATGTACATAGTTGTTTTCTTGATTTTTATTAAGCAGTAGTTTCTTGCTTACTTGAAAAGGTTAAGGTCGTAATCAGATTCAAAGTATTATGGGGACAAAGGAAAAACTACCACTTGATGCATACCCAAAAACTCAAAGGGTGAGTTGTCTAGAAGAGTTGCTGGGTTAACAAGAAGAGATAAAAATAAAAATAAAACAAACAATTAGAAATAGATAAGTGAAAAAGGCTAGGACTGAAACAAGTCATATAATTTATTAAAGAGCAACAGATGAGAGGGTTTGACTATCTGACAACAGTGCCCTGTTACCAACACTGTTACCAGCTGCCATAGAAAGCTGAAGAAATCTAATAAACACAACAAGTGGAAGACCATGCAAAGTATGGAATGATGCATCTAGAACAACCTTCAAGAAATGAAGAAAAAAGTATGGAATGCATTAGAAAGAGCAGATGGATGATATTATGTCTTCCCCAACAGGGAACCTGAGAGAAGAGAAGAAGAAGCTCAAAGCTGACATCTGATGATACAATTAATGTTTTTTTTAGGACTCATAAATGATGAGTTTTTGTTTTAATGTTCTCATATTTTCTTAATGAGTGATCATTACTAAAACACCAAACAGAAGAAAAAAATTTGAATTGTAAGACTTGTAACCAGCTGGAGAAATTAAGAAATGCTGGTACATTGATAACATGTGACAGAAGTACATAAATGAAAAAATCTTATCATTGATAGCCAAGAAAATATATTCTCAGCTCTTTTTATTCCTGTTGCTAATTTAACTATTTCTATCCCAATGTTTATTGCTTGTGTTGTAAATGTCTCCATCTGAAAGAGTTAAAACAATAATGCTAAAGAATCAGAGAGGATAAAGTGAAAAAATATTTTTAGATAAAGTAAAAAGACAATTTTTAACCCTTTTAGGCATAATGGATTTGTAATGCTATATACATATTTTATAGACGAATTGACACCCCTTGGTGATGTGGGAAACATCAAGCCAGCTGTCTTTATTTCCCATGTTTTACCTGGTGTAATTTTTGGTGAGATTGAACTGGAAACCAAGATCATTTTTGCCCACAGGGGAGTGTGTATTCACTAAACCACAACAGCTCCTTAAACAACAAATAAAATTAAAAATAATATTTGGTATATTTAATATGACAACTATATGTAACAGAAGGTGTTATTTAATATTTGCTTTATATGAAGCATTGGCGTATGTGGCTTGGGCGTTGCAAATGAGCTCCGTAATATTAGCTAGGGTACCACGTTCCATCCCAGCTGCGGGCTTTGCACCTTGTGTTGGTTTCGACAGTGGTATCGAGAAGCCAGCCGTCCAGAAAGCAGTGGCAAACTACTGGATGTAATTTTGCCTAGAAAAACCACAACAGCCAAACAATACTGGGGTTGGTTCTCAAATTTCCTTTATAGGATAGGCAACTAACTTTAACTTGTATATGTGAGGCACTAAACAATTGGTCAGTGTCTTATAGGCTGAGCTGAGCGGTACTGAAGGACCCCTATAACATGTGTAGACCATGCCCTTTTGATAAACAAACAAACAAATTGATTAAAATCATAAAACCTCATTTTACAGATGAACATCAGAAGTATAACTGACAGGTTAAAAAGATGAGTGAAGATATTCTAAATAAGGACCAGTCATGAAAAAAACTTGATCAGATACTTTAACTTGTTCAGTACATCATGCATTTCTTGGTGTCAAATAACATGAAAAACTTTTCTTAACTTTATAATACTCATCCAAATTTTACGTTAACCATTTTTGTCATTATCTCCTTCCATCTTATATTGTTCATCCTCAGTCTGTAGGGCCTAGACCATGTTTACATCCCACTGGCAGTGTCTGCTGCAGGACTGCCTTTTTAAAGAAAACTAGATACCACGTGCGGTGTGGGTCATAATTGCTTCTGCCCGTAAATAAAACAGTTGATAAAGAAGAACCAGATATTGATAATGCTTCTTGTAACACTGTACGTCTCACTACTAGAAGTCTAAGATTAACAATATGATCACCACTAAATCTAAGCTTAACCACATGATACTTTTGTTTAGATCGGGCAGCATTGCTCAGACAGTTAAAACGAGCAACCAGTATTGATCTACTCTGTCACCCTGTAGTAGGATTCATGACTGAGTGTTTATAATGATGTCTTATGACAACCCCAGGTTCACCATTGCTTCCTAACGCTTTGTTCAATTCAGCCACTAATATACTTTTTATATTTGTAATATAGCCATTTGAATTTGTATCATTTGATCAGTTCTCTTCATTAATATCAGGTTTGTAGTACATTACTTTTTAGTTACGTTATGTTTTATTCCAGATTTATTCTGTTATCATCATCATGTGCCCTGCCAACTGGCGTGGGCACTTATGCAACTCAACAGATCACAATCCCTGGTTGCCTGGAGCAGCTCTCTTGATGATATTTCTCCATGCCATCTTTTCAGCCCATCCAGCATCGTCTCTCTTGGTCTGCCTCTACCCCTCTTTCCACTGATCTTTCCAGTTGTCACAATGTTTTCTAATGCCTCTATCTCAAAGTTTAGTGCTTGTGTCATAAATGTCTCCATCTGAAAGAGTTAAAACGATAATGCTAAAGAATTAGATAAAATTCTCTGTGGCTAAGTGATTAAGCCATTTGCCTCAAGTTCTAATGGTTGTGGGTTGTTTCATGGACTACTGAAAAAGGGGACAAAGCATGTGTGGGAATATGCTAAGTGCAGTGATGTCAGTTCTTGATTCATTCATTCATTCATTCATTCATTCATTCATTCATTCATTCATTCATTCATTCATTCATTCATTCATTCATTCGTTCACAGACTGTGTCAAACTGTTCATGAGAGCTATACTTCTGATAATCCCTGTGAATCATCGCTGGAGTTACAGAATTACTTCTTTATGATGCACTCTCAGCAAATGGCTGGCCATTCTGTTGCCATTTGGGACAAGACCTAGTGAAACGAAGCTGATCCTCTTGACCTAAGACCTTTAACCATATACAATGAAAATGTTTTTTTTTTCTTTCTTTACAGAATTGTAGCTGTTGGATCAGAGCTTCACTTTGATGGAGCATTATCTGTTGATGTTGATGACAGTAAATCAGTTTTAAACTACCAGTGGAACTGTGTGGAGGTATTTCTAAATTAACATCCTCATTGTTTTATTTTGTTGCTATCACATCATCATTAAATACCTTGCTGACTGGCATTGGTAACTGGATTTCCACATCTTGCAGTTTTAAACAAAATTTATCAGTTTATATGATGACAAACTTCCATGCCATGACAGAAGGCTGTCAAGAATAATCTCTCCTTGTCTTCCTCTATATCTCTTTTCATACATCTTTCTGGTTGTCACATCTTCCAGTTTTTGTTCTCTTTATAAATTGTGGCCAACAATGATTAATGCCTCTTTCTGATGTTTGAAGTAAGTTGTCTTCTGGTCTTAGCCTCTCTTAAAATATCTAACATCCTTATGGACCCAGATAACATTGGTGAGATCAAATTCAGTTCAACCGAGTGTTAAAGATAACTAAGTAAAAATCATCTTTTTGGAAGTTCTGCTTTCCAGGAAGCTTTGTTTATGTTTGTGGTAATTTATTTAACCTTTGTTGGATGCTGATTGTAATTTTTTTTTCTCCTTGTCTACTGGCCACTTATGTCCATCTGGTTCAGCATTGACTGGTTCTCCACTATCTATAGGTGCCGGTAACTAATGTGGCTTGGTTTTCATGGGTGACTGGTTTCAGCACCATCCGCTTCTATCTCGAGGTCACTGTGTGGGTCTGTAAGAATCATTATAACTCTAGTCTCACCTGTTTATTCTTATAGTCCAATACATGTCACACTGGGGATCATATCCCTCCTCAGCTTTCAGTCTCATGCAGTGTCAGTCACTTCTGATGCAGGTATACTTCCATGCAAACTCATCTGGAAAAAAAAAAATAATAAGCCCTTTCTTCAGAATGGGTTAATGTAATGAATAGATGTGCACACGTCGGCTCAAGGTCTTGGGATTGATTCTGCATCATAGCAGATTCAAATCTTTTTTATTGACTTCTGCTCATAAGTCAATCAAACTTAAAATTGGTACCAGGTTGTGTCCTGGGAAATAAAGCTGGCCGATGTGATGTCGACTGTGTCACCCATCAGGTTCCGATTGGTCTATAACAATACCAGTCTAGCATCATATACCTGTTCTGCCACTGGTGTAAAAAGGATCTTTAAGTCTGTAACTTTAAAAAAAAAAAAAAGTCTGAGCTTATGTAATGATACAGAAAAATTCTTAAAATATCATCATCCAAAAAGAAGACAATATCCTACATGATCTGAGCCTCCTATCCTGAAAGCTGAGGTATTTTCGCCATGTTAAAGTCATGATGACCTGGAACAAAGCAGTGAGGAGGGTACCGTTTCTGGAAAACAAGGCAGAGGCAGACCCCCTGCGATGAGGATAGGAGTAATTGAAGATGCATTGGCTATGAAAACATATAAGACTGGAGAATAGGCTTGCGTAATGTAGATAAAAATGGAGGAACTGATAGAGATATTAATATAAGAATACAAAAGGCAAGAGGGGCTTTTATAGCACTAGGGAATTTGTGGAAGAAAAAAAGAAATTAAAAGAAATACTAAACTTAAAATTTTTAATTCTTATGTCCAATCAGTAATTTTGTGTGGGGCGGAAACATGGAGAACAACTGAGGCAATTGCTAATAAATTACAGGCATTCATTAACTGGTGCCTGCGCAGAATAGAGGAAATTAAATGTTATGATAAAATAACTAATGTAGAGCTTTGGGAGAGAACTAAACAGGCTCCACTGGACCAAGAGGTGAGGAGAAGATGCTGGTGTTGGATAGGACACACACTGAGAAAACAGGAGAACAGCATAACGAGAATGTCTTTGCTTTGGAACCCACAGGAACATAGGAATAAAGGAAGACCAAAAACACATGGAGAAGAGAACTGGAGAATGAAGTTAGAAAGATGGGGAGGGCATGGGGAGAGCTCCATGTAATGGCGAAGAATAGAACGACTTGGCATGAGTTGGTTGAGGGCCTATGCTCCATTGGGGGATAGAAAGGCAGAAGAAAAAGAAGAATAGGCTTGGAAAAGAGAGACTTTCAGGTGTGCTGTGCTGAGAGTGACGTTCTGTAAAGGACCTGCTCAGTAATGATGATGGACAAAATTAATAAGTTATGGACAGTATATAATATGTGTAAGAAATATCAACAATTCATAATGAGTTGATCAATGCTGCATAGATGATTACATCCAGGGTTTAATGTCACGATCTTTGAGATGCAAACAGCTTAACTCTTACAGTCCAAGAGGGTTTAGCCTCAGAGGCCCAGGAGGTAGTAAAGAGAGATGTAAAACTGGTGCATCTTACATATATTGTGCTTCTAGATAGGAACCTGTGAAGGTATGATCAGTTCCTTGGGACTGAAAGAGTTCAAACTTTCTGCTTGTCTCCTGACTTCTTTCCTGTGTCAGCTACACCAAATTCAATGTTTCTCTTTCAGATTAATGTTGCAGGTGGATGTTTTGCCAACAGCTCTAGCAGCACATTTACCTACCAGGGCTTTCATGTAGGGAGGTACAAAGTGTTTCTTCAAGTGAGCTTTCCAGGGAGGGTAGCAGACGTCACTGAACAGATTGTAGGTTATTTCTTAAATAATGTTGTTGTTTTTTTCTTTTAATTTTAAGTGCATGAGGCCCTCTCCTCAACAGCCCTCACAAGGATCTAGAGTGCCGCTCCAAGCCACTAGTTTTGGTGCAATTGACATTTCTTAGCCAACATAATTAGCACACAAAAACCAGTCCTCAGTTATAACCGATACTAATCACAGTAGGTTGAACGTGATCGATTTCTTTTCCTTGATGGATAGATGGATGGAAATGCCTGTTTGAAGATTCTCTCTTCATCTCTTCTCAGAATGTGTTCAATATAGTGTCATCTTCTCTGTCTTATAACTGTTTGATTCCAGTAGTTGCCCAGACATTTTTCTTATTTTGTTCACTCCCCTTGAATTCTTCCAATATTATGCTCATCATTTTCCTTGGGCATTTATATTCAAATGCATTTAACTTTCACTCCAAATCTTTAGCAATTCTCCAACTTTCACTGGCATATACTCTGAGATGAAGTGGTCAAGCCGTTTACCTCATGCTCTGAAGGTTGTGGTTTCATCTCAGTGCTGCGTCATTCCTTCACAAGTGCAGTTTTTTATGGAGATCTCTCAGGAACATCGCCGGAGCTATGTATTGAGGAGGGAAGCTCCAACAGATGAACAGAACACTGTTCTCCCAAGATGGCAGCTACTGCAACATGCTTTGTATTAACTATTTTGATATTGATTTTCTTTTAGAGTAAATAAGGCAGGCTCAAAGAGGAATCAAGCTGCATGGACATCATATGGTCACTTCAATACTAAGGTCACCTAACCCACATGCCAGAATATCTCCTCTTAAAGAGGTACAGCAAGGGAAGAGGTCCCAGGCAGGACAGAAAAAGCGCTATAAGGACACTCTGAAGACTGCTCTCAATTCTTTTGGCATCAACACAATGATGTGGGAGTCTGCTGCACAAGACCATTTTGGATGGTGTATGTCCCTCAGGTGTGATGCATCGATGGTGTATCGGCCTGCCAGGCAGCGGAGGTTGCACAGGCAGAGAAACGGAGGCAGACTAGAAAGAATCATACTGCTAATCCCACACTTACTGCGGCTTCCATCTGTTGTCCCCACTGCTCAAGAACTTTCCTGGCACATATGGGACTAATCAGCCACCTTCGTACTCATAATCATTGATCATTAATACTTTGGATAAAAGTGGTCTTCATCACTCGTGATGGACCAACACCACAATACTACTCAAGGTTTTTGCTATTAAAAGAAGGAATTTCATGTCTGGCAATATAATATTATCAGCTACCAGCATTTTTCAAAAATGACCTTTGCCCCCAGGTCCAACCAGCCTTAAATGGGTACCAGCTAATGTCCTAGGAAGTATGGGTGGGTAACATAATGTTGACCATATCTCCCACTGTTTACCGATTGGTCTATAAAATATAAGTCTTTCACTGTATGCCCAAACACCTGAAGGCACGAAAAAGGGTCCTAAGATTACTTACTTGGTGGACCTGAAGGTCCTGACTAGATACATTTGTATCTGATAAAGACTAGATTTCTAAAACCTGCATGTTTTTCCCCCCAGATTGATGTCATCAGTACTTTAGATTTTGTGCCCATGACCAGTGTGGTCTGTGAATCATGTTTGATTCTTGGGAACTACAGGGTCAGCTCCAGCCAGCATGTGGTCCTAACTGCTGCTTGTGAAAATTGTCAGTGTGTTCCAGCTTTTTCATGGAAGGTAAATATTATTGGTGTGTTTTTGATTTTTGATTTCCTCTTTCTTCATCTCCTTCTTTAGGTTCATCAGCCTCAGACTCTGGTAGAAATTTCTAGTTGTTTGTCCACTTCTGGACTTTGGTCTTGTTTGAGAACTTAAGTTTTGTGTGCACATACATTTTACAGATCTAGCAAATTTTTATGCAGACTGTTGCCATTTTGCTTTTCAGGCAGATGGACTCCAGAAATCCATATTTAACTAACTTTTATGACATGCCTGAAAGGGAAGTAGATGGTCTAGTCTCCCCCCACCCCACAATGGAGTTTCAGAACCCAGAGAGATTGTTGTTTTTATTTATCAGCAATATTATGTCATTTATACATCACAGAGATCTCAAAGTTTATTCCTCCATTTGGTTCTACGAATTGTTTGTGGTATTATGTACGGAATCCAGTCCAGCCCCTCAGGTGTGTGTCTCTTATTAACTCTTCCAATCTCCTGAAGTTTAGCATCAGAGGTCCAAGGGATACTCAGGAGAGTCGTAAATTCAGCTTATCTTATGTTCATTAGGCTTCAAGATGGGAACTTGTGAATGTATGATACGTTCCTTGGGACTGAAAGAGTGATTGCTTCTGTAGGATTTCTCTTGGTTGACCTGTTCTCACTTCCTCTTTCCATCTGTTTCCCATTACAGTGCCTGTTTTTGTCAGCTTTGTCTCTGAATATGTCCAAATTATTATCACCTTTGATCTCTTAAAACAGTTGATACTAGTGGATGTCCAGAATTTTCTCACATTGTCTTTACTATTCTTAATTCACCCCATTTAATTTCCATCAAATTCCCCAGACATATGTTTTCAAATTCATTTAACATTCATTGAGCGCCTATTGTGATTATCTAACTTTTGATGGGATATTTTAGAACTGAAAGAACAGTAATGCAGAAATGAAAATCTGTTCCTATTTTCATATTTTGTTGAGGCGTATAAACACTGATGTTGCCTTGTCAATGCATATCATAATTTGGTGATAATAGAAAATAACATAACCTCTTTTAGGAAGTCGGCAGTCCGAAACCCAAGTTCGTGCCAAAGAACTGCTTGGCTGTTGGGCGAGCAGCCGTAAACGAAGGCAGTCAGGTAATTGTAGGAGCGACGCTTGCTGGTGAATGTAATGTCCTAAGTCCCTTCCCCAGCTAATAGTGAGGATACTGCTGAGGTGACCATTTATTATCCCTCTTATAATGCTTCAGGTCAAAATGGACACTTCCTTTAGCCGCGGCAAATTTTTTTGCTTCTGCCAGACGGTGGCCGTTGCATTTTTGCTCCATTTGTAGACTGGAAGGATACAGTTTCATTGCCCAGCTTCTGAGTTGAGTGCATGGCATGACACTGTGAGCTGCAGAACTATGATAAACATTTTGTGTGTTTTTCGTTGGCACAGGAGCGGAGCAACTATGGGGTGACCCATTTGCTATGGAGATGAAACTAAGATTACCGGATTACCAGATGTCATAATTTTTTTCTTTGTTTTTCTGTGACAATAAAAATTGCTCCCTGGATAGGTAAACTGGTCAGTTACTTTTTTTCCTTTTGTCTCCATCTTAACATCTGCTTGATCTGTTGTTGATGTGTTCAATATATTTGTCTTTTCAGATTCTTGAAGGTGACTCAGAGGTTTTCCCAAGCAGTGATGAGACCTCCACTGGTCTTACTAAAGAACATTTGGTATTGAATAAGAAGGGCATCATTAAAGATGGTTTTAATTATACTTTTGTTGTGAGAGTCTCATGCATCAATTTTACATCCAACTTTGGATATGCTTCATTGATTCTAGAGGCAAACTTGCCACCATCAGATGGGAGTTGCACCTTCTATCCCCTTGAAATAATTCCTATTAAAAATCAGGTCAGTATCCACAATAGTTTTGTACACGTGAAGGTTAAAAACAAATACTATGTTTATTTGACAAATATATTTTGATCAATTTATTGGTATATGTGCATGCGTGACTGTTTGTATGTTCTTATCTACTTGATCTTTTGTTACTTCTCTGTCTGCATAATGTGCATACATGGTGTTTGTAAAGTCCACTACACTTTGTATGTAGAGCAAATGCAAAAGAAAAAAAAGGGTGATGTCATTAAAAAATGTGCTAAAAATTAATAAATTAGTTACGATAGTAACTGATATGGTCTAACGCTATTTTGGGGAAGCTGGAAAGTATTAATGAAATATTCATTATAACGAGTATTGGAAATGTCCACCATTGGCTTCAAGACATGACTGTGCACATCTCTTCTTATTGTTAAATATCTTTTGCAACAGGTATTTAGTTATTTCTTGAATGATAATTCTGATTCCTTCTTTCAGGTCCTTAGTTGTGTTATTTTGAAAAAATTTTTTATCAAGAAACCCCATAGATAATAATGATAATCTAATGATCTGGAGAATGAGCATGTCACATTCCATGTGATATTAAGTGGTTTGCAAAAATGTCTTTGAAAAAACACAAAAATAGTGATTCTCTACTTGTGCGTGCAGTTGCACCATCTTGCTGGAACCACGCTTCTTGAATTTCACTTTATATAAGCAGTTCTAAAAGAGGTTCCAGAATGTCAGAACAGAACTGATCAATATTTAGAGCATTAAAGAAAATTGGTCCAGTTGTTTTCTACTGATGGCACACCATACTTCAGTTTTCTAATCATTTAGAGGCACTTCATAAAATGTATTGGGATTAAAACAAAACTGCTTCAAATACAATTATTTTGGCTAATAACACATCCAGATAGATACAATCGTGACTCATCAGAAAAGAATGTTACATTTAGAAAAGAGTCATCTTCCTTAGCTACAAATACATGAAACTACGTTTATTAGTTACTTCTGAATTGATTATCAAACTCTTAAAGTTCAGACACAACATAAATACTGTATAATTACAACTTTAACCATTGTTTAAGAATTGTGATGCACTGTGCTCACTGACAAGTTCACTTGTTTTGATATTTTTTGAACGACATACGCTGACATTTTAGGGTTCTGTCTTTGACATGTACACATTTTTCTTTAAACGCAGCAGGCCCACTAAGACAGCAGTTTGTGAGAGCAATATCTGATGTGAATTGCGTGTGATTTTTTTTAAAAACACTTATTAAGTAATATATTGTGATGTTTACATTATGTCAATGATCTAAAATCCTTCATTTTTCTGTCACAGGTGATTATCAACTGCTCTGGCTGGATAGATAAAGATGATCCCCAAACTATCATTTCATACAAAATCTATGTGAATACAACAGATCCATTGTCTGGTGAAAATGAGATGTATATACTATATTCCGGCACAAGCAGCACCCAATCTGTTTATCTAAGCTCTTTTGCTGGGGAGTCAGTTAAGCTCTTTTTAATGGTGGGTGATGAATTTGGAGCTGCAGCTATTGGAGGACAAAGGTTTGAATTAATATTTATGTATTCTTTATTCTTAGAAGTATTTGAACAGATAAGTATCATTGCAGTATTACAAATGAATTCCTTGAAACTTATTCAATGACATCATGATTGGTATATCATTTATGACCTGGCATTATGAAGTACAAACATTTTTATGGTCTCTCAGATTGATAGCCTAAAATTTGGAACCAGGAAATATACCAGGAGGTCAAGGTGACGAGTGTGATCAAGCCCACTTCACCCATAAAGAGCTGATTAGTCTATAGAAATGTGCTGCTATTTTTATACCTAGGACGTTTTCAGCCCTTTATTCTTTTTTTTTTAAATTTTAGACTAGTTGGCACTTGATGGATGATGTGCTAGACATCATACCATTAACCATAACTTCCAGGACCTTACCTGGTAGCCATTTTATGCTGGGCCGACCTGGGAACCAAGGTCAGTTTGGTAGAAAACCTCCTCAGTAAGGATTCGAACACTTGACTTTCAGACCAGCAAGTAAATCTCTAACTTCAGTGCTACAGCAACTCCCAGGGCCTTATTTGTGACAGGGAGAGAGAGAAGGGGGGGGGGGGGGGGGGGGGGGTGATTCTACAACATGCATGCATTAAAAAGTAACCACTTGGGGGTTCTACTAAAATTGGATTAGTTAGGATGCATGATGCAGATGTCACAGCCTAGCTGTAAATTACTACACAATGTGCCAACCATTCTTTTAACTCTTTCAGTCCTAGGAGGTTTAGTGTCAGAGACCTAAAGGGGTGGTACAGAGAAATGTATAATTGGTGCATCTTGCATTTACTGAGCTTCTAGGTAGGAACCTGTAAATGTATAAAATGTACCTTGGGCGAATGCAGAATCATCATCATCATCATCATCATGTGCCCTGCCAACTGGCGTAGGCGCTCATGCGTCTCCACAGATCATGATGTCTGGTTGCCTGGAACAGCTGTCTTGATGATATCCCTCCATGCCATCGTTTCAGCCCATCCAGCATCATCTCTTTTGGTCTGCCTCTACCCCTTTTTCCACTGATCTTTCCAGTTGTTACGATGTTCTCCAATGTCTTTTATCTCATTATGTGGCCAAAGAACAGTGTTTGTCTCTTTCTTATTGCTGTATATATAGATGTACTTTCATTAGCTCTTTTGAAGCAATAGTTGTTAGTTACTCTGTTACTCTAACATTTGTCTCAGAAACCACATCTCTGTTGCTTCAAAGTTCTTCCTAATTTGTTCACTGACATTCCAAGATTCGCTGCCATACAGCAGAACAGGTTCTGTGTAACATTTTAGCACCCTCTTAATTACATTAAATGAGAGCGATTTATTGCCTAAGATGCGAATATATTTTATGTGGCCTGAGTCAAGTATTAGAGAATAACACCCATTAATTATTAAAATTGCTTTTCAGCTTGATCAAATTTAAGAACATTTCCCTGCCTAGCAACATGACCAAGACAGAATACCTGATGGCACAGACTGACTCTGTCTTGTCAGCCATAATCAAACAGGCCTCCCCTGTATCTCTGCTGCAGTATGCCATAGCTCTAGGGCAACAGCTGAATGAGGAGTCAGTCAAAGAACTCAGTGCTCAAACTGCTGGAAAAGGAAATCAGCTGGAGCAGACACGAGCGGCAGTGAGAGATGCAGTCACTATCTGCCTGTCCACTGCCGTGCCAGTTTCAACTCTAGAAGATGTTCAGCAGATGTCTTTTGCATTAAGACTGCTTACAGTATGTTCAATTTGTACACACTTTTCTCATAGTCCCAGTTATTGCATGGCTCATATCCATTTTTCATCTCATGAATTTCTATTTTGAAAAGATGAGAACACAGGGCTCGCATGTGGGAGATCATGGTTCACATCCTGGGTAAGGTTGGGGATTTTTTTCTGCCGGGAGCAAAAATAAAAAAGCCTGACCTGCACAGTCCATGGCAACAGCACTAGCCATGCAGCCTTAACTCTTTTAATCCCTAGGAACACATTCCTTCATAGGTTCGTACCTAGAAGCCCAATGAAAGCTAGATGCACCAATTTTAGTCTGTGTTTACTACCCCTTGAGCCTTTGATGCTATACCCCCTACGACTGAAAGAATTAAATCCTTAGGCTTATAGATTCCCCACTGCCTACACTGCAGAAATGGTAATTACTGGCAGTAATGGCAGTCTGGAAGTATTTCAAATTTTGTTTCTTTTCAATAAAGTTTTGCTGCCTTCAGGAATATTACACCCACGGAAATAAGCAAACCTTTTGACCCAAGCCTTTACTAACAGGCACAACAACAACAACAAGAATCCTTAACATGTCTTCTTCCACACATCCAGTTTTAGCAGACTGCTAGTTAATCACTTTTTTGTTTACAACATGATTGTTAGGAAGAAATCAATCTATCCTGCTCTGCCCTATCCCTCCCCCCACCCCCCTCTTCCCCTTCCTTCTCAGAACTGACATAGAAAGCTGTAAATATAACCACTAACTGTTAACTACTTTTAACGCAGCTTCTTTAGAATAAGTCTTCTAAACTGTTTTTAGTTAAAACAATTTCTATCATACATGAAACATTTTCTAACGAGATGATTATATCAACAAGTTGTAATGTCTTTATCCATCACCTTTCCCGGAAATTGCTTTGTAAATTTACTAACTACATTTTCTCCCTTTCTCCTCTGTCTCTTTCTACATCTGGTGCTCTCTCTCTTACTATTTTTATCGCACACACCTCTGTCTGTCTCCTCTCTTACTGTCTCTGTCAAACCCTGTTTGTCTGTCTCTCTGAGGGTCTTCAGGAATATTTTGTAGCAGGTCTCTAATCTTGGTGTGATGCTCATTCTGTTTCTAGCATGCTTGTAAAAATATGAGGGCAGTTTGAAAAGTAATGTCTCCAAGGACATAACTTTTGTTAATATACATGTCTTTTAAATAAGGTGTAATTATTTTTCAACGTAGCCACCACCTCTCTCCACATACAAACGCCAGCATCGAACAAGTTCTTTGCATCCTGTGAGGAAAAATATCAGATGATCTTTCACCAAACCAGGCTTTACATCGGCTATCACTTCTACATTAGAAGCATATCTGTTTCTTTTGAGATGTTCCATGATCTTTGGGAACAGGAAGTGATTGCAAGGTGTTAAATCATGACTATAGGCTATTGTGCCAAAATGTCATCACTTTTGAGATGCTCCAGTGCTGCCATTGTTTGTCAACTCATGTGTGAGCAATCACTGTTATGTTGACCAACTGCAGAAATTTGGCTTTTAGTTTTTGCAATGTTTCCACATAGTGATCAGAGTTGATGGTGCTGCTAAGCTTTAAAAATTCTGGATTACACCCTGGCATCTCCAGAAAATGGTCATCATCTCACACCCCAGTGGTATTATCTGCTTTAGGACTAGCTTAACCTCTTATTTGCCAGCTGACCCTATTAGCAAAGTTGTTTTCTTAGAGACATTACTGGTCAAATCACACTCGTAAATTACAAATGCAGTATGAAATATGAGCATGCTGGCCAAATGTAATGCAGGCCTTTTGCCCAATTTGTGATACTTTGTTTTTAAAAAAAAGTTTGTTCTGTCTGTCTGTCAGTCTGTCTGTATGTATGTATGTGTGTATATGTATATGTGTGTTTATGTATGTGTGTGTGTGTGTATATTCATATATATATATATAGATATATATATATGTGTGTGTGTGTGTGTGTGTATTTGTGAGTTGTTTGTATGTATATATGAATGTATGCATTTGCCTTTCATTCCTCTATCTGTTTTACCTGATACTCCTAGTATATATATATATATATTGTTATTTGAATATAACATGATTTAAAAATGAAATACAAATGCAGTAAGATGGAGTGTTCGGAAGGGGTTAATGTAAGACAGGCCTGCACACCCAATTTATGACCCTTTGAAAATAAAGTTGGTTTGTTGATTGATTGTCTTTTCTCCCTCTCTCTATCTGGTTGTCTGCCTCTCTTCTCTCAATTCTGTCTCTCTTCCTCTCTTACTGGTTGTCTCTCTTTCTGCCTCTCTGCCTCTTACTCTCTCTCATGCCTTTCAACTTACATTTATTCATATATGTAAATAGCTGTGTAACACTTAAACACAGATTGAAAAGTTATAGTATGATACATGATGATGATATTATTTTTGAAAAAAACTTTTAAATTGTAACAAACACTTCCACAGGAGTACCGCAGCGAATTCTTAACAGAAGACAGTCAGAAACTTCTAGCCAGCACTCTACAGACATTGAATGCTGTTCTACGACGGCTAATCAGTAATGGCCTGGCTCCTGATGATGTCCCCTTAAATGATCTGCTTGCTGTTATTAGGAATCTTCTCCATGCGGCAAATGCCCGTGTGTACTCCTTGCAGAACTTCTGGGAGCTTGGCAGAACAATTACTATTGATGATTTTAAAACCAATTTTCGAGACCTGAGACCAGAAATCACTGCAGTTGTTGGCAGTATGAAATTCACTGATATCAGCCTAGATGAGTCTCACAGGAAAATTGTGGTGTCTGCAGTCGTGCCTTTGCTGGAAAGTTTTCTTGTTTCCACATTACAGACTATGATTGTTGATGAGAAGAGTCTAGAACTGGATATAGGTGGCATTAAGGTGAGCGTTGTCCACAAGTTTCTAAGTAAAATAGTTTTTCAATGAAAACACGGTTTAAGGGTGCATGGATTTACTTCATTGCGCTAGGTATGTTATTCATATAAGTTTCACTCTCTATCTGCAGTGGCTGGCCACTTGCTGAGAGTTGCAAAAGGTTTATGTGTCAATTCCAAGCTATTTCTTGTCCACAATTGCCTCACAGCATAGTGGGGAGTCGCAGTTTTCTATCCTGGGCCAGGTGTGTTGCACGTGTTGTTGTTAGTCCGTGTTGCTTCAGGACCTCTGATATATTGTCTATTCATCTTACTCTCGGTCTGCCTCTTGCTCTAGGGCAGTAGTGCTGTTCGTTGTATGCTCGTAGAGGCAGTTGGCCGGTTTGCATTCGCATCAAGTGGCCAAACCACTCTATTTGTTGTTTCTTTATGTATTGCAGGCATGATGTGGTTCCTACAATTGCTCTAATGTTCTCGTTTCGAACTCTGTCTCTCCTTGTGACATTGGCAGCCTTACGTAAGCATCTCATTTCGCACGTCATGATCTTTTTCTCCTGTGCTCTTGTTAGGGACCAGGTTTTGATCGTATCTGCGGTACTTAATAGCATGTTTATGTGAGCTTTCACTACCCTACCGGTTTGCTGGACCTGTCATAGTATCATTGTAAAAAGAACACAGTTTAATCCAAAAAGAAATCACATTAAACACATTACTGAAATAACATGACCGATCACGCCGCCATAGGAGTGGGTGCATGTATAAAAGGCTAGGATACTAGTCTGTTAAGTCTGGAATAACAAATTTTAATCATTATTAAGGGGAAGGGTTACATTTTGTCTGAGGTCAAGTCTAAATACCTAGCCTGCATGCTGCACAGGGACTGCCAGTTTGGATGTCATGTACTCAGTCCTTAGTAATTTCACTTCTGCTGACCACAGCTATGGTAAAATATGTTGTTGCAGTTTCTTCTGCTGTAGAGCCTTGTCAGTTTAGAATTGATTGCTTTTACACATCTTGTGCTAGAGGCTGGTGACAACATGTTGAAAAAAATATATATGTGTATATATATGACCCTTTAGTTAGTTAGTTAGTTAGTTAGTTAGTCGACAGATAATCCTCATTACACGTTGAACCACTCAGTCCATAAATGCTTGGATCCTATCATCAGTAAATCCTGCAGCGTGTTGCAGCTGATGACACATGTTCTGTGTTGGTTTATTCTTCTTCTTTGTATACCCTCATAGTATTCTTGTTTGGCAACACCCCCCCCCCCCCCCCCCCACTTTACTTGCTGTTCTTGCAGTTTGACCATGGTTGCAGATTCACAGTTCAAATGGTTCCTGCCAACATCTTAAATATTTAAAAATATGACTCTTTTCACTGCAGTATATTTATGCACGCATGCATAAATAAAAATATATATTTATGCCACTTTAAATTGTAAAGTAGTTGCAAATGCTGAAGTATAAAATAAAAGTTTATTAAATCTATGGTATCTGTTTAGTAAATAGTACTGCTATAGGGAAAGCAAAGAATAGTAACACTGCACTTTACAAGGCATGTCAGAAGAGGCAGCAAAGGGCTAGTTTTCATAAATCAAAACAAAACAGGGATAACTTTGAGATTTATAATGTTTGTATATACAACTACTCTTAAAGAAATCCGATTAGGAATTCATGTTCAGTTAACTGATTTAATAGAAGACTTTACCATTTAACTGACTCAATATTTCTCTGAATTGTGTTTTTTCAGATTAAAGCTTCCAGATCATATGTCAAGGACATTGAAACACAATATGTTTCTGAGACAGCTTGTATTTCAATCCCATCTTCTGTTTTGTCACGTCAAAAAGATGGTTTGGATGAAGTTTTTCAAGTTATGATCAGTCATAAAATAAATCCTTATACTTACGGCTATAAAATGCTTTCATGGACTTATGTTCCAGTCCAGACTATCTCTTTCTATGATATTGATGGCTCATATATACATGTGGAAAATCTGGCTGATAATGCAAGGATTAGTTTTCGTATGTATTCAGCAGATGGTGACAACAATTCTTGTATAGACAAAGAAGTGGCAAGTGAAGGTGATGTATATCAAATGAAGGATGAGGATTACAAAACAGTCACTCTTGGCCCACGTAAAAGTAAAGAAATACGTGTGCCAGGTGGGCGTTCGGAAGTTTTATCTGGTTTTGGAATAAACATTCAGGTACGAGTTTTATATAAATTTATATATATATATATATATATATATATATATATATATATATATATATATATATATATATATATATATATATATATATATATATATATATATAAATTAATGTTTATAAATTAATGTAGGGAGTATGCTGTTGCTCACTTATATAGAATCTATAACTTATTAAAAGGAAACTGTGTTTGGTTTCTGCAGTATTTAAAAAATTATGCTTTCACAAAAACAAACACATATTAAAAAGTTAAAGATATATTTTGTTTAAAAACTCAAACACTTTATTATTGCACTTACATTACACAGTATTTCTGTATATAATTTCTACTGTCTTTACTGCCTGTAGTTTCCATTTTTAAGATATACTTTTTAAGGGGAAAAAACCTTCAATCACCTTAAAGCAGATGTGAATCTAGATCTTCCACATGAAAACGCATCATTCTAGCCACTAACTAAGATGCTCTCCCTAATTCCTACTAATATTTATAAATTTATCTTACAGCTGCATCACCTCACCTGTTGATACAGTAGTCCAGGTTCAATCTTTAAAAGTGGCAGGATTTTTTTTCTTACAAGTAGGACTCTTGAGGTCGAGCCAGCCTCATGAAAAATGGGTACCAGATATTTTCCAAAACTGTCCTGGAAGGAAAGATGGTGAGGAAAGGAAATGACCACCCCCACTTATTATGTCCTGGCCTAAAGTGTGTAAAAACCCAATAACTCACATTCCAGTGGCATTATCTGTTATGAGATTACCTTTACCTTTTATTGCTGTATCACTTGCTTGGTTGTTGTTGTTGTTTTTTTTTTTCTTTTTTTTTTTCCCAAAAAAATCAAAAGAACTTCAGGAAAATACAGCATACACCAGGTAACCTTTCTCCTAAAAAATAATGCTACTTTCTACCACTGTGAGGGATTATCCTCAACAGGGCATATGGGCATAATATTATTTATCACATCACTTGTCTTTGTGAATGTGCCTCTTGCTGTACTTAGATATAATTCATCACAGGCAAAGAAGTTAGAAAAATCTCTGGATGACCATGCTTTACTCCTGTATACATCCTCCCATCCTTCTTCTTGCAAGGACTCCATTCTTTTCTCCCAGCTTCTACAGCTCCTTAGTCTGTGTTAGTAAAATGATGACTGCTATCATAGGGTCCTGCAATTGTTGGATTTCTTCTGGCTTCGAGGCTACCCTGAGCACATCTTGTCTGCTGCATTTCACCACTCACAATCTATCAGTCCTGCTGAGGCTGTCTCTTCCAAACCTAAACATCACCACAATAGACCTATCCTCTTGCTTACCTAACATATTCATAATATCAGTTTTTTTCTGAATTTCCCCTCGTGGCCTACAAACATGACTGTACCCTCAAGAATATTCTAGCCAAGAACCGGTTATGTCCCACCTCTGAGGCTCACTTAGGTATGGGCCCTTGTCATAATATGAAAGTTTGTCCATATGTAGTTCAGGCAGGCTTGCATTCCCTAATTTCACCTTCCACATACATGAGGCATTCTATTGCACAAGTCACAATGTTATTTATGTCATCATCTGTAAAAGATGGGATGTGAAATACATTGGTAAAACCGGCTACAACTAGATGTCAGATCCAGGCAACATTTCTCTGATATGCAGAACAGTGCCTAGTAATGCAGTGGATACCTTCCCACTGTGGAGTTCCCGGAAACGAAAAAGCTGATAAACTAGCTAAGGAAGGTGCAACTGAAGAACAACCTGACATACCAGTCTCTTATCAACAGAAGAAGAGAATGATCAAATCAATCAGAATGCCACCGAAACTGGCACAAGATGATTACCATATTATGGACAGACCAGAGCAAGTCATTATCCTTCGCCTTAGAACAGGGCACAATCGACTTCGCTCCCACATGTACAACAAATTTAAGATTGGCCATGTGTACTTGTGGACTGGCACCTGAAACAACAGATCACATCCTTCAAGACTGTCCCAGATTCAACGCTTTCAGGCAAAACCTTTGGCCAAAAGAGACACTTGTGGAAGTCAAACTTTACGGGCCGCTTAGTGAATTACAAAAGACAGTGAAATTCATACTAGAGACAGCTTTGCAGATATAGACAATTTATTTCATGCGAACGAAAGAAGAAGAAGAAGAAGAAGAAGAACAGTGCCCTGAAACAGTGCCAGTGCATATCTCTTCTCAGGGCCATCAAGGTGTCCTTGACATGGAGGTTACCACCATTAAGTCTGTGAGTACTGCCTTATCTCTATCCAACTTGTCTATGAGACTTTACCAGACCCAAGTACCGCCTCTGCAGTAACTTCCTAATCTGACGCTAAACTGCTGTACCTCATTGTCGGTACTTTGCGTACTACATGAAAACAGTGCGTTACAAACTAAAAATAACTAGCCAATCGTGGTCAGACCTCATGGATAGGCTAGTCATTCCAGATATCTGCCCACGAGTGTTTGGATTTACTTTGTGTGGTTTAACGTGAAAAAAATTGTGAAAATTCACAATGAAACGAGCGGCTGATGAACCAAGCATTTCAACTGAAGGTTATCTGAGTGCTTATGGACTTGTCTAATGTGCAGTGAGGAAATCTGTCAATTAACTAATTAATTGACTAACATTATGAGATGGTAAAGACAATGAATAACAAAGCGTACACAAAACAGAAAACAAATGGAATATGGAAACAAGGTCATTCAAGCAAAATCCCATAAAGAACATTGTTGAAAGAGATTAGAGGTGCTGGGCTTGGTTCTGTAAACAGTATGAAAAGAAAATTATAAATGAAATGATATTTTTTTTTTAAAAATAGACTGGGAATGGTTATACAATGGATTAACATCATGGCGCAAGGGTAGTAACCCATAAATGCTCTGTTCTACTTCTAACTCATGCCTGAGTCTGAAAAACCTCAGTGCAGTGCACGAGCTCCATAACACCGGCGAGGATCTTTAAAAAAGACTGCAAACCATCAGTGACTTAAAAATGACTCAAAAAGATAAATATTGTACATGGATATTATTCTTTATAGCTATCCAGAGATGTCCTAATATTGTACTGAAAAATCATGTCTACTGTCCTTTAGTTTTAATATTAATGTAATAAATGTATATTCTGATTGGTTTCAATGTCATAAATGTATATTCTGATTTGGTTTTAATGTCATAAATATATATTCTGAGTGGTTTCAATGTAATAAATGTATATTCTGATTGGTTTCACTGTCATAAATGTATATTCTGATTGGTTTCACTGTCATAAATGTATATTCTGATTGGTTTCACTGTCATAAATGTATATTCTGATTTGTTTCACTGTCATAAATGTATGTTCTGATTGGTTTCAACAAATCTTTCTTGACCACCTATACGAAAAATAATATGTTTAAATTTCTTGTTTTCTTCAGCTGTTCTTTTCTGTTGTCTCCATGAAGAACCAGAGTTTCAACAGTAACATCTCAGGTGTTACTGTCTACCTTGGCATCAATGTCACTCCCACTACCAGCAGCCACAAACAGAAGCTGATCATGGTTGACAGCATGGATCAACAAAATTATACATTTTTTCAGAAGTAAGTTATTTCTATATTTTATGTATTTAGATTTGCAAGCCCCCTTCTGGGTTCCGGGGCCCTATTATGGGGAAAACAAGAATAGACCCACTGCCTCTCCAACAAGCATGTCATAGGAGTCGATTAATTGGGGACTTCATTTGAATTCAGAGTGCATCTCTCCAAGCTGCAAGTAACAACCAACTGTACACAAAAAAGCCAGTAAAATGGATGTACATGCAAAACTCAAGCCCAGATGAACGATCAACCGTGACTTTCAGCTGGAGCTTACATCTGGTGAACAATGAAGTGGTAGAAGAAGAAGAGTCACAAGGGAGACAATCTTCACTACATATCGGTAAACTCAAAAGATCTTTGTCTTCTTCATAAGAGGGAAATTAGCACATTGTATTGTGGTTTGCAGCTGATATTTCTACCTTTTGGTTCAACAAATCTGAAGTAAACCTTTAATCAGTTGCATTTATAACATGTCTGTTAGAAAGCAGAACATCTGATGATTTTGGCCCCCAAAAATGAGATCCCAGATCCCACAAGGGATATTTCGCTTAAGTTACCTTCCTTAACTTCGACATTTGAAGCTTAGTATAGACCAGGAGTCGTCTCTGTGGCTAAGTGGATGCGAAGGCTTTGTAATGCTGAGATGCCGGGTTCAATCCCAGCTGCAGGCCATGGGCCTTGCGTTGGTTTCAACAGTGGTATTAAGAAACCAGACCGTCCAGAAAGCAATAGCAAACTACTGGACATAATTTTGCCTAGAAAAACCACACAACAGCCAGGGGCTGTTGGGGTTGGTTCTGCAACGTCCTGTAAAGGATATGCAACTAACCGATAGTGCAGGAACACCATGATGTCACATAAAAATTATGTTTGCATTTCTTTGTCTGTTATCTCAATATATTTATGCAAAGCTGCAAATGTGTTTCTGAGCGTTGAATTTTGCAGCAAAAGTGAGATAGCGTGAGATAGCCAGTCTGATGCCAGCCCTCCTTAGTCATTTCTTATAACATACATGATATGTTACAGCGTAACTATTCACTGCCTCCTTTAGAGGTCTAGCACCTATACAGATGAGTTTTCAATTGTTGTTACATATTATCATGTTTCTGATGAAATGTTTTTATTGTTGGCCAATTTTGTTTCATAATTTAATGTTTCTGATACTGAAATTTTAGTATTTCTCAGTTTTAAAATGTCAATTTTTTTTAATTTACACAAATAGTTATTGCTATTATGAACAAAATTGCATCTGAGAGATATTATTAGCACAGACAAATGTAGCACCATGCTCTTCCCTCTCTCCCCAAAGCAAAAAGCGGGCATACTTCGGAGTCACATTTGATGACAGGTTGACATGGAGAAAACATATCAACAAGGCAGAAACCAAAGCCAGAAGGAAAACAGCTATACTGAGAAAACTAAGTGGAACCACATGGGGAGCCAGTGGGAAAATACTCAATAAAGTATACAAGCAGAGCATACAACCACACTTAGAATATAGGTCAGCTGCATTGTGTTCAGCATCTACTACCACATTAAATGAGTTGGACAAAGTGCAAAATCAAGCACTCAGAGTCATCACAGGAGGGATGAAATCAACCCCCATATTAGAAATGGAGAAAGCTGGGAAAACACAGGCACTGAGAGAACGCAGAGATACAAAGTTGCAAATACAAGCTGAAAAGTTCCTCAGTATGCCAGATCACCCCATGAAAAATAGATTTCAGAACCTTGCCTTAGGGCGTTTAAAAAGAGGCAGCTTTATACACCAAGCAAAAAGAATATGTAGACAAACTGCTGACCTTCCAGCAATTGGTTGTCCACTTGAAAGTATTCCAGAACAAACCCCATGGAGAGAAAAATACAAACTTACAGTACAAATCCATACAAATGTGAAAAAAATATTTGACAAGAAAGAGCAAGATAGTGTACAACGCAGAATGGCCACCCTCAGTTATATTGATGAAGAATACCCACAAGAACAATGCGTCAGAGTCTATACAGATGGGTTCGCACAAAGTACAGTTAGAAATGGTGGTGCTGGAGTGTACATAGAATTCCCAGATGGTACTAGGGATAATTCTGGCTTATCAACCAGGAAGTACTGCCATAACTATGATGCCAAAACTCAGGCAATCAAGATAGCAACAGAGAAACTGCTAAATACCAATCTTGGCTCACAGTATTTGGTAATGCTGACAGATGCAAAATCAGTCTAGGAAACTACCAGAATTGCAAACACTGCAGACACAACTCAGCCTTCAGCGAAGAGTCGTAATGCAGTGGATACCGTCACATTGTGGAGTGCCTTGAAATGAGAAAGCTGATCAACTGGCAGGAGAAGGTTGGGCATAAGTGCAACCCGATGTACCAGTCACATACCACCAAAAGAAAAGAATCAATAAATCGATCATGAAACCATAAGCCCTAGCACAAGAGGACTATTTTATTATGGACAGATCAGAACAAGTCATTATTCTCCGCTTCAGAACAGTACACAACCGATTACATAACCACATGGACACAAAATTCAAGATAGGCGTATCAGCTATGTAAACCTGTGCAAAGGTGCCCCAGACAACAGAACATATACTCCAGGACTGCACCAAATTTGACACATTGAGGCAAACATTTTGGCCAGAAAGAACAACAGTGGAACGTAAACTCTATGGACCACTGAATGAACTAACAACGACAGTGAAATTTATACAAGAGACAAAATTGCTGATATAGACAACTTATTTCAGGCGAACAAAAGAAGAAGAAGAATATTATAAATATTTTTAAACTGCTAGCTGTACAAACAAGTGTGAGTGATTGTGAGATCTTCCCTGATAACTGCTAAAACTCATTTGAATATTGTGTAAAAAAGTTTTCTTTCTTATGTCTGAGAGGGAAGAGGGTGCAAAGAGAGTGATTATAAATGTTTATTTATGTGTGTCTTTTAAAAATGTGAAGTTTTTAATTAAATAAACTAATTCCATATCAAGCGATGCATCATATGTTTACTGATTACGCCATACATTACAGGCTTTTCTCAAACCCTGATGTGATAATCTATTCTTACATTAAACCTCTAAATCCAGATTTGTTCCTTTAACCCTCTTTGATCTACAGGGCTATTACTGAAGTGTTTTTAATCCAAACATTTATTTTATTTTCAACTCTTTTGTGCAGAATGAGTTAAATTAACAGTTCTCTGGAACTGAAAGAGTTAAAGAAAGAAAGTGATACAGAAATACAAAGAAAGCATATGTCTATGAGACCTGTATTGGTTATAAAGATGTTGTTGTTAAGAAAAATGTTGCAAATACCTTGGAATGCCAGAATAACTAACAGTGATCGCCTGGAAATGGCTAATGAAAGTTTTAACATTATCAACAACATTGAGAAGGAATCAAACAAAATTCTTTGGATAATATTGTGACGACTGGAAAGATCACTGGTAGAAAAGGCAGAGGCAGACAAAGAGAAAATAGGGTGGATGGCTTAAGATAGTGGCATAGAGGAATATCATCAGTGGAAGTTATCCAGAACACCAAAGACTGAGGTCTGTGGAGATGCATGAACACCTAGGCCAGCTGGCAAGGCACTTGATGATGATTGGTGATAATAGGTGTGCTCTTGTTTGTAATATTTCCTTATATTATGTTTTTGTGATATTCTACTAAATGAGTTGATATTAGCATTGTTGCTACTTAATTTGATAACTCATTTTGTTATGGTATTTATAATACTTTAACTATGCAAGTGTGGCCAATTGATTATGATGTCCACCTTAGGCTTAGAAGGTACTGGAAACCTACCACATAGCTGGTTATTTTAGATGCATATTGATGTCATGTGAGATTGTATATATCCTCTTGATCTCTTCACTGGTTAAACCGGATATCTAGCCTTCGCAGTTAAGAGCAAAACTTGTGCATATAAAAAATATCTCATTAAAGCTGAAAATCCCAAAGAGCAAGTCATAACTCGTTACCTTGGAAAATACTTAGAGACAAAAATCTGCCTGTGTATATTCAGAGCCCATTACCTTTGGTGAAATCTATCTAAGAGAAAGCAAATGTTGCACAAATATATGCTACAATCAGACACTGACCTCTGAGTTGAATAAACTGATGTGAAGATATAGATGAACATAAAGCATGATGACATGAACAAGTCCCAATAGCTATATTGCAAATATAGGACAGCTATGTTAGCTATGTATCACAAACAACAGAAAGAGACATTCATCATTTTGTTGGTCATGTTGTGAGGAGAGGGAAAGTGGAATATGTTGTGACTAACTGGAAAGATCTGTAGAAAGAGAGACAGAGGAAGACAGTGTGAGAAGATTCTCGACATTCTAATTGTCATGGCATGGCGGCGCATCAGCAGACGATCTGATACATGCAGTTGCGGATCGCAGATTGTGGAGATCCATGAGGCCCACGCCAGTCTGCAAGGCACTTGATGACGATGTTAGCTGGTGTTGCAGAATTAAACACAGCAAATGTTAGAAAACAAGCCTACACATGGGTTATTAGAAAAGAGTCACCATGGGGACTGAGACGTGCTTCCCACTGCTCAAGTAGATGACGAATACCATCCACAAAGAAAACATCATGTGGAGTTTGAATCACATGATGCTTTACTGAGTGGCAGATGATGCACTTCTGTTGTAAACAAGCAAAGAATTATGGGGCAAGAACTTTGAGTCATATAAAACAGCTAGCATGCAGTGGAAACATCCCAGCACACAAAAGCTTGGGTCACCTGTGTTTGTTTTTTTAATATGGTTCTTCACATATAGTATCTATCATCTCCCCAAGCAGTGGGAGTCATATCTGAATGTATAGAGTGACTTCTTCCCAGGTACATACTTGCTTCCTAATAGTTGCTTTGTTCTTCTTCCCTTCTTCTTCTTCTTCTTCTTAGTACTCACCGACTGCAAACTCTGGCAGAAAGTTCTGGTTGCCCACTTCTGGACTTTAGTATTGTTTTAGAACTTGATTTTAGAGTAGCCTTTACATTCATTTACGGATCTGCCTTATTTGTATGCAGACTGTTGGTTCCTTGCATCTGAAGCAAGTGCACTCTGACTTCAGAAGAAACCCTCCTAATTAGTCTACTTTTATGACATGCAGTGGGAGGCAGTGGGTATATATAATTGTGTGGCCCATATGGGGCCTCAGATATATCCCACATGGAGAATTGTTTGGTTCAGTTCTGACACACCTGTTAATCTATCTTTTATACATCTGTAATTAATCATTGGGGCAGGTTTCATTTGATCATGCTTAAACATCAAGTCATATGCATACATTTTATGATTTTAATTAGTGTGCTTACTAGTTAGTTATGAGGTATAATAATTTTCATTATGTATTTGTATACTTATTGTTACTCATTCCTTTGATCAATCAGCAATCTCAGCTCATCTGACAAGTTGCATATTGTTGCAACTAACAACAATGAACTTTATGAAATAGAGCTGTCTGTGGGAGCATACATATCCAGTTGTGAGTACTTCAACACTGACTCACAAACATGGGCTTCTGGTGGATGTCAGGTGCAAGAGGATTCTACACCTGTTGTAACATCCTGTAAATGCAACCATCTAACTTCCTTTGGAGCTGGGATCATATCTATTACTGATATTGATTTTTCTGACCTAGAGGTAAACATTCCTTGTGGTACTTTATCTCAGTTTAACAAATAGTGTCTTTAAAGCATTCTATACCTGTCAGTGACATTACATATCTCTAAAAACTCTAAGTCTGACATTCAAGTTTCTCCATAAAACTCTATACCTGTCAGTGACATTACATATCTCTAAAAACTCTAAGTCTGACATTCAAGTTTCTCCATAAAACTCTATGCCTGTCACTGACATTATATTTCTTCAAAGAACTTTATGTCCATCACTTACATAAAGTTTCTTTAAATGACTGTCCCTCATTAATATTAAGTTTCTCTAAAACAATATTTATACACACCACACCACACATGCAGAAAAATAAAAAGCAACCACTGTTCACAGATGACTGCAGATCACTGTGTGTTCTTTTTATTTCTTATTTAAATAAACTGAAACATGCTGTTCGATTGACGGCTGTTCTGAAATGTTTATCAGTGTGTTTAATATCAATCTCCTCAGGCATCAGGTTCTTAAATATTTTTGTTTAGCATAAAATCTTATACAGAATGGGACAGGCAGTCATGCCCAGTTCATGTGCACATATTCTCTCTTGCAATGATGCAAAGCTATCCTGCCTCAGTTCTCTCTGCTGACTTTAAAAATTTTTATTTTTTATTTTCATGACCCTTTCTAATGTCCAGACAGACATGCACACACTTGGTGTCACCAACTGGAAAGAAAAGGCCAACCTGAGTGATGAATGGAGGGGGGTGATATCTGTAGCAATGAACCTCAAGTGCTTGGAATGCTGAAGAAGAAGAATTACCCTTTCGATTTAATTTTTGTCTATTCTACTTTTTCTTCTTGACATTCACTAGCTGTGAACTTAAGCGGAAAATTCTGGCTGTTCGTCTACTTCTAGACTTGAATCTAATTTCAGAAGTCAAGTTTATAGTATAACGTAATTCTTTCTGCTACAGTTGAAATTTAATCGCATAATGTAATTTTTAGGTGTGTTGATAATTTCTAAACTCACTGTCTGATTTAACATTCTATTTTAAATTATAAATGATGCATTACCAATTTATCAGTAATTTCTCATTGAAAAAATAGTTTGGAGGAAATTGATTCATTGCACTGGGTTCCATCTAGTAATGCTCAGTGTCTATTCGCAGAACAGGTGTATGCCTGATGAGAATGTGACACGTAGCATGTATTCCAACAATAACCCCACACACTGGTCTTCAAAACACATATACTCATAAAACTGGAACAAAAGCTTTTGTATATGAGGCAGATGACTTGAGCATTTCATCACAGAAACCACTAGAAATAACCATTATACAAATTTATTAATTGGAATATTAGCTATTTCAGTCCCCAGAAAGTTTCGCAGCAAGCCAGCTTTTTAAAGGCACAGCAGCTATAACTTTTGCTCATACCTTTGCCTGAAATCACCTCACTATTTTTTGCCTAACAAGACACATTTGATACTCCTCAGAATCTGGACCTGTTAACCAACCCAGTCGTATTTATTGTTGTCAGCATCATCTTTGTGAGCTACATTTTACTGATCATCTTATGCCGGTACTTGGATCATCAAGACCTCAAACGTATCTCAAAGATTCCACTATGTGGCCAAGCTGGACATTTTCTGTATGAGGTCACCATGGTAACAGGACGTAACTACAATGCAGGTGCTTGTCTGAAAGTGGTATTATATTATATTTAGTTCATTACTGACAATGATTTAAAGATATTTGCACGCAGGACATGAACATTGCAGGTATTGAAGTGCACCATGTTGTGTGGAGGGGGAAAATCAGGAAGGGAGTAGGTATAAAAGAAAAAAAATAATTGCAGATAGGTTAAGAGCTTAGCATATGAGAAAAAGCATATTAAATACATGCAAAGACAACGATGGTTCTGAAATCCCATGCTCAAGTTGTGTAAAACTTGTCTTAATGTAAACAAGGTCTTGCCAGTCACAGCTGTTGTTGCCATAAGCCAGGGCTATTCAACTGGTGGCCTGCGGGCCTAATCTGGCCCGCGGAGGCCTAGCAAGTGGCCCGTGAATCATAGCTAGTTGTAACGTAATACTGATCTGTCTATGCTAATGTTTAACCTTCTGTCCCAAGATGATTTTCATTGTCCAAATGTTGGCCCCTCGGTAAACTTAGTTGAATAGCCCTGGCATAGGCTATGATTTCTATGCCTCTAAGGACCTCCTGGTGGGTGCTGGTTGTTAGAGTACTTTCCCCTTTGTTGTTGTTGTTTAGTTAGTTCATATCAAGAAAAGGCCTGGCCGAAACGTTGATTTGTGTCTTTTATGCACGTTGTTCTGCTTCCGCATTTTGTAAAGATTTTTAGTTGCAGTTTGCTGGATTAATCAACAATTTATTAGTAATTGTTTTTGTCATTTTCAGTGTATTGTATCTATGAAACATTACTGATTTAATGTTAAATTTAAACATTTTAAGTTTGGTATCAAGTTTATTACATGCAGTCTGTTAATTTCATGAACCCCATGTTAATTATTTATTCACTTCTTCAAATTCTGATACCTAATTTTTTATCTGTTTCGAGCTGTAACAAATTATTTTAAATAAAAGCTAGAACAAAACCTGCCTGAGACTAAAACAGTTAACTCTGTCTTATTTACTTTTTATCTCCATCTTGATTGTAATGTTAACTCTATTTGTCCCATACTGTTATTTTAACTTCAGGAGACCCAGGCTCCTTCCCTCTCCTTTTTCAGGAATGCAGCCAGAAAGACTTATAGCTATCATATTTTGCTTGCTTCCTTCCATTTCTCCTCTCCAAGCTGCTACTGAAGGTTTGACCACCTGAGGTTTAAATAATGTCAGTCTGGATGTAACATAAGTAAAAGATAACATAGCACTTGATCCGTTAGGATCGTGGAGGTGTATCGATGGAAGCATTAGCACACATCTTTCTCTGTCTTCCGCTTGATGAATAAGTGTATGATAACTTAGCCCTGTCCATTTCCTAATGTTGTCACTCCAGGTTCTTCTTTGTTCTCTTTTCTTCGAATACACCTCAATGTTCCTTGAAGTTTGCAATTGAATCATGTCTCACCACATGCCCGACCAAGCTAACTTGTGATGTTTCACCTGATATCCTGCAAATCTGTATATTTTGCCTCTGACAAAATCATAGAAAATCTGGCTGTAAGCCAACAAGGCAAACCCTTCAGATGTATAGTTCAACCTCCAAAGAAGTTGAAATTGGGGCACCTGTAACGCTACATCAGCCTAAGGTAGCCCCACTTCTGTGCAGGTGTGCATGTGCTGTATTCTGCTTTATACACAAATTCTCAGAACACAATATGCAGGTATTAAACCCCATCATCATCATCATCCCGTAACACTACGTGACGTCAGGTCACCAGTTTCTGTTGACTTTCTGGTCAGCTCTCTCCAATTTTGGCGGTCATTTGCAATGGACTTCATGGTTACATGCCGGAGGCCTGTCCATTCAGTCAAGTTTAATAACCAGGTCTTTCTTGGTCTGCCTTTTCAACTCTTTCCCTCGACTGAGCCCTGCAGTATTGTTTTTGAGAGGCCGTTAGATCTTATTACAGTTTTACCTACCTGAACAACTATTAATACTACATATATAAATATATATTAACAGGAACCAGTTCCCATGTGGGTATTAAGCTTTATGGATCTGAAAATAAAGGAGGTGCCAGGCATTTAACCAAGCCAGGGGCATTCCAGCGAAACTGCCGGGATACATTCCTAGTTGCAAACAGTTCAAGTTTAGGGGAGATTACTAAGATTCTTGTCTGGCATGACAACACTGGCTTATCTCCCTCCTGGTATCTGTCTCACATTCTGGTGAAGGACCTGCAGACAGAGGCACAGTTTACCTTCCTAGTGAACTCCTGGTTGTCCCTGGAAATGGAGGATGGAGTCATTCAGAAAACTGTAAAAGCTTCAGGTAAGTACCTGAAATTATGTAGGTATATAGGAGATTTAAATACTAAAGCCTGTATATTCAAGTATGTGATCTTTATTAGAAAAAAAAATTTCAAGAAATGATATCATTGCGCTTGGGACATTCCCACACATGATCAATCTTCTTCCATAGTAAATGTTTTTTTTTTTTTAACATTTTCTTTAAGTTAAAAAAAAAACAGTAAAGGACCCTTTCTACGCCAAATGCACTTCAATCCTATGATGCAAGACTCATATTTGTATAGACCAATCAGCAGTGCTGGATTTAGGCATAATATAAACAAGCTGTAGTTTAGGGCGTCACAATCTTTAGGGGCTTCAAATAATACATTATGTGTGTGTTTATAATGCAGCATAACTTTTGACAACATAAGCAATGATTCTCTTTGGGAATTGAAAGAAGCTGTTTTCAGTTGTAACTTAGAACTTTAAGAGGATTATATTATATAATTTCAGTGATTTTTAAAACTAATTTCTTTATTATTTCTTTTAATACAAATTAAACAACAATATATTTCCATTATCCATATATTTAAAAGAAGTATTTATTTACATTTTTGCTTAGATTAGCTGGTGAAATTTAAAATGGTAGGGGCCTCAAGACTCTTAGGGTCTCATCGTCCAAACATAGCCCTGCCAGTCAGCACTCAGCAAATAAATGATCTCATAGTAAACTAAATTCTCAGAATGTTTTGTATGATGTGAAAATGTTGACCATATCATAAACTCTTTGAGTCCCTGGGTGTTTAGCATCAGAGGCACAAGGGGTGGTAATGCAATTATTTAATTTCACAAGTGTAACACTTTAAAACAGACGATACTAATTCAACTGCCTAGCAGCATAAACATATTATGCATCAAAGTGACCAGGGATTGTTGGGGAATAATAACAGAATACTGCTGCAACAAATAATTGCGTAAGTAGTTAAATATAAGGACATAAACAGACAGTATGTTTACAGAAATTAATAACAACGAATTTAAACATTTGCACTTGACACGATCCCACTAAAAAACCTCCCTAAAATATATCTAGACTGAATCACAAATGAATATGAACCACTTAGTAATGTATAAGTAAAATATAAAATCAATCTATGCATTAGATGATGTTCCAGAGAACCATTTTTTGATGAAGAAAACTGACTTTATAAAACAGTATCTTCACACCAAATTAGGTATATATAACACTCAATATGCCTGTAATTTTGTAGCTATGTTCCTAAATGATAAGGGGAATAGCACTGGAATTAACTGACACAGAAGAAAATAGCCTTTTTACTAGTATTTATTTTATTTGTGTCAGCTGACTTTCTAACATTGTACCCTTCACATGAGGTACACAGTAGTCCTACCTCTCATCAAAGCTTGACTCTGTAAATGACTTAAACAAGTCTACTTCGCAACTTTATCTATCTAACTTCGGATAAATCTAATAAACACATGCTTTATTTAAATTTGTGGTTTCTAAAGCTGTAAATCGTGTTGGCATGCATGTAGAACACTGCTCTGTGGCCATCTTGTTTTTTGGTTTGTTTTTTAAACCACCCAATGTTTTGTTATAGTGGCTATATTTGTTCGTATATCTTTATTTATTTAGAATTTTAATTCCAGATTGTGTGTCAATGTGTGTATGCATTAGAGTGACCATATTGTCAGGATAGTATAATATGTATATATTTTGTCATCCTTTTTAGGATGAAATTTATCTTTTTTTGAAGCCCCACCCTGGATCTAGCCAGGGGCTGCAATATAGCCAGGCCATAATTATGGTTTAATGGCTGAACATGGTTTCTGGGACCTCTCCACGGTGATCCTCATCCACGTGGGGGCACATTGTGTCATCAAGCGTTTATCGCTTGTGTGATGTCCTGGTGGGGTAGAAAATCAGTCAGTCAGTCAGTCAGTCAGTCAGTCAGTCAGCACAGTGTCGTTTTTAGGTGGGCCTACACTATTAGGTTGATACTAAAGAAAAAATGTTTTTTCTCCCAATGGAGTTTGAAAATATTGATTGGGCAGTCTGGGTCTGCCTAAAAACTGATACTGTGTGTGCGCGAAAACCTGACTAATGGTCACACTAGTGTGTGGGCATGTGTGTGTGTGTGCATGTGTGTGTTTGTGAATTTGTGCATATGCATAGATGTAAGCACGCATGTGTGTGTGTATGTGTGTGTATATGTGTGTATGGATGGGTGAGTGAAACAGTTGGTTTTTGTTTTGTTTTTTGGTGTGTTATTTGTTGTTAAGTTTAACCACAGTTTTTGTTTATTTTGTTTAGTGAAAATATTTTCTACAAACCTGCTGATTAAAATAATTTCTTTATTACAGATGAAAATGAAACAAAGCAATTTTACCATCAATTTAAGTACATCTTTGATTCCCTAATGGGAGACTTACATACATGGTTCTCAGTCTCCAACAAACCAGATCACAGCCGTTTTACACGTGTTCAGCGCACCACTTGTTGTCTAACATGTGTTTACTTATATATGTCAGTCAATGCCATGTGGTATGGTTTATTCAAGAGTCGTGCAGAGGTCAATGCAACATTATCATGGAGCTCTTTTGGCTGGGAGGAAATTGTAGTAGCCTTGGTGTCTACAATAATTGTAGTGCCATTCTGGGTTGGATTGACACTTACTTTCAAGAAAAGCAGATGTAAGGTAAGATGGTTGTTGTGGTTTTGTTGCAATAAACAAATGCAGTTTTCCAAAAGTTTAGTTAAAATTCTGCTTTCTTCTTAGTGTTCACTAGCTATAAAAATCTAACAGAAAGTTATGGTTGTTCGTCCGCTTCTTGACTTTGGTCTGTTTTCCAGAACTTAAGTATTGTGTGCATGTCTATTTTATAGATCAGGCTTATGTGTATATAGATTGTTGGTACCTCACCTTTCTATCAAATGCATCCAAACTTCGAAAGAAACACCCCTAATTAGATGCCCTTTTTAACAAGCAGCTTGTTATTTTATCGGGAGGGAGGGGATGGGGGTTATGCGGTGGATCTACCACCCCCTCCCCTCAATTTATTACCCTTGAACCCACACAGGGAATTTATACTTCACTGCTTCAGGATGCCTCTTGTTGCACTTATACTAAAACAGATATGGCAATTCTGAATTTTAACTTAATTTACAATACAATATGATCACCATTATTTATCTTTTATTATGCATATGCATGTAACATATGCATTCACGCATGTGTACACATTCATTTTTGTGCAAGTGTGTGTGTATATGACTGTGATGGTAAAGTTATTTCTAAATTTAATCACACTAGAAATGTAAGAAATGATATATTTATTAGCTTCTTGCTTTTTATGAACTTTTTTATTTTATAGGCCTCCATATTTAAAGAAGCACTTCGACCAGGCACTGCCCAGACTCTAGAGATTGATGCCCTGTGTGCATTCTCTGTAGATGGTGGCTCCTACAAGACTGCTACAACACTGGCTGACTGGATCCCATCCTTGGACAGAGAGAGTACTTCTGATTCTGTGAATGTGAGTCCAAAAGACTGCAGTATGAATTGAGATTGTGTCTATATTTGATGTTTTACAACTGTTTACAGACCTAAATGTGTGTTTAAAACTTGAACCATATAGGGATCATCATGGGGCCAGTATGTTAATAGTCCCAAGGAGCGTATCATACGTTCATAGATTCCAATCTAGATGCCCAATGAATGCGCCAATTTTGCATTTCTCTTCACTACCACATGGGCCTCTGATGCTAAACTCCCTGGGACTCAAAGAGTTAGGCTTCTTCACTTCTGTTGACCTGTAAGTGTGTAACATTTTAACTTGTATTTTTTTATTGTATTTCACCCCATCTTTTATATTTAAAGGTAGAAAAAGAACAGTTTTTGACAGAAAGCATGATGAGTTAAAAAATTAAACTATTCAAGCTGTCAGTGGTTCAGTACTAAAAACAAAACAAAAAACCAAAAAAAAAGAAAGTCTTTCTTAATCTGAATATGTGGTTCTTCCCCCCCCCCCCCCCCCCCCCCCCCCCCCCCCCCCCCCCCCCCCCCCCCCCCCCCCCCCCCCCCCCCCCCCCCCCCCCCCCCCCCCCCCACCCCACAAAACAAAATCTGATTTATATTCTATACAAAAATTAATAAATTTATTAGTAATATTTGTAATTGAAAGCCCGGAACCTTAATCTTAAATCTACAATGCGTGTCCAATGTTCACACCCAGAAATGTTATAATTACCGGAGATTGAGCATTCAATGACTTTAAACGAATTTTTTAAAACTACACCCACATATTACATGCTTGCTGTAAGTGAATATCTACTTTCATTTATGTTGAAAAAAATGTTAACTTGATAACCCAGTCTTCTATACAGTTTTAGTGAAAATATCTATGAGCATCACGTACTCAGTTTTTGATATTAATTTCCATTTTTAATAGAAGTAAATTTAAATATAACATACAAATATTTTAATGTGAAATTGAACATACATTTGTTAAACATTTATCAATGTTTCAGCAAATTCCTGCTGGTCTGAAGCGAACAGCTCCCATGTACAAAGGTAGACGAAGAAAAAGTAGTGATGTCAACCTCAATGGAAAGGAGAGATCGGCCATTCCAAGTTCAGGCAGTCAGAAGGTCAGTAATTTCTTTTTTCTTTATATAGTAAATATGGACATTTCAGTATAATATATTGTAAATATTATTCTTTCCAGCTAAGATTTTTTTTTTTTTAAAGTTTGCATATCAAATATCAAATCTGTACGGGTTTATGGAGCTGAAGTGGGTACAAATTAAGAAAACCTGAAAATAATATAATTATAATGTTATTGAACTGGAATTACAGAGCAAAAGTAATGAAAAGAGACTTGCAAACACATGGTAAAAAGAATTGAGGGACAGAGGTGATAATATGAGAAGGACGTGGAGTATGCTGCACAAAATGGCAAGGGATTGGAGAGCTGGAAGTGAACTGGTTGAAAGCTTACCTTCTATAGTCAATTATGGCAGAAGCAGAGGAGAAGAAAGATTGTATGTCAAATTAATTATATAGTGTACTGTTATGTACATAATTTCAAAGATTGAATGTCATAATATGGAGGTTTTCATGCATGTCAGTCTGTCTCCTGTATATTTTTAACTGTTGGTCTAAGAAGGATTTAAAACAGATGTAAAATAACTACTGTAAAAGTTATAAGTTTCTTACTTACAGACTAACTATAAATAACTACTGTAAAAGTTATAAGTTTCTTACTTACAGACTAACTATAAATAACTACTGTAAAAGTTATACGTTTCTTACTTACAGACTAACTATAACGTGAAAGTGATCTATGAGAAACCCATATTTCTCAAGTATATTTGTGTCTGTGTGTGTGTGTGTGTGTGTGTGTGTGTGCATGCGTGCAAGGGTGCATGCGTGCGTTCTTGTGTGCTAAAATCTCTCCTGTATCATTTTAGTGCATTTTTTTTTTTAGTAAACTATGTTTCGCTTTGTTAAAACATTTCAAATATTATTTTTTAAATATTATTTTACATAGATTTTTTTAAAGATAATATACTGAAGAAATTTAATCACCCCATTAAAAAAAGGAGCTCTACTTTATTATTTTATAACTATTTATTAAAAATGTGTTTTTCCTTCAGAATTTCTGGAACAAAGATAGAATTATGCAGAGTTGGCCAGATACATTACAGCATGGACTGAGTAAAACCAGTGCACTGAAAGATCACACTGGCATTGAACAGAATGGCAAAACTCCCACTAATCAGAGTTCTGATGGTGGTTTTGCTGCAAATAAACAGAAAAGTCAAGCTGTGAGACATAGCCACCAACACAGTAAGGTCAGTAGTAAATGCAGTGTAGAAATATATAAAATCAAATTGGGAAGAAAATATACAATTTAGTAATAAACCTTTAGAGCAATAATGACACTAGAATGAATAGGCTAAATGCAAGTTTTATTGTCCTGACAGCTTATCAAAAATAAAAATATCTTGCTGCATCAAAGATTAATTGGAAACACTGATTACAATTATAGAAACAAATGGTTACGTTTAACACTATGATGTAAAGTATTTAGGTTCTGTTCAGTAAAAGTATATTGAATGGAAGTGAGAAGAGCATAAAAAGAGAATTGTGTAAGTACAAAAACCAAGATTTTTACTAAGATCATTATTAAATGAAAACTTCTTAAGTACAGAATATTTAACCCTACCAGACCTCAGGCCCTGGACTTGCCTCCTATACCTGAGCTCCTGGGCATTAACGTGAAAAAAACCAAGACGATATACAAAAATATTAGTTACATGCAAACAAGTGGCTAGAATAAGATGAAACTTGGAGACACTGTAGAAAATAGGTTAAGCTTTTATCTAGTGTCAATATTCCACCTTTGTGTGCTAAACCACCCAGCAGGATCAACCTTGTTTCACAAAGTGAACACCAGATGTTGCTGTTTGAGGGACACGCCCCTTTCTCCTACTATCAATCTATTTCTAGCTTTATAATTTTGAAGATTCTCCTCATCATTCCACCTCTCACTGACTGTGTGACTTCAACTGGGAACGTATTCTTCATGAAATTATGACTCCACAGAGTCTGAATAAAGCAAAGTATTGATCACCTGTTGGACTGTGAAAAGCCTAGACCTACTTCACTTTCCTGTCGAAGTGCTTGGTTCATCAGTCGCTTGTTTCATTGTGAATTTTCAGAATTTTTTCACATAAAACAATACAAATTTTATCCAGACACATGCAGGCGGACATCTAGGAAGATTATCCACGAAATCTGATTACGATTGGCTAGTTATTTTTAGTTTGTGACACATTGTTTTCTCAAAGTATGTACATTCCCGACATTGAGGGACAGCGGTTTAGCGGCAGGTTAGCTAATTCCTGTAATGGCGGGCCAGCGGTCTGGTAGAGTTAAGGGCACTATAAATTTATGAGTCAGCTCTATGGCTAAGTCGATGCGAACGCTTCATAATGCCGGGGTGTCTGGTTTGACCCCAGCTGTGGGCCATGCGCCTTGCGTTGGTTTTGACAGTGGTATCAAGAAAGCCGACCATACAGAAAGCAATGGCAAACTACTGGATGTAAATTTGCCTAGACAAACCACACAACAGCCAGGGGCAACTAACCTTATAAATTTGATGAGGTTGAAGCATGCCCTGCATGTGTGCATTGCCTCACTGTCTTGCAAACTGAGCAAATGAGAGAGAAGGAAGGAAGATGGAGCAGAAAAAATATCAAAGAGAGAATAATAATAATAATTATTATAATAATGATTTGGTAAATTACAAAATAAAGAAAGCATCATTACTTTATGTAGGGCCAGATTAACCATTAAGCACACTGAGCATGTTCTTGTTAGCATCTCAAAAGGAGGGGGCAATCTTTATTTTCAGTAGCTTTGGAGCTGAACATTTATATTCTCAGATGAAATATATTAACAAATCCTATCACAATAACAATGCAAAAAGACAGGCTGGAGGCCTTATCTCTGTCATATATAGATGCAGATGTGTTGCATGTGTTTTGTGGATCGGATCAAAGACTGCAGTTTAAAAAAACAAGTAGGACAAAATTTGTTTATATATAAATAGAGGGAAAATATACAAAGAATATTCCATCTTGCTGTACATTTGGTTTAATTTTGATAAATAAATTAAAATTGTATGTTTTTTTTATTGTTTACATGTTAACTCACATATACATGGGGGCACCGGTACCGTCTTAACACATGGGCATGCTGGCCAATTGCACAAAATATTTTAAGTGCTTAGGGCATCAAAGAGTCCTAATCCCACCCTGTGTATGTCATTCTTTTGAGATTTAAAAAATTGAGGTGAAAATTGCAGAACTGGTCAACAAATACACTTTTTTTTTTTTAGAATGAAAAGATGAAAAATGAAATTACCATACACCATACATGATTGTAACAAACCCTGTTTAGAAAATGTTTTTTTTTTTCTAAAATTTATATCTATAAAATGATGGCCACCACTAATTTCCTAATAATTTTTATTAATTCGCACCTAGAGGCATATGAGGCAGAGACACAGTGTCACCACTTTATTCGATACTGAGCCATCCTGTCTATCTCCAGTTTTGTCCTTTGCGTAGATTTGAGTTCAGCCTCAAAAGTTCACCTTTATATGCCTCTGGGCCTGTCTCTTCCTCGCTGTCCTTGTGGTGTCCATTGCATTGCCTGACTCAGTCATCTCTCTTTCTTCACTCTAAGGACGTGTCCTATCCACCTCTAACTATGTTTTCTTATTTCTAAATTTATATCTTTTAAGTCTGTCATTTGTTGTAATCTAGAATTGCTCCCTGTACATGGTATCAATTTCTGAGTGTCTGTTTTCTTCTTCTTTTAGTTTAAATCCAGTCTATCACAATTGTTACTTTAACTCGTTCTGTCTTTGGTTGTATTATTTTAACCCATTAAAACTCAAAGAGTAGTGTCTCTAAAGTATAAAACCTTTGGATTTGAAATAAAACTGCCCGATAGTGACAGAGTTAATTATTTCTTTTGAAAAAGAGGTTTTTGTTAATACAAATTTGATAGGCGTGTGTCAGAATCAGTCCAAAGTATAGAAGATAAAAGTTTGCCCTTAGACATGACTACCAATGTCACATTAAGGACAGACATGATTGCCAGTGTCACACGACATGGACTATAAGAAAAAGAAGAGACAAAAGAAGAAATGTTACTTCATTATGTCTGTTTATTTTGTCAATAAGAAATTTGTCAGCTTTTGTAGTTTCATAGTTCTGACATACTAGTTTCATTTCATTGGCTTGTAATTTGGCAGCAGTCTGTGTTGTGTTGATTTTGATGTGGTATGAGCATTGACCATTGAGTAGGCAATGGCAGACTGATAAAGATAAAACTGTCTAGTAAGACTACAGACAGTCAACAAATGCTGATGCTGGTTTTAACTGTTTACAAGACTTACTTATGCTAAGAAATCTTTTTACTGATAATGGATCTGGTTTTTGCATTGGATGATATGCTGAAATTTGCTAATTTATATAGGTTTTGCCATTTTGAATAACGGATCAACATAATGGCACACGGGTGTAACCCATAGGTGCTTCGTTCATCTTCTGACTCAAGTCTGAGTCTGGAAAAGCCCATCACAATGCACAGGCTCTGTAGCACTGGCGAGGATTCTGAAATACTTTGGGTGGATTTTTAACTCCAAATTTTGCCCGGCCGATAGGCTACTCTTTTCAATTTCCAACTGCCAAGTGATTTATTTACGGGCACAACAATGCACACCCAGAGACCTGAGGGAATTACTAGAAGTCCATGTCCACATGAAAAAATCTCAGCCCTTACCAGAAAATTAAACCCAGAACCTCTAGCACTCTAGGCGGACACCATGCCTCGAGACCACACAGCCCCCTATTATATTATTTATATAGCGATGTGTTTTTGGGTGTGGAGTTTAGCAAAATTAACATTTTGTTTGTTTCTAGCCAACGGAGAATAGTGACGAGGAATTCCAAATGATACTGGACCAAGCTGAGGCTGATATAGCCAGAGCTGAGGAGAGGAGGAAGAAAAGTCGGAAATTGAAGTTAGTATTGCTCAAACTGTTAGCATTCAATGATATTATATTTAATGGACAAGCAAATTACTTACTGGCATATTTAATTTTTTTTTTTTAAATTAATACAGCAAAAAGGCTAGATAATTTATTGAAGACACATCATTATGATACTATTTCAAAAATCCAAGAACAAAATGGCATTGAATATCATGTTCATAACAACACCAGGTTAGCTAAGTGTTCACTACCTGGGGGTATGGCCCATTGACACGTGTCTGCAAATCAACACTTAAAGTTGTTTAAATCATTTTGTCATCTGGCAACTGTGAGATATATCACCTAAAAATGACCCACATCTGGCAACTGGGAGATAAATCACCTAAAAATGACCCCTGAAAATTGTACACTCATGGTCCGAATGATACTTCCCAAAAGTAAGCCCACAACTTTCAGTGTGTGAAGCAAATAGTTTGACCATTTTGCAACAAATCTATCAGCTGCCATCTTTTCCAGAAGTCAAAACTCTCACAAAGAGACAGTCAGAAATAGACTGACAAACACTGGTTATAACCATGAACAAGATCTCCTCAGTCATCTTAACAGAACAGACCATACCATTTTTCACTTATTCAATGGACATTGCAGACTTTCCAAATACTTATATAGATTAGGCATGAGCTAAATAGATCTCTGTCAGTGCCATTAAAGCTGAACAGACACAGAACATGTCTTCCAAGACTGTCCTTTTCTGGAGCAACATTTAGTAGACTTGATATCTAGACTGTGGAGAAACATAAGAGAACTTTTTTGAAATCCTAGTTTTTGGCTTAAAGTGGATTAGCTGCATGAGCAGAGACTGCAGAAAAAGAAGAGGAAGATAATGTCACCTTGGAAAGAAAGCCTTCAATAAAGTATTTTTCCCAGCTAAAGATACCTTTACAGTAAGGCCACTGAAGAAAACCTTGACCAAGAAAATGATTTTTGCTGAGGTTTATGCTCAGAGCAGGAAATATGTCAGTTATATGATTTGTTATATTTCATCATTATCATGTAGCATGTTCTTTGCAGAACGTCACTCTCATCATTGTCTACCTGACAGAAACTCAGCTTTCCTGCCTCATGTATTTTCATATTCAAGGAGTCACTTATATCCTGTGTCCATCTTCGTGTTGGTTGGCCCCTGCCCCTCCTTCCTGGCACAATCCATTCTGCTTTATTTTTTCCAATCCATTGTGGCGCTTGATATGACCAAAATATTTTAGCTTCCGAGACAGGATGTTGTTTATCAGCCAGTCTTCCTTGATGTTCATGTTATATTTAGCTAACAGAATTTGTAGTGCATTTGTATCAAACTATTTGCAGATTGAGGCAGGCAAATAGTGATGACTTGTTTGATTCTGATGATGACTGGGTAAATGAAGGATTAGATGATGTTGTGATTGAACCCAAGTTTGCATCATTCATCAATAACAGGGATTCTGAACACACATGTACTTTTGACAGGCATGTATATTTTTCTGGGTTGATATTTAGTCATGGAAAGCTTATCTATAAAGGTGAATTAACCCCAGCTGTAAATGATGAAGATTAGAAAATACAATTAGATGTTTTTTTTTTCAAGTCAAATTTATTATTAAAGATGAAATGAACTGTTTGCATGCTGTTCAGTAAATAAATATTGACAAACTCAATAATAATTAACAGATTGGATTGAATAATTCTTCCCTATAAAGTTTTTTATCAGGTGTCCAGTAGGGAAATAATCAGCAAACAAGAAGACAGGAAACTTGAGATTGTCAAAATTGGATAAACTGTTAACCCTTTTGCCCTGGTGACCTAGGAAAAAAAAATCATGATCCTGTACTTTTAATTTTTTGGTAAACCCCCGCCCCCCCCCCCCCCCCCCATTCAAATTCTTAGAAAAACATCAATTTTATACATATAACCTCAACCAAAAATATAAAAAAACTGCACAAGTTGATCAACTAAAAAACATGTACAGAGAGTAAAGAAGTAATCACTCAAGATCCTGGGAGGCCAGATTTACCCAGAGTCACAGTGTGGCTTCATATAACGAAAAATTTCATCCTAAAAAGGACGAGGAGTATTGTTGATTAACAATGACGAAGAGCTGTAATGTTTACTGTCTACATCTGCTGATGCATGCTGTGAATTTGGACTAACAAAAAAGGAATACAAAGGTTATGGTGCAAGGTGTTAATGTTAGACCTACAGTCTACATTTGTGGTGAAGAGCTAGAGTCAGTTATCTCTTTTACCTGTCTGATCTACAGTAAATAACAAACTATTGCTGGACCAAGAAATCAGCATCAGGATAGATAAGGCAGCAACAACAATGAGCAGATTTACAAAAAGAGTTTGGGAGAACAGAAAGCCTATGATTGAAGTAAAAACTCTTGTCTATCAGGCTTGTGTTCTCAGCACTCTGCTGTATGGCAGTGAAACTTAGTCAACCTATTCGGACCAGGACAAACGGCTAAATAGCTTTCACATGCGATTCCTAAGAAGAATACTTGGCATTGAGTGGCAGGAAAAAATCACAAACCCTGAGTAAGTGCAGGTATTACAATAGTTTTCTCAATGCTCAGTCTTCAAAAGCTCAGGTAGCTGGAGGATGGAAGATTTCCTAAGGACATCCAGATGGGTAAAAGATGCTGAGGCCAACCTCTACTGTGACATAAAGATGTGTGCAAGCGGGACATGAATGATACATGTACTGAGTTGGACTCGTAGGATCAACTGCCATGGACCGTGTTGTAATGAGGGAGCTCAAAAGGAAGAGAATGAGAAGAATGAAGGAAGAAATGAGTTCAGAAAGGATGAGAGCTGAGCGTCTGAGAAGAAACAGACTAAACAGAGATGTTGACAACAACGGTCCTGAAATCTCATGCTATCATTGTGGAAGACATTTATTAACCCAGACAGGTCTTGCTGGTCACACTCGCCATCGCCACAAGCTGCGAGTCTCATGCCTCCTCATTGCACAATATAACACTGTTGTCTGGAAAGATGGGAAGGTGCCAGTGATAAAAGGTAGGAATCAGTGGAATTGAAAGCAGCATAAATATAAACTGCCTTACATATCTTAGGGCCTGTAAACTAATTATAGCCTGATACTTTCTTGACCCTATGACCCGGTCACCCTGTAACCAATGTAGCCAATGGGAAAAATATGATGTAGAAATTCTTATTGATAACGCTATTTTCTCTAAAGGACCCCCCCCCCCCCCAAGCTTTTTTCCCCAGATGCTAGTAAACTTAGTCATCCCCCATCATGCTGAATTAAGAGACTTGATCTGGCAACAGCTCTGATGTCCCAGCTGAATACGATTTGGGTAGCAAAACTAGCAAAGCAGTAAAGGTCTATATATACAAATCACTGGTGTTATCTATCTTCTTATACAGATGTGAGAGCTGGACTCTCCCTGTGGAAATGGAAAGGAGAATTCAGGCTTTGAACATAAATCCTATAGACAGATTTGACAAATTAGCTCTTTAGAGAAAAACACTAATAAATATGTAAAAGACAAAATAAACAATTTTGCAGGATATCAGGAAACTCTTTCGGCAGTGGTGAAATATCACAAGCTAGTTTAGTTTGGGTATGTGATGAGACATGATTTTAATGCAAAGACTGTTGTACTTCAAGCAACATTAGGGGGTAGTCAAAAAAGGAAAAAGGGGGGGGAGAGGTGGTGGGGAAAAAGAACCTGGAATGAGTATATCAAGAAATGGAAAGGACTAAACTATACACTTGTTCAACAAGTGGAAGACAGAGAAATATGGCAAGTTTTGTGTGCAAGTGCTTCCATCAATAAACCTCCACACCTTTCCACTTGTATAGGTGTCTACCTCTTCTTAACTTTTCCTTCCAGTATTGTTTTTAAAAGAGTGTTATGCCTTTAAATGTGGCAAATATTTCACTTGCTAATATTTCATTTGCTAATATTTTACTTGCACCTTTATTTGATTTTTTAAAATTTGTCAGCAGCTTTTTTTTTTTTTAAATTAAATCTCTCCAAAAGTGGTGGGTTCAGTTCCTGACGTGGGCCAGATATTTTTTTTAAATGACTTTGTCTCCCAGGTCAACCCAGCCATGAGTGGGTACCATCTACAGTCCTGGGAAGTAAAGGGCGCTAGCGTGATGCTTGCATCACCCACCAAGTGCCATTTGGTCTATAAAATATAGGTCTAGTCCTGTATACCCAATATACTTGAAAGGTGTGGAAAGGGTCCTTTACTAATATCTCCAAAACCTAATTTATTATCATTCTTCTTCCATATTTTTTGAAAACTTGCAGATCCTCTTTGTTCACAGCATCAGCAGATTTCCTTCTCTTCAGTCTACCAGCATTTCTTCAGGCTATCTGACTGCTAGATGATACTATTTTAGCTTAGTTGAGCACGTTAGTTCCAATGATTTATGATAAGATAACTTTTAAAAAAAATCCTACCCTTTCTAACATCTTCATTATATTGTTTCTCACAGTTGATATCCACCTTCATTTCTGCATGCTGGATATCTTAGGGGCGAATTTTGCAGCTAAAATATTCCTAATGGCATAGCCAGAACCCTAAAATAACATTGATTAGTCATCTTGTTAGGTATGGTAGGTTATAATCAACAAGTATAATGTCTCTTTGACCATCTGTGTTTTTCAATAGAAGAACTTCAGTTGCCAGCTTCACTCTGCCCAATGGAAGCTCCTGCAAACCAGGCTCTGGAGAAGGAAGTGAGAAAAATCATACCAGCTTGCTGCAGAATGTGATGAGACCCAGTATTGTGTCATCATCATCCAAATCAAAAACAACACTATCAGGTTAGCAGATATCATGAGAACTACTACTTTAAAAAAAAACCATCTCTTTCCCACAGTTATTGATTCAATGATACAAATCAACAAAGTTTTATTATTACAAAAGGTGTTTCTTGTTCTCTTCTTCTTCGGTCTTTATTCCTCACTAGAGCATAGACCCTCAACCAAATCATGCCAGATTTTCCTATCTATCCTTTTGCTATTACACACAGCTTACCTAAACCGCCCCCACCCCACAATCCTCCCCAATTTTTTAAATCTTCATTCTCTAGCTCCTTTCTCTGTGTTTTGGGGAATATTTCTGGTGCAGTGGGATATTATCTTGATTGTTTTACTTCAGAAAGTGAAGGTGAAGATATTTCTGAACAGTTTTATGACTGTGACTTTGATAATTCTCATAAACCTTTATAAAATCATCATCAAAACTGGACAAGGACGTTTCGCTTAGAGCAGAGGCATGGTAGTTGAAGGTGGTCAGGGTTGTATTGCTAAATGCATATGTTAGTATTGATTGTGTACATTACGGCTCAGTGGCATAGAGTTTAGTGAAGATCATTTCAAAATGCAATCTTCAATTTTTACTGGAATGCGGTTTTCCCACAATGCATATTTTGGGTAATGAACGTTTTTGTGGCTTTTTGAGTTTGACATTTCAGTCCTATTATATTAAAAGTTCTTCGTGCAAACTGACAAACAGCCAATAAATTTGCTGAAATTTATTTCACAATTAGGCAGAGCTGTCATCCAAGATTATTTTGGAAAATAAATTAGTTGTATTGATGTCAGAAAATTATTCATTTGCCGTTTTTGCATTAATGTACAGTCACATGATGATGATGTACAACAATATTACACTATTTTTTTATTCTTGGATATTGTTCTCCATTAAATTTAGGCTCAGAGATGCAAAATACTGTGAGTTTAAATAGTTGTTAAGCTATGGAATTGTTGTTAGTTTTATTGCTGTCAGAAACATATTTTTTCTTTGCCTTTTTTTTTTTTTTGCACTAATCTACAGCCACATGATGATGATGATGATGCCAAACAAGATTATGCAGTTTTTGTTTTTAATATTTCTTCTCCTTTCAATTTTTGCAAAAAATACAAAATATTATTAAGTAAAGTAAAGGACCCTTTTCCACGCTTTTAGGCATATAGGGCTAGACCTATGTTTGATTTATAGACCAATTGGCACAAGATGGGTGATGTGGTCAGCATCACGCCGAAAATTTTATTAGGTTTATATTAAATAGTTGTGAAGTTATGGCATTTTTAGTACATAACAAAATACCTGAGGTCAGACTCATATTTTATAGATCAGTCAGCACCCATTAGGTGATCGGGTCAACATCACACTGGCTGCCTTCACTTCCTAAAACTTTTACCTGGTACCAATTAAAGACTGGGTTGACCCTGGAGCCAAGGTCATGTTTTGACAAATCTAACTCCTATCCGGATTTGAACCCAAGACCTTCAGATCTGCAGGTAGCTTCACCATAGTAGCTCCATGCTTACCTAATTAAAATGTGATTTGTACGTTATATTTCACCAGGGCGCCTGAGGTCTTTGAGTGTGGTATCCCAGATGAGCTTGCAGAAACGTGCTGGTTGTCTGCTTCCTTCTTGGTGTGTGTATGTGGCATATTCAGTATGCGCCATACTCTGTGTGATATCAGTCATCCTTGTGTTGCTGTATGGATACAACTTTGGAAAGGACATAGCCATCAAATGGGTGGTGTCTCTGTGCTTTACTGTGTTCATCTCCATTCTTGTTATTGAACCATTGAAGGTAAATCACAGAATGTTTGTATTGATGAGACAGCTATAAATCTTCTTCTTCTTCTTCTTCTTCTTAGTGTCCACCAGCTGTAAACTGGAAAGTTCTGGTGTTCATTGAGACCTGACATTTAGTCTTGATCCAGAACATGAAGTTTGCATGCTTAACTTTTTTACACCTTTTTAAAAAAAAATTGTTTATGCAGACCGTTGGTTCCTTACCGCTCACACAGATACACTCCATCTTTAAAGAAAACATCTCTAATTAGTCACCTCCTATGACAGTGGCTTATTGAGGGAAAGGGGGCAGGGTGGCGCTAGGTCCATTCTTTTTTCTGCAAAATGGAGCTCAGGATCCTATTTATGAAAATATTACACATGTATAAGCTTGTTAACTGACATGTTCAAAACAGGTAAATCTTAGTTCTCCATTTCCAACCACTGCAACACCACCATCATAGTCAGCACCTCATTGTAAGGCTTTTGGTAGTTGTCAAGAAATAACCACTAGACTCCAGAATCTGTTGACCATATTAGCATGCTGAATTAACTAAAAAAAATTAATTTGCCGAACACAAACTAGGAAGGCCAACAAATAGAGTTGAAAAAAAGGTAAAGATCCCTTTTCATGCCTTTAGGCACATCGGGTATAATGGAAACGTGCCCATATTTGTTCAGACCAATCAGCACTAGGTGGGTAATGTGGTCAGCGTAACGCCGGCCGTCTCTACTTCCCCAGGATGGCCATCCTAGTACCCATTTAAGGTTGCGTTGACCTGATGCCCCATACCATGATAAAAATCCATGCAGCCAGCAGTGGGTTTCGATCATGGTACGTTTGAATTACGAGTCGGACACAACGGCTAAGCCACGGATGCCTCCAACAAATGGAATAGTGAGGGGGAAAAAAACATGCACAGAAACAATTAACTTTTTGACCAGTCTTTTTTCAATGAGCACCAAAATAAAAAGAAGAATCATTGACACCAGCCTGCTTTTTGATAAAGACTTTAAAATGTTTAATTGTTTCTGTGTATTTTGTTTCCTTAACCTACCATTGGGCATCCTAGTTTGTGTTTGTTGAATTCATTTCTGCACTGTAGTCACCCTTTTTTTCATCACATGAGGTTTCCTTTGTGGGTTCTGGTACACAATGCCGCCCCTAACAAGCATGTCATTAAAGGCAACTAATTAGGTGATTTTCTTTGAAATCAGACTGTATCTGCCTGAGAGGTGAGGAACCAACAGTCTGCGTACAAAAAAACCAGGTCTATAAAATGGGTGTGTATGAAAAACTAGAACAAGACCAAAATCCCAAACTGGAACGATTGACTAGAACTTTCCACCATAGTCTAGGGCCAGTGAACGCTAAGAAGATGGAGAGATCACTTAAGGTTAACTCAAACACACCACCTGTGATACATGACTGACCCATCATCCATGCTGAGCCACCAGTGCTTTCACTTCAGCTGTCACTGTAGAAGGAAACTGCTCCTGGTCCCAGCATTTCTACTGACAGTGATGGCTACCAACAAAGAAACCATGAAATTCTTGGGAACTGGTGTTGATTCTTTACTAGATCTAACATGTTCCTTAATCCCTGTGTTCAATCAAGAGTCCCATTTGGAAGGGGTTGGGGAGGGGAAGGGGTGGGGCAGACCCCTGTCTCTCAAGCATGAGGTGAAATTTGACTAATGCAAACTTTGCTGAAATTGGATGTGTTCAGCTGACAGATGCGGTTTTACTAGGAAATGTTACAGTCAGTAGTTTACTACTGCTTTCTAACCATTGTCACATTAAACATAAAACAATCTGCTGTCATATCACATATACCTGAATCAGACTATTTTTTTGTCTTCCTAAGCCACAGTGTACGTCCTTTTTTTTCTTTTAATTATTATTCAGCATAAGTTTTTTTTGGGTTTTTTCGAATGCATTTACATACACATGCTAAAAATATGTTATTTTATTACTTCAAAATTTGATTTAATTATATTCCCACCACAGATATTGCTCATCACTGTTTATATAACAATGCTTACTGAGGACAAAGGAGAAGGGAACTCTGATATGATAGATATCACGCCAAAGATAGAATTTAGTGAACAACTCAAGGTAAATAAATAATTATGTTTTACACAAGTAATTCTTCTTGTCATTTCATTATAATTTATAATATAGATAATAGATAAATAGAACTTTAATAATAAATACATATCAGCTCTGGTCATTCTGTTACTAATTATCACGTAGATAATAGATAAATATATTTTTAATAATAAATACATGTCAGTTTCTTTGTTGTTCTACATCATTTCAGAACAGTTTCAGCTTTTATTTCCCAGATTTTTTGTGTGTTTTACTTTTCATACTTTAACTTAGGATACAAAGAATTAAAGGATAAAAAGAACAGAATTGTTGCCCCCTAAAAAGCGTGTCATAGGAAGCGACTAAATAGGGGTGTGCCCTTCAAAATTGAGGTGCATCTGCCTGAAAGGTGCGAAACCAAATGTCTGCATACAAATAAGCCATATCCATAAAAACTAAAAATTCAAGATCTGGATCAAGACCAAAGCCCAGAAGTGGCAAACTAACAAAACTCTCAACTGGAGCACACCTGGTCAGTGCTAAACAAGAAGAAGGAGAATCATACTGGTTGAAAAAAAAAATCCTGTCCCTGATGTGGTATTGAACCCAAACCTCTCACTTAGCTGATTTATTTAAATTCTTTGCTGATCAAGCGGCTGTAACACTAGTGATTAGTGATTAGAAAGGATTATCATCACAGCACTCGGGACAGATCCATAGGTGCTCCGATCTCCTCCTCAAAGCTCTACAAGTGTAAAACGACTGATGACGCCTGTTCTGTGTTAGTGAATGAAACATCTTGTTCCCTTAGTGAAATGTTCATTTCTTGCAGTCCAGGCTGCACCCCTATTTCCATCAGTCTAGACAGAGATACGGAGTCATGTCCTTTGGCGTGCTTCTCAGTGCGGTAGGTGCAGTGCATAACATCGATAACATCACTTCTGTCCAGTACTAGACCAGCCATAGCAACCGCAGTGTCAGCAAGATAGTCTGCACGCTCCTTCCGTTGAACACCAGCATAGCCTGGCACAAAGATGAAGGTTAGGGCAGACATTCATAAAGTGCTTAGTGTTGCAATCCATTCTTGCCTGATAAATCCAGCTTGGATTTTTTTAAGCATATTCGTCGAGTAACTAGTGACAAAAGGAATTAAAGTGTCAGATTAGTTTACTTGTTGGGACAGTAATTTTGATAGTGAAGGAAATACAAAAAACAAATTAGTGACACACATTGACAAGGCATCAGCAGCTTGTCCAATTTACGTAACCAAGTTACCTATTGACACCAGCAACAGATCAAGCAGATGTAACACTGGTGACAAAAGTAATTAAATTGACAGATTAATTTACTTATTTGGGTAGTAATATTTATATAAATTATAAACATTAAAGTTATTTATTTCTGTTTGTGTTTATCAAGGATGTAAAATTCAGGCCACTCGGAGGATTTGCTCTGCTGCAAGCCAAAGAAGAAGGAAAGAAGAAAAGGAGATTGAATACCATGATCAGGGAAGTAACTATATTCACCTTCATGTTTGCAATTTTCCTGGCCATTGTATACCTCTACAGTAATGGTTTCGTGTACCATGTCACAAGCAACATACAAAGTAGATTTTATGGAAGACTGGATCATGGTATCGACAGTAACTCCCACCACATCAACATCACCAGACTGAGAAGGTAAGCAGTGCATTTGTATGATATTTTCTGTTTATTTATGTAAGCAGTTACAGCTACTATGGAAAATGTACTTTATTGCACAATGTAGTAATTTTTTATGGTTTAGTTAAAAAATTTGTCAAACATTTTTTTTTTCAAGTATAATTGAAGAAAAATATGACATATGACTGACTGACTGACTTTCTACCCCACCAGGACATCAAACAATTGATAAACACCCGATGACACAAAGTGCCACCATGTGGATGAGGATCACCATGGAGAGGTCCCAGAAACCGCGTTCAGCCAATTGGCCATATATATGGCCTGGCTATATTGCGGCCCCTGGCAAGAGCCAGGGTGGGGCTTCAAATAACGAAAAATTTCATCCTAAAAAGGACGGCAAGTTATAATTGAGCATATGACATATTTGCTTCAAATCAGCTCTGTATATTGAATACCTTCTCCTTCATCATGGGCACCTCAATAGAATATTGTCTATAAAAATTAAAATTAAAAAATGGGGGGGGGGGGGGGGCGCTGGACCTCACCAAATAACAAAAGACTTGATAATAAACTTGGGACCAGCATGACGATAACGACTCATAGACTTTATTATCTGATCCTGGACTCAGGAACTTCTTTCAAAAAAATGGAAGGAGCCAGATATAGTTCCCATTGCATTGTCACAATCTTCATTGCTTGTATTTCCACTTTTTTAGACTGTGTGGAAAGTGGGAGTTGTTCATCTTTAGGATTTAGGGCCAAAAGGCCGGTACTGTCATCACAAACTATACAGGTTCATCACCGCTGCCATTATCATTAACATCATTATCAAATTTATGTTTATTTAAACATTTTAAACATCATTGCAACAATTCTGGTTTTTTTTTTAATTCTTCTGTCAGTCTACTGTTAACTGTTTTTTTACTTAGGGGGAGGGGGGGGGGGGGCCTTACATTTTTGTTTTTCTAATTTTGTTTTGTGGAAAAAAAAAGGATGAGGAGGATGTGTATATTTTTCAAATAAATGTTTTCAATCAGGAGCCATGGTGGTGTAGGCGCTAGACATTCACCTGCTGGCCTGAAAGTTCTAGGTTCGAATCCGCATTAATTAATATTTATTTTTTTTCCAGGTAAAAATAGGGGTCTAATTAAATTCCTGGAAAGTAAGGCTGACTGGCATAGGTTGACTACATCACCTGTGGAATGTCAGTTGGTAGATAAAAATATGAGGCTAGCATCATATGCCTGTTGTGCCATTCTCTTCTTTACATACTTACTTGCTAAATGTTTTAAAGATTTCATTGTCTTTTTTTTACCTTCTCCAGATAAACTTATCTCTTGTTCAGAAATACTGCTGAAATATACCTTTTGCAGTTGTCACATTTAGATGTGTGTTTTACCTGTACATAACTGTTGTTTTTTTTTCTAATGTAAGTGTACCAGAGTTTTGGCTGTGGACAAAGAAAGTACTTGCCAGATCTTTACATTATAGAGACTTATTCCAGTCTGAAAACTTTGGATTTCTAATGGGTCCAGCTTGGCTACGACAAATTAGAGGAGAGACAGGTATGTTATTAGATTATTTAAAAAAAAATAATTCATAATAGTAATTACTTGGCAAAGTTTGTAGCTTATCTCTCTAAAGCAGGTGATATGATCCTGATTTTGAGATAGAAAAATGGAAGAATATAGTTTTAGTGACCCACTATGATTTACTGTGGTTAGATATGTAGGTGTAATTTGAACATATTCCAGTGCTTGAATTTAATATCTAGCTACTGTTGATGTTAATTATTACTTGTTAACAGGTGTATGAATGAAATGATATATGAAAGGAGGGAGATTAGAGGGGCAGAATGTTAGACAGACCTACATGCCCAATTCTTAACCCTTTGAAAAAAAGGTTGCTTATTTGTTCATTTGTTCAACAATACAATTGTAATAACCAACATGTCTGTAGACAAACTGAAACTGAACATGACCTTAACCTTGACTAACGAGGGACACCATACAAGTGTTGCTTTCACTGACCAATCACAAATATTGGGTAAAACCAATATAATAAAATAACGAAACTAAAATCACAGGATGATATAAAGTGTCTGATATTTCCCTAGAATGAATGAAGTAAGTGATAGAGGTCCCCTCTGTTATAGGCGAACTAAGAATAGAGCTAGGGAAAACAAACCTGGAAAAAAAATGTTCTTGAAATTAGAAATACAGAGCCACTGGGTAAAGTAGCCCACTTTATATCAGTCAGTCAGAAGCATTTCCTTTTCAGAACCTTGCTCCCATAACAACCCTCCTGAAAACTTCTAGATCACAAGCAAGATGTCCCTAGTCTGATACACCCATCTGGAGATCATCTGCCACATCCTGCATCCATCTTCTCTTTGGCCTTCCTCTTCTTCTCTTCTCAGGCACAAACCCCTCCCCCTCCCCCATTATTGTTCCCTCTAAACTTTCATGACGTTTCAAGTGACCAAAACATTTTAATTTTTGGTGTTTTATCGTCTTTAAAAGCCAGCCTTCTTCAATATTCAGTTCTTGAAGTATGGATGCATTTGTTCTTTTCTTTACCCATTATATTCTTAGAACCCATCTATAACATTTGTATTCAAATTATCCACTTTATATAGCCCACAAATTATACTGTTTATACCATGTTTCAGTTGCCTGTTCTGCTGCACAAAGCACTTACCTGATGTCAGTACCTGAACTTGTCAAAAGGTGTGTTGACAGTGGCACAACTAATCCTGACACCAGGCCCTATTCTGTAGGATGGACACCAGGGTCATCTAACTGGACATACTCCTCAGCTTCAGCCCTTGACCAGTGAGAATTGTTATGATTATTATGTTTCTGTTGATTTATTAATTTAAATTAATATTGGGTTCGAATGTAATTTTTTTTTTCCATGCCAAATTTAATTTGTTAGTTTGAATACTGTTCTCATCTCTTTTGCTAGCATATAAAGTAAAGTAAAGGACCATTTTCCTCGCCTTCAGGTGTATTGGGCACATTGGGCTAGATTTGTATTTTTTAGACTTGATGGGTGATGCGGGTAGCCTCTACTTCTCGGCCTTAGTACCCACGCAAGGCTTGTTCAACCTGGGAGCCAATGTCAGTTTAAAAAAAAAAAAGTCAGGCTCCATCAGGACCTGAACCTCTGACCTTCTGATCTGTAGACGAGCATCTAGCTGCTACACCATGGTGGCTCTTCTTTACTAGCATATACTGACCTTTACTTTTCCTAGGGGTTTTCTTTGCAGTTTACAGAATCATAATTTTATATTACAAAGAATATTAAACTTGGGAACACTAAGTCAGTCAGTAACGTCCCCAATCCCCAGCGGGAAACTGGATGGGACAACAAATGAGGTAAAGGCAAAAGACAAATGGATGAGTATGATCACAGTCTACCCTAGCAAAACAAGGTGCTGAAGTCGGAGGCAACCAGCAATCAGGATGCCAAGCACACACGCCATGAAAATATATCTAAATCAGCAAAAAGATATGGTGCTCACTCTGTGATGGACTCTCAGGCAGGAGCAGTGAGAGGCCTCTGTCTCGAAGAGGCCAAACCCAAATTACTGCAGGTCCTTCTCAAATGTCCTGTGGAGTCAGGGGACATGAGAAAGAGCATCTGGCCGAGCTAAGAAAGGAGCCAAATTAATGCACTGGAATGCGGAGGGGATTACAAATAAAAAGCTAGAGTTAGAAAATATTCTAAGTGAGGAACAGATTCATATATGCTGTCTACAAAGAACCCACCTCACTGAAGACACAGTCTTCAAAATCAGAGGTTATCAGTGCTTCTGATCATTCGAAAAGGCAGGAAAAATGGTGGAATACTGACTCTTGTGAGGAACAATATCACTGCATGCCAGACTGAAGTATATATGGATGGAGCAGAATATCAGATTCTGAAACTACAAATTGGAAATGCAGACTTCTACCAGATCAATTATTACTGTCCAAGTGATCGTCCCCAAGCATTAGACACAATCCCAGTAGAAGAAAAGATTATTCTATGTAGAGACTTTAACAGCCACTCACAAAACTGGGGGTATGACCCCATAGACCAGAGAGGAGAGAAACTGGAGGAGTGGCAGGATGAGAACAGACTTGTTCTGATTAATAGGCTAACTGATGCACCCGCATTCTACTCAAGGTCGTGGCACATCACTACTACTCCAGACCTAGCATTATGAGAAGGTCAGAGAAACTAGTACGCTGCCAAGGTGGAACTACAAGAAGGCTGACTGGACAATGTTCAAGCACCGTACCAGTATACTGCTTGGAAATCTCAGCATAGACCAGGATATAAACAAAGTAAAGAATTTATAGAGGAATTATGTTGCTGTCAGTTCCTGAAAAAATATTAAGTAGAATTATTTTGGAAAGATTAAAAGATGCTATTGATAAAATGCTAAGAGATGAACAGGCAGGTTTTTGGTCAAACAGATCCTGTACTGATCAGATAGCCACATTACGTATTATAATAGAGCAAAGCATTGAACTGAACTCACCACTTTACATTGGATTTATAGACTATGAAAAAGCATTTGACAGCATTGATAGGGAATTTCTCTGGAAATTGATGGGGCACTATGGAATTCCACAGAAAATTATCAACTTAGTAAAGGCAACATATAAAGACATGAAATGTCGAGTTCTTCATGGGGGAAAGCTAACAGATGCATTTGAAATAAAAACAGGTGTGCCACAGGGATGTCTTTTGTCGCCTCTCTTATTTTTACTGGCTATAGACTGGACTATGAAAACAGTAACTGCTAACACCAAGATTGGAATTCAGTGGACCCCTACAAAACAGCTTGATGATCTGGACTTCGCTGATGATATTGCTCTTCTGTCCCATTCACGGAATCAGATACAAGATAAATTAAATATACTTCATGCGAGATCACAGCAGCTTGGTCTGAAAATCCATAAAGGAAAGACAAAGATAATGAGAATAAATCAGGCAAATAGTAATGTGGTTTCTCTTAATGGCACCCCACTCCAAGACATGGAGTCGTACACCTATTTAGGCAGTAATGTAGATAAAGATGGAGGAACTGATAGAGATATTAAAATAAGAATACAAAAGGCAAGAGGGGCTTTCATAGCACTAGGGAATTTGTGGAGGTCAAAAGAAATTAAAAGAAATACTAAACTAAAAATTGTTAATTCTAATGTCAAATCAGTACTATTGTATGGGGTGGAAACATGGAGAATAACCAAGGCAATTACTAATAAATTACAGATATTCATTAACTGGTGCCTGCGCAGAATAGAGGGAATAAAATGTTATGATAGAATAACTAATGTAGAACTTTGGGAGAGAACTAAACAGGCTCCAGTGGATCAGGAGGTGAGGAAAAGACGCTGGCGTTGGATAGGGCACACACTGAGAAAACAGGAGAACAGCATAACTAGAATGTCTTTGCATTGGAACCCACAGAGGCATAGGAATAACGGAAGGCCAAAAAACACATGGAGAAGAGAGCTGGAGAATGAAGTTAGAAACATTTGGAGGACATGGGGAGAGCTCCATGCAATGGCGAAGGATAGAACGACTTGGCGTGAGTTGGTTGAGGGCCTATGCTCCATTGGGGGATAGAAAGGCAGAAGAAGAAGAAGAAGAAGAAAGAATTTAACAAATGCATACTACAGGCAGCAGGAGAATCAATACCAAGAGGTGCCCGTAAGCATTATAAGCCATACTGGAATAGTGAGCTAGAAAATTTACATAACGAAATAGAAACATCCGGAAAGAAAGCAGAGACCAGGCCAAACCAAGAACATCACAATAACTACTAGCATGCAAAAACAAAATTTGTAAGGGCAAAGCTGCAGGTTAGAAGGGAAAGCTGGCTGGAGAAAACAAAGTCACTGAACTTTGAAAAAGACACAAGAAAGTTATGGAAGCTTGTAAAACAAATTAATGATGAGGACACAGGGTGGAACTCAAAGATCACGCTGCTGAAAGATGGAAACATGGTCACAGGAAAAGAGGCAGCCAACCTCTTTTGCAGACATTTTTACTTTAGATAACGACATTGAAATCAGTTCAGAGAAAAAACAAGAAATTCAAGAAAAGTGTGTGATGCCTCTGTCATTTGTACGCATCAGTATTCACCAGCTGTGTATATTCACCAGCTGTAAACCTTGGCAGAACGTTGTACAAACTGAATTTTCCAAATAATTTGCAGGGTATTGGAAATCTCTGCATATAAATATTAAAATATCCGTACTGAACATAAATGACTGGTTTATTTAAAAGATTAATTTTGCATTTAATCTGAAATCATATTACTTACTGCACTGAAATCTGTATTAGTTAAATTTACTTTCAATGTTTTCTCAGATTTAGCAAGTTCGGCCAGTCAATGATGTATATGGGAGGTGGCTATGTTCAGACATTGGGTCTAACTTACAATGCTACACTGAATACACTACAGCAGCTGGAGACAGATGGTTGGATTGATGTCATGACCAGAGCAGTCTTTGTTGAGTTCACACTGTACCATCCCAGCAGGGATCTCATATCTTGTGTCACATTTTTGCTGGAGTTTCCTACTTCAGGTAGAGCTTTATATTATTTTTAAAGTAGCGCTAATAGCCTTTTTTTTAAATGCCAGTGGGACCCAGGGAATATGATGCTAGGATCTTCTTCTTAGCATCCATGTCGTGTGGTGTTGGTAGTCATGTCTATCCACAACCTTCTGTCTTGAGTACTTTCAATCAACTCTGACACAGATGATTTTCCTTGCTATGATGTCAGACTGTCCAGGATCTGTTCTCTCGATCTCGCTCTGCCTCCCCATCCCCTCCAACTTTCCTACTGTCATGATGTACTCCAGTTTTCTCCTTCTCATGACATGACCAAAGAATGTAGATTGTCTCTTTCTGATGTGGGCAGTCAGTTTTCTTAGTCAGTTTATGCTAGGTTAGTTGCTTATCCTTTACAGGACGTTGCAGAACCAACCTCAACAGCCCTGGCTGTTGTGTGGTTTTCTAGGCAAATTATGTCCAGTAGTTGCTTTCTGGACGGTCAGCTTTCTTGATACCACTGTTGAAACCAATGCAAGGCACATGGCCTGCAGCTGGGATCGAACCCGGCACCCGGCATAATGAAGCATTCGCATCGACTTAGCCACATAGCCGATGTTTATGCTAGACTCGACTCATAGTGTAATTTTTTTTTTAGTATCCAGAAACCATGAACTGTTAACCCTTTGGCTAGGTACTATGGATATTGCAATCCTTCAGCCTTGATTCCACGAAAGATACCATAAATCTCGGAGAAACTTTGCTTCTCTGCCTACCTGTGGGCGTGAACCTGGACCACAAGGAGCTTGTCACCCGGTTGCCGCTCTGTCAGGTTTAACCAACTGCGCTAGGGAGCCGGGCTGATATTGTCATAAACCATATGGTACTCAGTGTGTTGTCATCAGCAACATGCCAGCAGTCCATAATACCCAGGAAATTAGCTGGTTTCTACTTTAGGCTTGGGTTGACCTGGAAGCCATGGTCTCACATTATTATAATATATTATATTAACATAGTAAAAACATTGACATTCTACATGAGCTAAACATCCAGGAGAATTGGCTCATAAACAGCATCCTGTCTCAAAAGTTAAAGTATTTTGGCCACATCAAACGTCATGGTGGCTTGGAACAGACGGTGATGGAGGGTGCTGTTTGTGGAACGAACGAACAAACGAACAAACTTTATTTTTAAAGGGTTAAGAATTGGGCACGCAGGCCCGTAAAGCAAAGCAGGGGTCGACCTCGGCGAAGATGGATAGAGGACATTAAAGATACACTGGAACTGAAAGCAAATTAGATTGGAGAGCTGGCTAAGGAAAGGGATAATTTCAGCTGTGCCGTGAAGAGAGTGACGTTGACGTTCTGTAAAGGACTTGCTGATTGATGATTATAATAATATATCATAACAGAATAGTCTAGAATATACATTAAAATATTCATGAATTTTTTATCATAATCATTATCATCGTCATAAAACACTTCTGCCATTAAGCAACATTGGGAAGAACAATTTGCAATCCAGTGCACGCTGGCTGTCACTGACTATTATCATGCCATGAAGACATAAAGTGTCTTTAATGTTGTTGATCCATTTCTTGTAAACATGGTAAATATTGATATTTGAAGTATATCATTAAGTTGCATCTTGTGCATTATTTCATTCTGATAAATATGAGAAACAGTATCACAGCACATCATACAAAGTGTATAAGAAAAGTAGTTGAAGTCACAGTGAAACTAAGGAAATAGGAAAGACAGTAGCAACAGCATAATATCTATAATTAACAGTGTATCTTCATGAAGTTCCCAGAAAACTCCAATTAAAAGAAATAATTCTGTATTAAGAATTGAAGTTTAAAAATGTCCTAGTGACCACGAAACAACAGCAAAACTAATATAACTTTTCTAAAGGATCCTTTTACACGCCTTCAGCCATTTTGGGCAAATAGGGCTTGAGGCTAGACCTATATTTTATACACTAATCCTTCTTATTTTTTTTTTTTTTTTCAGAGACCCTCCTCCTCCTACCCCATTCTCTATTCTTTTATGTCACCCCAAACAAAATTCTCTCTATTTGTCTCTCTGTGTCTCTCTATCTCTGTCTCTCTCTGTCTGAGTCTCTGTCTGTCTGTCTCTTTCTCTTACTATATCTCTCCATGGAAAATTTAAAACTATGAAATCCTTAAACACTTGCTCTCATGCTGAAAATCTGGGTACAAATCCTTGATAAGTTGATGGACATATTGCTTATGTTAGAGGCAAAAATTAACATCCTACCTTGCACAGTTTATGGCACCTGCTCTGCCCATGCAGCCCTAAATCATCAGACTCAAGCTGCCCCCATCCTAGACTGCCCTAAAAGTGGTACCATTTGTTGTTTAAAAAGGTTTGCACATACACACATTTTTGCTGCAATCAACAAACACATGTTTTTGCTGCAATCAACATACACACATTTTTTGCTGCAATCAACACACATTTTTGCTGCAATCAACATACACACATTTTTGCTGCAATCAACATACACACATTTTTGCTGCAATCAACATACACACATTTTTGCTGCAATCAACACACATTTTTGCTGCAGTCAACATACACACATTTTGGCTGCAATCAACTCACACACATTTTTGCTGCAATTAACATACACAAATTTTTGCTGCAATAAAATAATTTGCCACGTAATCAGTGTTTATCATTTTTTCAAAACTGTAACAACAATAACAAAATCATTCATCATGCTTATCTTTTTTTTTTATATTACAAAATTACTGTTTATTTGTATGCTCATTTAACTTGCAGGTGGTATCCTGGCAATGTCTTCAGTCAGGACTGAACATCTCCAAAGATTTATACTAGGTCATGTAGATCCATTAATGGTTTGTCAGGTTAGTAGAAAAAATCTTTTGGCCATAAGTCGTCATTAGCAGTCTGCTGAAAGAAATCTTCATGTTCATGAAACTATAAGGCAGATTGACAGAGAATTATCTATATAGGGGCTAAGAAAACTGTGCATGGCTAGTAATGCTTCTTCAGTTGGTTTTTAGCATTTCATGATCATCCTGCCATAAGTTTTAACTATGTCCATAGAGCTCACTATTTAGTACTTCTAACCTTTCTCATCAGCATTATTCACAGTGTTTTCTTAGACATCCTCACATCTCGGTCCATGTATTTCTCATTTCAGTATCCTGTTTTTGGTGATTCTCTGCCTCTTCTTCTCAGGTTGGTCCCAATATATCACCATCTTTTTTGTTTTATAACTGTTGATACCAGAGGTTGCCCAGACATTCCTCTGATCTCTTCACTTATATTATCAATGGAGAGTAGTATTGCTATTAAATTAGATTTGAGAGAGCAAAAACTTAAGGAGAGGGATTTCAGTCAAAATAGCCAATAGCTGGCTGACCAATGATGCTCTGACAAGTTCTATTTTTCCTGCTAGGTTTTCTTGATGCAAATTCCTCATTTATGGACTTGGGAGTCTAAAGGTTCCATCACCCAGATACTGAGCTGAGTGCTTAGTGGGACACTGTGACCTATGGATTTCATGCAAAATGTTTGTTTTTTCTGTTGCTCCCGCAGCATGTTGTTGACTGCACCAAAATGGCAGGTTGCTGATGATGTTCACAATAGTGTATGCAATGCAGGCCTTTGTGATTAACTGTTGGCACCAGCTGTAAGCTGCAGTTATGGTGCGAGACTGTTCGTGCTGGCACATCTGAAATACGCATTTTTACTTTACATGTGCAAACTTCAAGATTTTTCTGGGACTAACAAGTTTTTCAATAGTTTTGAAATGTGTGATTTCCACTGGCACAGAAATGGAGCAGTTAAGGGATGTCCCATCTACAGTGAATGTGGAACTTAAACCAGCTAACGGGAAGGAGAGAAAAATATTGGCAATCTTTGTTAATATCTTATTGTGTATTTTTTCTTTATATTTTTTTATTTGCATTAGTCACAAAGCTATGCATTCTCTAAATTCCTCAGATTATTTTCTTCATATTCATTCTGTATTTCACCATTGTGGTTGCTGCTGCCCTGAAGTCGCACAAGCTGATGTTTTTCAAGCCCTTCTGGAACTGGGTTGATCTGTTCATTTGCATCCTTTTGTGGGCAAATACTGGTTTGTACATCATGTGTCTCGTTGAAGCAACCAGTAAAGTGAATGCTTATCTGGCAGATCTGACTACCTCAGCCCACTTGGAAAAAGCAGCTATCCTTCACAGTGTTCTCCGTGATGTGCATGCCAGTCTTTTGTTCCTGTTTACTCTAAAGGTATGTATCCTGGTGCCTTATTTTTTAGGCAGATATGTACAGGGCTCATGGTCACCATACCACCTTAATTCTTTGGCTTTATATTAGTTTAACTTGTGTGTGGTGTGTGTGTGTGTGTGTGTGTGTGTGTGTGTGTGTGTGTGTGTGTGTGTGTGTGTGTGTGTGTGTGTGTGTGTGTGTGTGTGTGTGTGTGTGTGTGTGTGTGTGTGTGTGTGTGTGTGTGTGTGTGTGTGTGTGTGTGTGTGTGTGTGTGTGTGTGTGTGTGTGTGTGTGTGTGTGTGTGTGTGTGTGTGTGTGTGTGTGTGTGTGTGTGTGTGTGTGTGTGGTGTGTGTGTGTGTGTGTGTGTGTGTGTGTGTGTGTGTGTGTGTGTGGTGTGTGTGTGTGTGTGTGTGTGTGTGTGTGTGTGTGTGTGTGTGTGTGTGTGTGTGTGTGTGTGTGTGTGTGTGTGTGGTGTGTGTGTGTGTGTGTGTGTGTGTGTGTGTGTGTGTGTGTGTGTGTGTGTGTGTGTGTGTGTGTGTGTGTGTGTGTGTGTGTGTGTGTGTGTGTGTGTGTGTGTGTGTGTGTGTGTGTGTGTGTGTGTGTGTGTGTGTGTGTGTGTGTGTGTGTGTGTGTGTGTGTGTGTGAGAGAGACGAGAGAGAGAGAGAGAGAGAGAGAGAGAGAGAGAGAGAGAGAGAGAGAGAGAGAGGAGAGAGAGAGAGAGAGAGAGAGAGAGAGAGAGAGAGAGAGAGAGAGAGAGAGAGAGAGAGAGAGAGAGAGAGAGAGAGAGAGAGAGAGAGAGAGAGAGAGAGAGAGAGAGAGAGAGAGAGAGAGAGAGAGAGAGAGAGAGAGAGAGAGAGAGAGAGAGAGAGAGAGAGAGAGAGAGAGAGAGAGAGAGAGAGAGAGAGAGAGAGAGAGAGAGAGAGAGAGAGAGAGAGAGAGAGAGAGAGAGAGAGAGAGAGAGAGAGAGAGAGAGAGAGAGAGAGAGAGAGAGAGAGAGAGAGAGAGAGAGAGAGAGAGAGAGAGAGAGAGAGAGAGAGAGAGAGAGAGAGAGAGAGAGAGATGAGAGAGAGAGAGAGAGAGAGAGAGAGTCAAAGTCAAGCTGTCAGCTTAACCACTTCGCCACAGAGACCAAGAGATCTATAGTTTTATTTAATACAGTCTGACTTTACAATCTCAATGTTTTTAACTGAGAGGGAATAGATAATGGGATCTATTTTTATGAGAAAACAGATGGTATGCTCTCCCCATATTCTTCACTAGTAGCTCAGACATCCAACCTTCTCAGATGAGGGCAAAAAGCTCACAAGACCTGTGTGCACATTAACTGTTTCAGCCACAGACAAGCTTAACTGTAACCTTTGCAATCTAAGAAATTATTACTAAAAGTGATAAAAATGTAGGTCTTAAACCTGTCACCCTGGTGGTTTTCCAACTTATACAGGATTTTGTTGACATGCATCTTTAAGTCATGGCCAATACGCCAGTATAGCAGATTTATTACTGGTTACAAATGCAGTGTGTAGATCCGGTAGGTAAAAATTAATTTACCCTCCCCCCCCCCCCCCCCCCTTTCCTCTTTTCATCCCTGCCTCCTCAAAATTTGATATATTATATTTTATGGGAAAAAAATTCTATAATTATCTTCTCATCAACATTATGAGCCTTGCCAACTGGTATGGGCCATCATGCCTCTCCACAATCTGTGATCTTCAGTAACATGTATCAGTTAGTGTGCTGACTGTGCCATTACAAAAAGTTGTACAGAATCTTCTGATGGTGTTCCACTCTGTCTTTTTATCCACAGATCTTTCTAGTGGTCACAGCACGTTCCAGTTTCTTTCTTTTCATAATATGACAAAAACATTATGACTGTCTCTTTCTGATTTTTGTGATAAATTGTCTTCCATTCCTTGCTTCTTTCAAAACATCTGGGTTGCTTTTTTTTTTTTTTAGCTGTCCAATGAATTCTTTTTTCTGTAAGACCATGAAAGGCAAGAAGAAACCACCTATGTATATTTCCCTAATGATCTCACCAACACTCAACACTCAAGGCAAAGGTGAGACACATGTGCAATCAGACATGTACTTTTACCATCGTAATTGGAACTCTTTACTTGCTGCCGAAGATGGGGACAGAGCAATTATGGGAGTATCCTGAGAGCTATGATGTTGATTCTTAATTCATCATTCCTAGTGAATTATAATACACTACTAACAATGTTTTCTGTTCTTTTTCTAACATCACTAGATCGTTCGACAGAGCCGTTTCTTCAAGCCCTTATACAAGTTTTACACCACCTTGTCCACAGCTAGTTCATCGCTGATGGGTGTTTTCTTAATTTTTACTGTGATACTTCTAACATACGCACAGTTTGGATATCTGGTCAGTATGATTGATTGTAGCAGAATTACAAATAGTCTTATCATAAGTAGTAGTGAGAGTCACCGTGGCGAAGCGGCTATACACTCGCCGTGGATCAGAAGATCATGGGTTTGCTCCCTGGTGGAGCCAGACTTTTTTCAAAAATGACCTTGGCTCTCAGGTCGACCCAGTCTTGAGTGGGTACTGGGTGCAGTACCGGGAAGTAAAGGTGGCTGGCGTGATGCTGACCACATCACCCATCTTGTGCCGATGGATCTATAAAAATTGTCACACTAGCAGTCTTAACCTTGGTACATAATGTGTCTATGTTTGTGTGGTTTTTAGGTTGCAAATCAACTACAGAATTTATTGTCTTTTGTGGGGTTTTACTTGGTAACTTTTACATTTGATAGTTTGCCATTCCTTTCTAGATAGTCAGTGCTTATCACAGCATTGTCAAAATCAGTGCAGACTAGTCTGCAGCCTAATGACAACAGATGTTCTGTTGTGAGAGGAACATACAGCTGTTATCTAGTTCACCATCGAATGAATGCATATTATTGTAATCAGTTTGTGTTCATTTATTCCCAACAATATAGAGCTACATTTTTTCACCCAAGAATTTATGCTGTGAAATCTTTAGGAAGTGTGCAGTCCTCAGTGTGATGGATTGATAAGTGTTTATATTTTCAACATGGCACTTTTTTAGTTTCTCATGTCATTAATGTTAGTACTGATAGAAATATGTAAGCTTGAACAGTGAACAAGCAATCAGAAAATCAAAAATACTCCATGGGAATGTGAATTTACAGAAAAATGGTCCATATTTCATGGAAACAAAAATAATACAATTTGAAGTTCTGAAGAGACTGGGAATTAAAAGGACTTCATTAAAGTATATAACATTTTCACAAAAGCATACTGGAGGGATAACTGAAAGCAGGTCAGCAAAGGTTAGACAGTGATGTACATGAGAAGATAACAACAAGAGACAGATTAACAGCAATTCCAGATAGTAATATCAGGAACAGATAGAGAGTGCTTGAAATAACCTGCAGCCAGCTTGGAGAGACATCCTTGACTGAATATTGATTAACTGAAAAATCAAATATAAATAGTATACTGTTGCTTTAACATCATATATTTGCTGTTCACTAAGCAAGTGACATCTAAATTCCTTAATGAGTTAATTATTTCATTTATATTTTCATCTGTAGTGTTTTGTTTCATGTGTCTGCTTTCATTTACATATGTCACCTAGTCTCATTAACTCTTTGAGTCCCAAGGAACGCATCATGCGTTCATAGGTTCCTACCTAGAAGCCCAATGAACGCATGATGCGCCACTTTTAATACTTTCTTTACTACCCCCTGGACCTGTGATGCTAAACCCCCTGGGACTCAAAGAGTTAATTATCTTATCATAATTATTTTATTTTTATCACACACACAAAATTTCTTACTACATTGAGTATTCATATTCATGCTTAGCCATTCAGTGCAGTAGCCCCATTGCAAGGTAGCTCTACCGACTGTTCCCATTAACAAACATATATGTACTTCTGGAGGAGGGATTGGGGGATTTTTAATATTTAAAATGTAACACTTTTTATGATGTACATTCAAATTGTATGACTCTTTACACTTGGAATGTATGTTTTTCAATATCCACAGTTTTATGGATCAGCAGTGTATGGATACCACAGTTTCCAGCATTCCATCATGTCACTGATTGGACTTTTTCATGGTCATACACAATTTTGGCCAGTTTTTGGATTTGGACATTTTGTCTCACATGTGTTCTTTATTTCATTTGGCTTGTTTGGCTATGGTCTGGTTACTGCTTTAAGTATAGCAGCACTGACCTGGTCCTTCAAGTGGTCAAGAGCACAGATGTCATACAAGTCAACTCTTGAGGCCAGGGACTATGAAATGATTGAGTTCATGATCAGACAATTCAAAGTCATCACTGGCATGCAGAAACAGAAACCGGTAACTATATACTGTTGATTAATCTCTCTCTCTATATATATATATATATAATACCATCTGTTTGATACATTTTGATTTTTTTTTTGAGTGTTTTTGTGTGTATGTGTGAATACTGATTTATTTTAGTATGATAATAGTGGGGGGGGGGGAATCAGTTAATATGAAAAAATATGTCACTGTGTATAATTAAGAATAACAGTTCCATTTGAATTATGTGCTGGATGTTGACACTTTCAAACATTTATTCGTGTATTTCAAGTTTAATTAAACTACTTATTTAAATAACAATCAACTCTAATTGGGTAAAGAAATATAAAGTATAGGAGTTTGTGCTTTTATAACAGTAGGTCTCCTATTGGCATCTTTCTTTCTTTCCAAATGATAGCGTTCTTCGTTTTATTCTTTTTCTACGCTCATCGAGTGATAGTGTTCTGTAGTGCTATAGAAAGGCATAAGATCGACAGCCCAAGCCAACATCAGTTTAAGTCAGGGATGAGTTTCCTTCTCTCCATAGCTCAAAGCCTTGTCAGTATTATAGAGACCGTGTGTTGCTCACGCGGCATGATCTCTTAGCTTTGTTAACTCCAAAGGAAAGAAGGAAAGGTAACCCTAGTACATCTGGAGAAAAGCCTGCTGCGGAAGGTGAGGATCAGAACAGCGGTGCTCTGCATGTCCTCCTGTCGGATCTACCCTCCTAGACCAGCTGCCCACTAACGCTAAGTGCCTGGATCTACTATAAGCATTCAAGAGATGGAGTGGTTTCAGAAGGCCAGAGATAAATGGACAGATTATATCAAACATTTTCTATTCAAGTACAAGCTCACACTACCAAGGAAACTTACTTAGCAGATAACGTAAAAGAGGGGATTTAAAAGACAAATACAGAATGTACAGTTGTACCTTTGGCATCATAACACAACAAGATAGCAAAACTTTTGGCAAAAACTAAGAAAATAGGCCCTGATTGGGAAAAAAGTTAAATGAGTAAATTGCGTAGAATGGTAAGCACAGTAAATTAGCTGAACACCACTTTAGGGCACCATATTATAATTGCTCTGAAACTGATGTCTTTTTTCCTTCTTGGCACTGGCTGTAAACTCTGAAAAAAGGTCTAGCTGTCATCGACTTCTGGATTTAAGTCTTGAACTAGACATCTGCTTTTTTGTTTGCACATCCATTTTACAAATCTGGTTTTAATTTTTTAATTTTTTTTTTATATGCTGATTTTTTGTTCCTTGTTTCTCAGGCAGACGCACTCTATCTTAGTAGGAAATATCCCTAATTAGTCGACTCTTGTAATCTGCTTGTTAGGGGGCAGTGTGTCTATTCTTGTTATTCCCCATAATGGGGCACTGAATCCCACATGAGATATAATGGTAAGTTTAATGTTAATATAGTAAATATATAACCATGTGCATTTACCATCTATGTTTTTGTGTATTTTAGTTCAGACTCAAAGTGTGTAAATTGTTATATGGAAATAACATACTTTAAAAATAAAATACACTTGCAGTATGAAAGATAAGATTTTGGAAGGGCTGAATTTAAGATGGACATGCATGCCTAGTTTTTTTAACCCTTTGACGAAACAATTCATCGTTCATTTGTTTGTTTGTTCATTTATCTTTAAAAGACGTTTTGTTATCTTTTTTCTCAACAGGCATTTCGCCATGTTAAGTTTGAAGGGCTTCCATCACTGTCCAGTCGCAACAACAGCTCCCATGCCTCCAGTAGATCATGTACCAGTCCAAACCCAGTTTCAGCACAATCTAGTCATGCAGACTTGACTCAAGAGTACCTTGAACACTGTATGGTGAGCATCAAGCCAAAATGGGACCAAGTGGTGGAAACTGTTCAGAAGGCAAGTAAACATCCCTTCACATCACTCTTTCTGTCTCTTATTGTCTTTTCTATCCTAGCCTTCATATAATGTGTTGAGCTGGATAAACAGAATGGTATGCCTTGATTCACACAAGCAGAGGTAAGGTAACTATAGTTTCCAGATTTTATATTGCTTAGTTTGTCCTTCTGTCTGTGCTTTTGTTATCTGCATCTATTCCTGTCAGTTGATGCTTATCAATTTGTTTATCATGCTGTTTTAATTCATGAAGGCATCCGTGATAATTTGTTTACATACATATCTTTCTGTTTACAATTAATTAGAGAATGCTGACAATTCTTGTATATACACACACAAAACAATGGCAACTGCTATTGTAAATTTAACATTTTGTTGTTGAAAGCAATATACTTGTGCTTTGTCATTTTGTTCCATACAGTTGATTTCTAGAGCTGAAATAGTTTAATAAACAATCTGTTAATAACATAGAGGTAAGAGTTAAGGATTTGTGTCTTCACCTTACGGAATATTGAAAATTTGGTTCTGGTCCCATATTTCAATAGACTAAAATAATTTGCACTTGGTGGGTGATGTGGTTAATATCATATCAGTAATCTTTAATTCCAACAAACTTGTCCTAATACCAGTGTTAGGCTGAGTTGACCTGAGAACCCACGACAGTTTTAACATTCCACCACAGTATGGATTTCTTCTTTTTCTTCTTCACAGCCACCGAGTGTAAACTCCATTCGAAAGTTCTGGTTGTTCATCCACTTTTGTATGTTAGTCTTGTTCCAGAACCTGAGTTTTGTGTGCACATATATTTTACAGATCTATCTTATTTGTATGCAGGCTGTTGCTTCCTCATCTCTTAGGCTTCCCCTGTAAGATTTGCAGTATAACTAGAGACTATTTAATATACGTTTTTTAGTTAGAATAGTTCATATGTTCATGTAGCTCTGTAGTAATGCACATGAAGAGTTATGGTGAAATATGACAAGAAGTGAATTGTGCAATATACTGTTTATGGCCTCATTATTTATATAATCATGGGTTTAAACATGGCATAAACACAATCATTATGATTTAAATTTTTTTTTTCAGATAGAAGAACTAGATAGAAGAGATGAAGAACAACTTCAAGTTTTACTGAAAAAGATCATAAAATCAACCCCTGAGGACAGCAAGTTTTTACAATCAAGCTCCAGACTAATTCTGAACAAGCCACCTCTGAGTATGACAGCCTTTACAAAAGTGAAACCTCAAGAGGGCAGGCAGGATGCCACTTCATTTCACATCAGTAAGAATGTGTCAGCACCTTCCAGGTCCATCTTTGAAGTAAGTAATGTGTTCTTTAGGTGTGCATTCTGGAACTGACAAATGGTGATCAAGAGCTTGGGATAATTTCTGTCTTGTCAAATGCAATGGTATGGAATTGTAATAAGACTTACTGTGCTGTGCAAAACAAAACTACAGGGCTTAGAAGAGGGGAACAGGAGAAAAGGCAGATGAAGAAAGACCTGGATAAACAGTTAAGCTGACTGGACCGGCTTTATGCTTTCAAACATCAGATTTATTGCATCTAACCCACAATCAAACTGATCAAACAGTCAACAGTAGCTGGTGACCCAGTGAAACACAGTGTTATGGGACTATTAATGAAATAAATATGATATTCTAATAAGATCTTAATCTAAAAAAAATTGATCTTAAAATAACAAACTGAGTGATGATAGTAAATTAGTTAGTAGTTAGTCTTTCCTCTTGAGCCTAAGATGGCGCATAGAGCAGAGGTCATATCTCTCCAAGTCTTGTGGTTCGTTGCCACCTGATTTAGGTCTTGGATATTCGTTAGGCCCATAGTTGAGCCTTTCCTGATGATGATTCTTTGTTTAGTCTCTCTCTTGGTCTTCCCCGTTTTCATCTCTCGTCTGGTGTTTAAATGAGGGCTTGATGGGGGAGTCTTGACTTTTCCATTCTGTGTGCATGGCCTATGTAATTCCAGTGGCACTTTCTTATAAAATTTGATACATTTTCTTGCTTGGTCTCTTGTCTTATTTGCGTACTAGATCTAAAATCTGGCCAGTGGAGATTCAGTGTTCTTCCAAGACATCTGTTCTCAAAATTTTCTAATTTGTTATCAAGAGCTACCAACTCTCACATCCGTAAGTTTGTACTGGAATCACACAAGAGTTGAAGATCTTCAGTTTCATGTGTTTGCTGAGTGTCTTTGACTCCCAGATGTTTGACAGTCTGAAAAAGGCACTAGATGCCAGTGCAATTCTAAATGATATTTCTGTCGCTGAATCTCCTGTAGATGTCATCTTACTCCCTAGGTATGTAAAGCTGTCAACTGATCCTAAATAATATTAACAGGTCATATGTCAAATTGCTTGTAAGTCAAATTTATATTTTTAAACACTAATTTTATTCAAGCTGCATCTCCAGACAGTCCGACAAATGCTGTAGGGTCAAGTAGACTGATATCTAGACCCTGCTTTGCTCTGGGCATCAGTTTTGGGAACTTTTTTTTCCAACCCTACCAGTGTTGTTATCTTTCTTTATTTAAAATATTTATTTATTTATTAAATTGTAGGGGTTACAAGTTTAGATTGTTCTAAGTGGCATAGATCGTAAGTTGAAGAGAGTGTTTATATTATAGGCTGATAAATATAAATGAATTAAATCTGTCAAGCAGTTTTTTAAATTTAATTTAATAGTTAAGGGGCTAAATACCTTCCACGAATATTAATGTCTTTACTGTTTTGTACAGAAATTCAAGGACACTGGAGAGAGAAGACCTGAACTGAGGAATAAAATAAGGAGTGATCCCAGCCTCATCACTGATGACAGTCATTAGCTCAAGCCTTTCAAAATATAAATGTCGTTTCAACTATTTTAATTCCTATAACCTATCTTTCCAGTGGCCTGAATTGCAGCAGTGCCAGCTATTGCAACACATATGTCATTAGCAGCAACATAGTCATCACCAACATCAACATCACCAGCAACATCATCAGCAGCAATGCCATAATCAGCAATAACATCATTATCAACAGCTATATTACCATCAGCAGCGATGTCATTATCAGCAGCAACTTCATTATCAGCAGCTATATCACCATCAGCAACAATGTCATTATCAGCGATAACATCATTACCAGCGGCTATATTACATCATCAGCAGCAGTAATGTCATTATCAGCAGCTTTATTACATCCCCAGCTGCAGCAGTGTCATTACCAGCAATAACATCTTTATTGGCAGTTATATCACATCACCAGCAGCAGCAATGTAATTATCAGAAATAGCATCATTATCAGCAGCTATATCACATCACCAGCAGCAGCAGTGTCGTTATCAGCAATATGGGTATATAAGAGCTACATCACATCACCAGAAGTAGCGATATCATCAGCAGCAACAAAATTATCACTAGTATGTCAGCAGCAACATTCCCATCAGTAGTACCATAATTATCAGCAGCAACATCAATATCACTAGCAACATCATAATCAGCAACATCATTGTCAGCAACATCATTGTCAGCAACATCATCAGCAGCAGCTCTAGCTGAGTATTGAGCTAAGAATTGACATCCCAACACTTGTGACATTACTATAAGTGCTCCATCCTCACCTTCAGCAACCAATGAAGAGTTCCAATTTTGATGGTGCCAGTGGCAGTTTCATCATATGTCTGTCTTGCCTCTCCTCAGCAACATCATTATCAGCAGCAGCAAAATCATCAGCAGCAACATGAAAAGCAGCGGCAGTCCTACCAGAATCATCATAATTTCCTTGTGTCATACTGTTAAAAGGTTGAATTTTACATCTTTGGATTTAACAAGTCTGATAAAATTGGGACCAGAGATCAAGGCAAATGAAGACAGTTGGTATAAACTGACCATATTAACTCTTTCAATCCCAGGTGCTTGAACATTATAGGACAAAGGAGTGGTAATGCAATTTTTAAATTTCACAAGTGTAGCACATTAAAAGAAACCATCTAATTCAGTTGCAGTGCAAAATACACATATTATACATCAAAATGACCAGAGAATGTTGAAGAATAATAAAGGAATATTGTACAAAGTATAATTATATTAGTAGTTCAATATTAGCATATAAACAGACTACAAGTTTAGAAATTAATTAAATAAAGTAATAATTTTTCCACTTACCAACTTTGTGCTAAATGAAAACAATAAACAGAACTTGATAAAATCTATCCAAAATGAACATGAAGCATTCAGTAATGAATAAATAAATTGTAAACGAAATTTATACATTAGATTTGTTCCAGATAAAAGTTTAGAACATCATCACAGAGCACCATTTTTTGTCTCAATGAATCAGAAAGACCATTTAAAATTGTTGATTCATAATTTTAAACTGCTCAGTGGGAAATTAAACAGAAAGACATAAAACGGACTCATCAGATGCCAAGGGGACTGTAGCATAGTTACATAAGAACGTATGGTATGTTCCTTGCAACTGAAAGAGTTCAACTTGTAATGCTGTTTGTGCATTTAAAACATTACGAATAACTATATTCATGATATGCATAGTAAGTTTTCACTTTGTTACTGTTGATTTTTCAGTTTTAAAATATATTCTTGTTCTCGCTGTTGCCCTGTACATCCATAAATAGAGAAAACATTTCTCTCACTCGAGAGAATGTAGAGGATGTTATAAATGACTCAAGAAATATGAAAAAAACCATGTGATTTCAATATTTTCATTATACAAATAAGACTGTTTCAGCATTTGAAATACTTCATTCATATATGTGCTATTTTTAAAGGTCCCTTTAATTCCTGCATTCCAGTTACTTCATGACTTTCCATTATTGTTTCTGCTTTGTGTGGGTTTGTTTTTTTTGTTTAGTCACTTAAACAAGACATTTGTTCAGGTCTTTCATTATAAATGTTGCTCAGTGATATCTTAATGGTTTTTATGCTCACTGAGCACAGAGAGAGAGAGAGAGAGAGAGAGAGGGAGAGAGAAAGTATGAGAAAGACACACATTTATTTACAATTTTGAAACTTATTTATTCATTTTATTTAAAAATATATAGGAAGTACAAAATGCTTATGTAGTTTGTAAGAAGTATAATGTTTGTTGGTCTCTAATGGTGTCTTCTATCTACTTCTTAACCCTGCCTGACCTGAGGCCCTGAACCTAACTGCCCCCTATACCTGAGATCCTGGGCATTACATGAAAAAACCAACTTGATATACTAAAATATTATTTACATGTAAACAAGTGATTAGAATAAAATGAAACTTGGAGACATTGTAAAAAAAATAGGTTTACCTTTCACCAAGCAGGATCAGCCTTGTTTCGCAAAGTGAGCACCAGATGTTGCTGTTTGAGGGACACACCCCTTCTCTTACTATCAATCTAGTTTTAAATCTATAATTTTCAAGATTCTCCTCATCACTTGACCTCTCACTGACTGTGTCACTTAAACTGGGAACGTATTTTTTCCGAAATTCTGACTTCTCAGAGTCTGAATCAACCAAAGCATCGATCACCTATTGGGCTGTGAAAAACCTAGACCTACTTCACTCTCCTGTCGAAGTGCATGGTTCATCAGCCACTCGTTTCATTGCGAATTTTCAGAATTATTTTCACGTTAAACCAACCAAAGTAAATCCAAACACACGTGGGCAGTCAATCGCAATGACTAACCACGAGGTTTGATCTTGACTGGTTAGTTATCTTTAGTTTGTAATGCGTTTTATCACGTAGTACGCAAAGTACCGAGAATGAGGTACAGCGGTTTAGCAGCAGGAAATTACCACAGAAGCTGTACATCATCTATCTTGAGGAGTTGACTGTACATTTAAAAAATATATTTACATTTTTATGTTTTTAAAAATGTGATGAGATTGTTATAAACTGTTTATGTAATCTTCAAAGGTTGTTTTTACTATGCTTTTAAAACTTTACAGCTCATAAAGATCAATATACTTATTGCAGTGAAAACTTAAAAAAACAATCATTTTTTGTTCTTATTTTTTTTTCTTCTCGTTTGTAGTCTTCATTTTTTTCATTTTGTTAGTAACTATTCTGCTTTTCAGTGCCAGATTTTGAAGAAGCATATCATTTGAGCCTTGATGTGTGCTGTGTTTTTGTGGTTTTCATGGCTGGAGATATTTCATCTGTCCATAGCTTGTTTTGGTAACCTCCAGCTCTATTCTGTTGTATCTAAATGATAGAACTCTCTGTGATTCACTGTCCTGTGAAAGTCTTGATACATGTGCAAGCCATTTAGGGTGGGGGGGGGGGGGGCTGCATAGTCTTGAGATGTGGCATCCACCTCGAGTGCTG